CTTTATATATAGCATATATGTACTAAAAAGCATATCTTGAAAAAAAGAACAATATATATGGGCTATAAAAGCTAAATAATTATACATATCTTTATACACAACTAAAGAAAATACACTTATTTTACTAATGCCTTCTAGTAAAAAAATTTAAAGTAGACATTAACAATGCCAATTGTAAATATTCTTTTTAAAAAAAAAAACAATATGATATAAAAGATGAACACATTTTATCTGTGTAAAATTTCAGAGCTTCTGCTCAATATGAGTGAACATACATTGTTACAATTTAAAAATAAAATAGATAGTAAAAAAAAAAAAGAACAATGAACAGTAAACAAGGTGAATGAAGCTAAGCTAATTACTGCAGAAATAATAATACAGAACACATCTCTCCTATTCACCTTCTGATGTACCACTACAGAATAGAATTCTAACTTGAACTGCTGCATCAAATCTCTAGATCATGAGTATTCATGTTCTGAATGTTTTTATCTCACCTGAGCTGAAAGCTCAAGTGAGCTGTTCTGCTCACCTGTTCTCCATCATCTGTACATCCCTCTGTAAACTTTTCACATTTTCAACTTCCTCTCAAGAACCACTGGGTCAATTCTGACCAAAGTTGGTACAAAGTATTCTTGGGTAAAGAGGAGTTTAAATTCTTAAAATGAAGGGCAAAGTCCCCTTCCAAGGGGAGATAATCAAGAAAAGACAAAAATAGAGTGGGGTCATTAAAAAACCTTCTTATGAACCACTGGACCAGAAGAGCTGAAACTTGTGTGGAATTTTCCTGAGATAGTGTAGATTCTAAATTGTTTAAATCATGGCCTCCGAGGGTAGGGTGGGGCCATAACTGGAAATCAAATTTTTACATTGAAATTTAATGGAAAAATCTTTAAATATCTTCCTCCTCATAATCACTGGGCCAGAAAAGCTGAAACTTACATGAAACTTTTCTGAGATAGCATAAATTCTATATTGTACAAAACATGACTCATGTGGGATAGGGTGGAGCCACATTAGGAATCCATAGTTTTATATTGAAATACATGTATAACAAAAAAATCTTTAAAGAAAGAACCAGTCTGAGCCAGAAAATCTGAAACTGATGTGCAAGCTTCCTGATGTTGTGTAGATTCTTAATTATTCAAATCATGACCCCTGAAGATAGGATGGAGCCAAGTATAACAAGGGGGCAAATCTGGTGAAGAACAGCAGGGTCAAAGAGCAAGAGCCACGAACCATCAAAAATGGCCCTGTCTCAAAAAGTAACGGGGTTTTGTCAATTGATAGTGTTGACTTTTAGCTTTTCTTTGCCGTTTTTCTTTTTTCGATATCGATTATATTTTTTGAAAAAGAGAGTTTGAAGTATGACGGTGTTTTAAAAGAAAAATGCTAGTAGAACGTCATTTTTTGAAACGTAACGTCGTAGGGCGGAAAAATTACCTTGAGCGATTTTACATATGTGACTTTGAATTAAAACTAGTATTAATTGGGATAGATATTTATTATCTTACTAATAAACTTCATAATTAATTTAAGACAATTAAGGACAGTTGGAAATTGATTTCACATCGCAGTCTTGATGGCAACTGCGTGTTTAACTAATTGAAATTTATAGATACATGTACAGTAAAAATAATCTGTGTTACTGTCTCGGAAAGTTTTCACTCTACCTGGTCCCTATGCTAATATAATTTTTAAGAAGGAACATTGTATTTCTATCCCTTGAACACATTTTTGTGCGATGCATCGCTCCTAATTACATGTAAGTATTGAGTATTGAACATCATTAAAAAAAACAAACGACTTGCTTCAAATGACGATAGCCTGTCCAACTTAGTTTTCCGGACTTTTTCCTACACGCCTGCAAATATTAGCTGATCTTTGGAATGCGCGTCCAGGCACGAAGTTTGTTTTTCAAAGTGGCCTTGGGGAAGAGGGCAGTCAGAAAAAAAAATAACGAGATACCTGAAATGATCTTAAAACGACTGTTTCTAAACTGAAGAACTACGATGTAATTCAATAAATGGATAGAAGTAATTGCAAAAAAAAAAAAAAATTGTTTAAATGGAAATAGACTTTTAATGCGAAATTCTTAGATCCTTAACTTGCGAGTATTTTAAGATATAAAAGTTCTAAATGATTTGGAAAAAGGGAGGAAGTAAAAAGTTGGAAAGACTTGTTTCTAATCCCTTTATTCATTTAATTGTAACAATATTTTGAACGTCGTTTTCGAAACAGAGACATAGATTAATTGAAAAGGGGTGTCGCAACTTATCAGAATGGTTTATTAAGCAAACAAAACTCATCAAAACATTGTCGCCCTAAATGTGAGTTTCTTTGGAATAATATGGAATACATTTCCAAAAAAATATTCTTAAGAAAGATAAACCTGTTAAAAATCACTAATTCAAGGCTAAAGCAGAAAATAAATCAGCCCTGTTCATTATTTTATATTTATCGATATTTGCTAGAACCCCCCCCCCCTTCTCTTGCAAAATATTCGAATATTTCTCTCCCAAATATCTTAATTGCAAGGAATTTGTAAAGATAGAAATCTGCGAAAATTATATGATTATTTTTCATGTAAATGTACAAAATAATTAAACTTGAGCAAATATTCGTTTTTAGCATACGTAACTATAGTGTAAAATTCCTACTTTCGATTTCATTGCACATAATGGTTTTTATGGTTTATAAAAAGAGTAGAGCTGCATTTATATTGCTGATATGTGCAGGCCCGTAGGAAGCAAATTCATTTGGGGGGGGGGGGGGGGGGCTCAGCCATACATTTTCAGTTGACAGTTGAGGAGGCACTACCAAAAATTTCCTGACAAGCAAAAAGAAAAAAAAAAGGTCATCAGACGTTTTTATTGAGGGGCACAAGCATATAGTATCTATGTTTATGATAGTAATCTATATATCGGCAAAATTATCACCCCCCTTCCGGTTCCTACGGCCATATGATGTGGGTCACAGTCATAAGTGAAAGACATGTACGGGTGTTCATTTATCCTTGTCTTATTGTCCTGCAATCAGCGCAAGATTGATTTTATTCAACAAAATCTTGCTTAAAAAGGTAACACCCTCAGAAACAATAAGAGCTGTCCCTATATTTTCTTTTCAGTTTTCTTTATGAAATAGTTTTTGTACACAGTGGTGGCGCCGCACCAGGCACCCCTCCCCTTCTCACTGAGAAAAAAAAATGAGAGGAGTAGGAAAGTATAAAGCAATTTTCAATTTCTAGATTGATTTCAATTAATAAACAATAAAGAAATTTAAATTCAAGACAACTTATGGGATTAAACTTTAAATAATTACATTAATTGCAAGTTTTGCTGTCATTAGTTTGTGACCCCCCCCCCCTTTTTTCAACCTCAACTGGAAGTCTTGGATCTACCCCCCCCCCCCCCGATAAGTCCTTTTTACATATCATGACACTAATAATTAATTAATACTGAGGAAGGAGGTACAAGTGTACTACACCAGAATAAGCTGACAATAGATTTAAAAAATATTATTATTTCATGTATTATAAAAAAAAATCTACTTCATTGGGTATAAAATAACCAGTTATAAACAACTTACGCTCATACGTTTCAAAGAATATATTCTTGGTTTATTGTTTTGAGTTTTAAAAACATTTTAAGGAATCTCTCTCTCTCTCTCTCTCTCTCTCTCTCTCTCTCTCTATGAGATTTCATGGATAAAACAAAACTGCATACTTTTGTGTTACATGCATAAGAATCATCTCAGAGGATTTTTTAAAATATACAGTTATTATATCGATAGCTTATATATGCTGGTACAAAAGAATATAGTTATAGTATATATGCATGTGTGTATCGATTCGGGTTTCGTCAAAACACTTGCACTTGATGAACCCGCGCCCGTGACCTAGATTCTGTTTAGCCGAAATGTAGATGATTATCCAAATGCGTTTTTTAATTCCTTTTTTTTTTAAATTTTCACTTTGCACAGCAAGCTATGTTTTTATTATTTCGTTTGTTTTACAGAGGTCTAGCGTGATATCTTTGCTACATTCTCTTTTAATTTGTTTACAATTTGAGTCATGTCTGTTAACACGCACAACATTATTAAACTTGTCGCAAGAATATCAAAAATAAATAAATAAAAATAAATATATATTTAACAAAATGCTTAAATATAAAATTGTAGGTCTAATAACAGCTTTAAAATAGCAGGCATTGTGGGGGTGGGGTGGGTGTGTTAAGGGCAGTAAAGAAAACAATTTGGCGTGAATTTCTGATAATCAATAATCTGATGGTATCATCCAGTTGGGCTTAAATCATACAAATAATGACAGCATTCCAGAGCATAAAAACTTTTCAGCAACATTCCAAATAGTTTAGAGCCTTTATGACGTCATAACTGACGTATTATTAGTAACGTCATATATAATGGACCCATATGTATTCACAATAAAAAAAATGTTTTGCCAGATATTTATTTTAGAAAATGTTTATTCTTGAGGTTTTTTTTCCACAATAAGCGTTTTAAACGAACAATAAATTGCTTTTTTGTGAAATTTATAATTTTTTATTGTTGTATGAATTAAATGTTAACGATTGATTCACAAATTAGTGATTATTTGATGCATCAAAATTTAAATATAAAATCAAATTTCATATTGGCCACACCCACGAACAACAACGATAATAAGCATAAAGATTTGTATCGGCAATATCTATATCTATGGTAAGTATAAAAGTTGTTCTTGACTGTGGCCACAACTAACTTTGGAAAAATCTGTCGAAAAATCGGCATTTTTTAACGCTTTTATCACACCATCGCATGTTCCAACCGTCGCACGTGCCTAATGGCGCATTATTTAACAAAATAAGTTACGTATGGAAGATAAGTATGTTGTCCTCTAACATTTAATGTATAGGACTCTTGTTGAATCAAAACTTTATTTTTGTGAAAAACACAGGGCCAAATTTGATGGTTCGTGGCTTTAGCTCTTTACTCAGGTGAGTGTTGTGGCCCGTGGGCCTCTTGTGTACAACATGTAAACGAAATATATGGAACTATATACATGTAGTTTTACAAACTTCCAGTCTTTTAACAGGTTATAGTTATAAATTCTTTTTCTTTTCTCTTGTTTTCAAATAAGAAGGAAGTTTTTTTCATGAACTGATTTCCTTGCTCAAGTTTTCATATCATCTCCATCTTCATTGACTTATTTATCACTGTACAACTTACAGTCAAACCTTGTTATCTTGAACTCTGTGGGACCAAGAAAGCACTTTGAGATATCTGAAGATTCAAGATATCAGGGGTAAAATACTTGAAGAATAAGTGGTTGGGACTTCTAAATTACTTTGACATATCCATGGTATTCAAGATATCAGTGTTCGAGATATGGAACTTCAACTGTACATACTTAAAATTCAGACATCAAATTATCCTGTTACTTAAGTTTAGTGTTAAAAGTGAAGTAGATATACTATTTCCTTGCCATTCCTTTCACTAGCAATATGAGAACCATTTCCATCTCCACTAACTTGTTTATCACCTAACAATTTACATACCAATACTTTAAATTCAAACATCAAATTATCCTGTTATTTAAGTTTAGTGTTAAAAGTGAGGTAGATATATTTCCTTGCCATTCCTTTCACTAGCAATATGAAAAGTAATTTCTTATCAAAACCCACTGGATTGGAATCTATAAATCTTGTACAAACTCTATAAAGCACAACCTCATGACACTCCACATAATATTTCTTTTTCTCTTTGATAATAAATCTGATGCATTTCCTCCAAGTCCTTGTCAGCTGGTATTACCTGTAAGTAATTAAGGTGTTACATTTAGTCTTCCAATAGTGCTCGGAACACTTCAAACTGACCAAATTTTCTCCAACTTAACCATAAAATCTTGGACTGTAAAAACATAAATTTATCACTTGATTGCAATGTTAAAAGTTCTAATAAATAAATCCAGAAATTACAAACATTGAGACTGCCAAGCCTGTTTGAACTTCTTTGATTCACTTACCAAAACTTTGGAAGGAAGGGGGAATTTAGTTCCTTTAACCAGCCACTCTTCATGTAAATCATGTAATTTCTTCAGATACTCCTATAAGAAAATGAAAGAATGCCCCATGGACTTTATATTTGTTGAAAATGTCTACTTGTCAAATATCTGTAAATGAAAAGGACTGTGTCAGATTACTAGTCATGTAAAACATATCAACATTTCAATTTTACATGACTTTTTGTTGATTCTTCCCTTTTGAGTCACTTTTTTACCGGCATGCTGTAATCAGTTAACCCTAACTTCAAAGTTTTCATTTTCAGCTTTACATGTATGTTAAGTTGTTGTGAATTTACCAGTGTGATGTTAAACTCTTCCCTCCTGTTTCTTTCCTGGATTCTTCTAAACACTGTCTCTGGTTTGGCTTGTAAATAAACTGAAAAACATACAACAAATGTAAGTGGCCTACATGCCTTCAACTATGTATCATGAAACAACTTCTTAATTCTTTAGAGATTTTATGGCCTATGTGGATGTTTTCCTCACAAATTATTTCAGAGGGTTACTGCTCATAAGACATGCAGTTCTTGTCAGATAAATGTCTCATAGACCATCAGATTTCATGCATTTTCAAATAAACTGTGAAATTATGTAAATCTTTTCCTAGGATTTGTATCAATGTCTGGTGCCTGAACCCCATACCTTTGAAAAAAAAACTGTTAATATCCAGGAACAAATATATGTTTATATGATATATATCTTTTTAAAACATATCCCTGTAACAAGCCTGAACCCTGCCCAAATGTAGCACAACTTCCACATAACTAATGTTGCTTATTTTTTGATTTCTTGTAGTAGGAATGCCTTACCTATCAGGTCTACTTTACATTGATTATTTTTAATGATCCAGTTGAACCACTCTGTTAGCACAGTATACTCAAGGCCTGGCATCAAACCACTGTAAATAAATCAAAGTTCAAGGTTGAAAGGCATTATACCACTGTAAATAAATCAAAGTTCAAGGTTCAAAGGCATTATACCACTGTAAATAAATCAAAGTTCAAGGTTCAAAGGCATTATACCACTGTAAATAAATCAAGGTTCAAAGGCACTATACCACTGTAAATAAATCAAAGTTCAAGGTTCAAAGGCATTATACCACTGTAAATAAATCAAAGTTAAAGGCTCAAAGGCATTATACCACTATAAATTAATCAAAGTTCAAGGTTCAAAGGCATTTAACTACTGTAAATAAATCAAAGGTCAAGATTCAATGCATAATACCACTGTAAATAAATCAAAGGTCAAGGTTCAAAAAACATCAAATTTCAATAATAAATCAAAGGTAAAGGTCCAATGGCATCATACAACTGTAATAAATCAAAGGTCAAGGTTCAATGATATACCACTGTAAATTAAAGATCAAGTCTTTGTGTATAGTAAAACATCTAGCAAATAACACTTGACCTACAGTATATCTATTTAACTTCGCCATAACCTTACAGCACAAGGGACACTGTAACAATAAAAAGTCCTCCATCATGAGTCTACAAAGGAGATCTATAGAAATTTTGCAAGTTTTTTCCCTGTATATTTTGCTTTTTATCATACTTACCTATTATAGAGATTTTCCACAAAGCAATACTTTGCGCTGTATATAGAACGTTCCATTAATTTTACTGGTTTGTCCTATTCAAATACAAATTATTTTTTTAAATCAATACATGAATGTGTTAAATGGTCTTTCTTTGTTTACATATTTCAAAACAGAATTTTCACGAGACTAACCGTTTCTTTCAGATGTTGTTCAAGCATGGTCAGCTGTACATAAGTTTGTAATGTTAACGACCAACGACTGGGGTCTTCATACATTTTAGCCTGAACAAAAAATATGTATACATATCAACTTCACAATGCATCCTGTAGTTTAGACAAAGGTTATAACTCATACAGACAGGAACCTCTGTGATTCTATTCATGAATTCTTTTCAAAATTTACCACATAAGAAAAAAAAAATCAGCTAATGATAATATAACTTTGAATAATTAAGGAAAAGACAATAACTGTTTTCACTTTTACACACCAAAGCATTATATCCGTTGACATCTCTCCATTTCTTCACGGGTTCTTCACAAGTCTACCAATGAAATAAAACAAAGGGAGCACTGTACTGAGGAAAATACACAGGAATATGTACAAGCAAAAATAGAAACCTACTGACTCCTAGAATTCTACTTCACCTAGCTAGTGGAAGATATTATGTTTTTTTTTTTGTTTTTTTTTTTTGGGGGGGGGGAGGGTTCTTTTGTTTGGTTTTTGCTTTTTAAGAGAATTTAATACTGTGGCACTGCATATCTTTCTTTATAACTGCATATTCTAGACATTTGAAGGGAAAAAAAAATGAAAATGCAATAAATATTTTTGGGAAAAAAAGATCTCCAAATCATTATGATATAAATAGACTTACCTCAACATTGTTGTTTTTCTTAAAATGTTCTAAAAATGTAGTCTTTCCACTGGCTATGTTCCCCTCCACAATTACCTGTCAATATTGATGTAATTAAAGCTCAACAAAACACTCCTCTTTGAAAACATTTGACTGATTAACGTTATAACCAGGCTGTAGAAGTCTTACAGTTGTAGAAAAAAGAAGCTATCGTAAATATTGTCTAAATACATTACTTACTGTAAAGCTTTCTTTGTGCTTTCCATTACTTCCAATGACTACAAATAAAGACAAAATATTTCAATATGTATAATTAACGTACCTCATATCTTGTACACAGAATTTACATTATTCGCTCTTCAATCGTAAGTTACAGGATCGAGGCAAGCGAAGCCTACCTTGTTGGTCTCTTTGAGTTAAGCAATATATGCAGTATTTATTAGGTCCATCAGTACAATCACTACATTTAGCTACATAGCTTTATTAAGCTACTCGAAGTAGCTTGATTTAGCTTATATGTATGGCACGCCAATTTCACAAAAATTAGCGAAACTTAGTTTCACAGTTGATAAACTAGGTTTATCGACTGTAAACTATAGTTTACAAACCCTGAACTAAAGTTAACGATTCATTAACTATAGTTTTCATCTGTAAATCTATATTTAACGGTTGTTAACTATAGTTTACGAATGCTAATCTAAGTTTATCTGTCTGTAATTAAACGTTAACAATAGATTTTGTTGATAAACATAGATTCACATCTGTAAACTATAATTTACAATCGTGAACTATAGTTAAGAGTTGTTAATCATAGTTTCACAAATCGTGAAACTATATTTATCAGATAAACTATGTTTTACATTCGTTAACCATAGATTTCGGTTGTAAACTATAGTTAACTGTCATTTATACTCACAAACTATATTTAACAGACGTAAACTATACTTATCGATCGTAAACTATAGTTTTGAGAGCTAAACTATGATTCACATTTGCCAATCATAGTTTATCGTAATAAACTATAATTCACACCCGTAAACTATAGTTAAGAGTTGTTAAATATAGTTTATGAATCTAAACACCTGTTAACTGTTAACGACAGTTTTCAATTCGAAATTTCGCGGCACCAATCGCGAGAAGCAATAATGGGGTATAGGGTTTATCAATGCGGAGAATATTAAGGACACGTGTTGGGGATTATCTAAAGCAAAGACCGAGTTATATATAATCAATATTACTTTCTTTATTTAAACAGGATTAATTGTATTTGTTTTAAAATGTCGTGTATATATACATTTCCTATGGGGAAATTTTTAGAAATATGATAAAATTTTAATTTTTTAAAAGACAGAATATTACGAGATTTTTGCTCAAGCAGAGGAGGGTGAAGCGCATTTTACAATGTGCCAAGCATTTTCCCGCCACATCTCATCACCAATACAAAGAAACTGAAAGAGAGGAAATGCAGTGGCGGATATAGATAGGGTTGTGGGGGTTTCAACGTCCTCCTTTGAATTTAAGAGAGAGAGAATGAGAGAGAAGTCCCAAATATTTGTTGTGTTTGTTCCATGAAAGGCCACTTTTATTTATGTATGAAGAAAATTTGGTTGTTGAAAAATAAATTCCGCGCCTGCAATGTTACATGTACTGTGTTATGTCTTTATTTACAGATGAATATAAGATATACATGTATTTTATTAATGACAGATCACGCATTTCGGTCTCTATTTTTCTCTTTCAAATCAAAAAAATAAAATTTTAATCAATAATTTTCCAGTCATTTTTCTTTTTATTTCCAACTAGATTTGCTTTAAAATAATAGAACATTTACTTATAACGCCAACAAGAAATATACATGCATATATATTTAACAACAATTGTTGTTACATAGCAAAATTTTATAATGCTGTAACTAGGATTAGCCGATCTATAATTTACAAAAAAAAAAAAACTATTGTTAACTATAGTTTTGATCGTAAACTATGGTTTAGAGTCGTGAAATCTAGTTTCACAGAAAATTGTGCATCTCCGATAGAAAATAAGAGATTCTGTTCCTAAACTGTGTTTCTCAAGTGTAAAATTATGTTTATCGCATTTTTGTGAATTTGGCGCTTTGTATGTCTGTAAAGTATACTTAATATTACAAAGTCTAAACTATAATTTACATTTGTTAAGTATAGTTTAGAGTTGTAAATCATAGTTTACAAATCGTGAAACTATATTTATCAGATAAACTATATTTTGCAGTAGCAAATGATTGTTTTCCGTGTTAATTATAGTTTACGCTTGTGAAACATAGATTATCGTGTAAACTATAGTTTACGTATGTGAAATATAGATTATCATCGTTAACTATAGTTTATGGTCTGTAAACTATAGTTTACAGTCGATAAACCTAGTTTATCAACTGTTAAACTATGATTAGCTCATTTTTGTGAATTTGGCGTGCCATATATACGATAACAAAGAAGACCGGGTCTGGTTAACATGATAATTGATAGGTAATTATTCAGCACAGTGTGAAGTAATCAAACTTATCCATGCATTACCGCACACAAAGTGGTGTATAGTCACTCAAACAAAGAAAATACATCTTTTGCTTAAAAGCAATGTTTAAAACTATCTATGCTTTGGACTGTAACCAACTTAATTTTTTAACAAACTCAAGCATAAGATAAAAACCTATATTTCAACTTCTTACTTACCACTGCGCACAGATGTGTGCATTATATTGTTTCTAAGATTCCCAAAGACACTGCGATTGAGCAACCTCAGGCACCAAGGCATGGCTTGTTGTTTGTAGTTCTTGCTGACGATCGCCGCGAAATCTACGTCATTAAATATAAATACCAACCAACCAAAACGAGGATACCGGGTTGACTTGGCGTTCGTAAACCATCGGGCTTTTTTAGCTACTTTCAGTTTCAAATGTCACAAATGAGGATGATATTTCGTCTGATCTCTCGGCTACCTTTGAAGCAGGTGGGACAGTCAATAAGGACCATGAATTCTTCCTCGGCAAAGCGACTCGCTGGAAAAGTAGCCATTATCACAGCCTCCACAGATGGGTAAACGTGAAACAGCAAAAACTTTAATTATAAGTCAATTAGCGAGATCAAAAGGTCTTGAGAAGTTATTCAAAACATAAGATGCATAAGCATGTTTGTTATGTCACTGACACATAATGATCGGCGTTCAACTGTGTCATAATTTTTGACTTTGACCTTCTCTGAAACCTTGATCTCACTATTCCTCATTAAGCTCAATTTAAAAGGAGTTACAAGATATTTTTTTTAACATATTTAACTTAACATTGATGTACATATTGGTAAAACTTATTCACCCGTGTTGCAATTTTCTGTATTGGGTACTCCATAGCTGAGAGACTTGGACAAGATGGGGCTAAAGTGATGATGTTTTATGTCTGCTGAATCTATTTCAGAATTGGGTACTCCATAGCTGAGAGACTTGGACAAGATGGGGCTAAAGTGATGATATTTTATGTCTGTTGAATCTATTTCAGTATTGGGTACTCCATAGCTGAGAGACTTGGACAAGATGGGGCTAAAGTGATGATATTTTATGTCTGCTGAATCTATTTCAGTATTGGGTACTCCATTGCTGAGAGACTTGGACAAGATGGGGCTAAAGTGATGATATTTTATGTCTGTTGAATCTATTTCAGCATTGGGTACTCCATAGCTGAGAGACTTGGACAAGATGGGGCTAAAGTGATGATATTTTATGTCTGTTGAATCTATTTCAGAATTGGGTACTCCATAGCTGAGAGACTTGGACAAGATGGGGCTACAGTGATGATATTTTATGTCTGCTGAATCTATTTCAGTATTGGGTACTCCATAGCTGAGAGACTTGGACAAGATGGGGCTCAAGTGATGATATTTTATGTCCGTTGAATCTATTTCAGAATTGGATACTCCATAGCTGAGAGACTTGGACAAGATGGGGCTAAAGTGATGATATTTTATGTCTGCTGAATCTATTTCAGAATTGGGTACTCCATAGCTGAGAGACTTGGACAAGATGGGGCTAAAGTGATGATATTTTATGTCTGTTGAATCTATTTCAGAATTGGGTACTCCATAGCTGAGAGACTTGGACAAGATGGGGCTACAGTGATGATATTTTATGTCTGTTGAATCTATTTCAGAATTGGGTACTCCATAGCTGAGAGACTTGGACAAGATGGAGTTAAAGTGATGATCAGCAGCAGAAAACAGAAGAATGTAGACAGCAGCCTCCAGAAACTGAAGTCACTGGGAATCGAGGCCTCAGGACTAGTGTGTCATGTAGCCAAGCGAGAGGACAGAGCAAAAATGATACAGAAGGTGGTACAGGGGTGTATTCTTTATTTGAATCCCCTAAGGCTATGTAGATTACTCTTAAAGTTGCTCCCTTAAAAAAGTGGGATGGAAGATAGGGTGAAATAACTCATTTCTTATCACTGTGAAAAAAGTCTTTAATGACAAAGAAATGAAATTATAATGAATGGAAATTATTATTTTGTTCAAAAAGTAATACATGCATTTTATTTATATTAAAATTTTCAAAAAAATATTTCAGACATTGGATGACTTTGGGGGTATTGACATATTTGTTTCCAATGCTGCTGCAAATCCACATTTTGGTCCACTATTATCAGTAAGTATATATACTAAATAAGTTCAATCAATCTGATTAAAATTAGATCTTTGATTTGCTCCAAAAGTGTTATAGTTGCTATAGAATTTCAGAGCAAATCAAATTTTTTTTATAGATTAGATTGATTTCAGTGGATGAGGATCTCATATTAAGGTCACCTGAATCTTTTAGAATCTGACTATATCAAGAATTCACAAAGAAAGAAGGTGATGAAAATAAGATTAGTTTAATATGGTAAATTTTCCAGGCTGATGTAGCAGGAATTGAATTTCTCAGACTGTTATTTAATGCTTTCTTATGCCTGGTACAATCATTAACAGCAAGGCAGTCTTAAGGTTCAGTGATACTCAGATAAGAGAGATAACTCTTAATGACATAAAAGACTATTATTCCTTTATAAATTGGTCAAGTCAAAATGTCTTTTTGTCCAATTTTGCTGTATTATACTTATAAAATACATTTCTCTTAGAAAATCATAAGCTTTAAAGCAACATTTTACATGAGTGAGCAGAGAGTTTATGAACCTTAATTTTAGTCCATGTTTTGTACTGGTTAGATTCTGATTTTTTTTTTTTTTTTTTACTTTTTTAGTGTTCTGAAGAAGCATGGGATAAGGTAATCATTAATGATCAACCTTTTGTTTGTAAGAAAAGAGAACAATAATGAATGCATAACATGATTAAATATATATTTCATGGTGGTGAGACCATGACTAAACACACAATATTTTCATTGTATGTATACTCTCACCTTTCTTCCATTCTGATTTCAGATATTTGAAACTAATGTAAAGGCTACATTTATGTTATGTAAGGAAATTATACCTCATATGGAAAAACGTGGGTAAGGTTTATATTCTCTATAAAGGTGTTAGAAGAGTGAGGAATTTTTATAGGCATACTTTGGAGGATTTAAAATTTGAATTATTCATATTAGAGTTTTTCTTTTAATCAAAACTATTGTGAATTGCAGAGGAGGGTCCATTGTCATTGTTAGTTCCATAGGAGGTTATCAACCTTCACCTGTAAGTTGTGTGTATTGAATTCTAGTTGCTGTGTCTAGAAATCCCTAATACAAATACTGAGTATTCATCACACTTAAGTTACTGCTTGTCCTCAGATGTTATCGGGGGAGGAAGTGGTCACTTAGTCTCAAAACACACCTGTATACATTCTACATATTAGACTAATTTTAAAAACATTTTCTTCACAAGGTTATTGGTGCTTATTCAGTCAGCAAGACAGCCCTACTGGGACTAACGAAGGCACTAGTTCATGAGTGTTCACCGAGGAACATTAGGGTCAATGGAATTGCACCTGGTGTTATCAAAACCAGATTCAGCGAACAGGTAAATACTGCTCTTGCTTTTCCCATTAATGGAGTTACTTAATCAAGAATACTGATATCTCAATTGTACTTTGTCTCAATCCATATCCTTTCCACAGCCATAGCATAAAAAACAGAGACTCTGACCCCTGAAGACTTGGCACAGAGTATCCATTGGTTAAGGAAATTCTTAATTCTTTGAATGAAGGGCCATGGCCCCTTAAAAGGGGAGATATCAAGAAAAAGTTTAGATAGGGTGGGGTTGTAAAAAAGTTTCTCATGAACCATTGGGCCAGAAAAGAAAAAAAAATTGTGATAGCTTCCTGACATAGTGTAATTCTACATTTTTTTCAAATCATAGCCCGCTAGAGATAGGGTGGGCCACAAAAGGGATCAAAGTTTTACATGTAAATATTTAAGGAATGTTTTAAGTTCTGTGTGAGTTATTGGTGTGTAAATCACACAGACTTGTCACGTAGGCATATTTCATAAAGGGAGTTAGCGATTCATGAAATATATGCCTACATGCAAGTCTTAGTGATTTACACACCAATAATTCACACAAAACTTAAAAGCATTCCTTTTATATTTAAATCTGCATAGTAATTTTAATGTGACTTTTGGTCAGGAACATGTAGATGAAGTAGTAAAAGATAAAAAATAAAGAAAATTACATAAAAAATTATTTTGAAAAAGCATTAAAAGGGGGGGGGGTGCATTGTAGATGCAGGGTCCTGTCCACAAGGGCCTGTGATAAATGGAGGTTAATAAAATAAGGAAAGATCATTTGAACTGTTATTGAAAATATTGCAATACACATCACAATACAGTTAAAAATATCGCTGTGTATTGCAATACCAAATTCCCAGCCAATACCCAGCCCTAATATACATTTATAGGAAATTTAAGTAAAATTTTCAAAAGTATCAATCATATTTTAAAATATGCAAACATTTTCAAGTTGTTTGAAGTTTGTTTTTTAAGTCATGGACCCAGGGATAAAATGAGGTCTAGGCAAGTTAGGGATAAATTTTGTAAAATTCATGCATACAGGAAAAAAATCTCCTCTGGGAAAGCAAGGCCATGTTAGTCCTATTGATACTGTAGAATCACTGTGTTGTATGGATTCAAGTTTGTTATGTCATGATCCCTTGGGTCTTGCTTGGGACTACAATGAGGGTCAATTTTTTTCATATGAATAAAGAGGGAAAAAAAGTCTTTTTAAAAAAAGAGGCCAATGTTACATAGGTGAGTATTGTGTCCCACGGGCCTATTTTTTTTTTTATATCAAACAAGTCTACTCCAATGTGTGCTGAATAATTTGCATTTGTTATTAGAAATATAACTAAATACATGGATTATTTCAACAGTTGTGGAAGGATGAAGAAAGCACTATTAGTCAAATGGCCAAAAATATGACACCAATGAAAAGGTAAGAGTTATCTTTCTAAGTTATGTAAAGAGGCAAAAAATCAGTTTCATCGACAGTTTGTTTACAATTTATAATTTCTCTATTTATTTTGAAAATAACTTCAGTTTAATGAATTGAACTTGCATGAAAATTCTCTACAAGGGGTGATCAAAAAGTTCACGAACTATCTCTATATTTAGAAAACCACTATTCAGATCAGAGTGAAATTTTGCACACATATAGTCATACACATGTTCTATAAATAGCAGATGTTAAATAATGTTTTGCTCCGTGTTTGTGACGTCACAATGTGAAAATGACGTCAATATGCGGGGCACTTGTGACAAAAAATAGTTGACTCAATCGTACTTGAGCTACGAACGGCTGTAAAGTTTAACGTATATCTTGGAAATTCCTTTGCAGTAGAATATGATAATTTGCACAAGGTTTAAGAAGAAAAAAAACTTACCAGAAGTTCAATCGTTAATTGGATTCATTGTTTAAGTGAAGTCAGGGAGATGGTTAAAAATGATGTTTGTTCTGTTGCCAAGCGAAAGCAAGCCGGGGAAAAGATGTGTCCTTAATTGAGCAATTTGTTATGAAACATCATCAAGTTACAATTAGAAAGATGGTTGAATATCTTAACAATAATATAATTATTAAATCCCTAAAATATCGTTTACTTAAGGCTTTAAACATGTGAGATATGATATTTATAAGGCGCCCATGCTTTGTCCACATTGGATAAATGACGCTCCCGAGACAGAGGACTCGGGTTGTGATGGGTCACCATACTAATTCTGGGAAGGGATATCCTTATCCACCCATCCTATTGCTGAGATTTGGTCATTTCTGACAGATGGACTGTTTTTGTTATAAAAAATAACTTGAATGGTAAGAAATATAAGACTCGGAAAAATCTTTCAGCTTCTGTGAACAGACTGCTACGGAGCATGTCACGTGACTGCCTGGATCACGTGATTCGCGTATGGGCAGACCAATGGCAGATGTGCAATAAATTCGGAGAGGACTACTTTAAAAAATAATGAACACTGAAACCTCATTTTATTTCTGTTAAGGAAGTTATTCAATTAGTTCGCGAACTTTTTGATCACCCCTCGTATATTCAATGATATCTGCATTCTTCATAACCTTGCAACAAACAACTGTGTAAATATGGTTCAGTTTCTAACACCCCACATGTGTAAATACTTGGTGTGTTCAATTTGCTAACACTCCACACATTACTGAACATGAACAACTGTGTAATATCAATCTTGAGAAATTTAAGATCAATACACTTTTATATGTTAAAACATTTATTTTGTTGATGTGTTAAGTTTTATTTCCTCTGATCAAATGGAAGTCATGTTATATTATCTTAAAATCAATGTTTGTGTTATCAATGTAACATCAAAAAACATAATGTCATGAGCGTTTCTCAAAATGACTCAACCTTTTCATTTCACACACAGCCTTTGGTACCTTACCCATTCATTAAAATGGTTTCTATACCACATTACACTTAGTTTATTAACAATTATTCAAGTATAAGTTAAATAAAAGAGAAAAGACAAAAATCTCCATATTTTTAATTGGTCCTTCTATGAAACAATATACCTGAAATTCCTAGTTTTGATAATTTTCAAACAAAAGGAGTACTAACTAAACAACACTTTTATAATATATAGGTATGAATATACATGTAAGTCATGAAATTCTATCATAATTTTTTAAGGATATAAACTTTAAATCTATGTCTATTCCCCTGTAAATGCTGGGTAATGTTAATGTTTTTTAGAAAAAAAAACTGTTATTTTATAGTTGATAGAGTCCTACATATATCAATTGAAACATCTTAAGGCATGACCATATATGTTCATCATACTTAAGTTCCATTTTAATTAACCACCACCACTGTGTAATTTTAAAAAGGGTACCAGTTTTTAAAAACTGAATAATAATGCCACTCTCAAAGTTTGCACATCACATTCAAAAATGGCATATTGAATTTGAGCTTTGGTTGAGAAAAAAATGTTTGTAACTATGCAAGGATAGTTTATATATATATATATATATATATATATATATATATATATATATATATATATATATATATATATATATATATATATATATATATTTATTTATTTATTTATTTATTTATAAAAAGAGATGGTTGGGACATCTTCATGCAAAGAGGGTGGGAAAGGGATGTGTCAAAATAAAGATAAGCAAAGAAAATATAAATTTCATTACTTACCTGTAGAACCCGGTGAAAAAATTGCTGAAAATTTACTTGTTTTGAGATATAAAGTTAACATGGCTTTTTTTCTGTAAATGGTCATGAAAGAGCAAGGGTCACTTAGGGCCTTTTTTGGCCCTATGAATTTCGGAAAAATTGAAACAGCTCAGTTTTGGTGGACAATGCAGTATTTATCACTTGAACCCTTGGTGACCGTGTATCTATTGTACATCATGTACATCATATATTCTCCCTAGTCAATGCATTATGACATCATGAAATCATGAAGTGCATCATTTTTCCCATACCCTGTAAATTCCTTTAAAAATGGCCAAAAGTTGAAGTATTTTTTCAATATTTCATATAGAGCACAATCTCTTACCCAAAATATAGAATTACATAATGAAAGATCTGTTTCTGAAGTGAAATATGAAGATAACGAACAGTATTAAATCACAAAGTCCTTCAAAACAATACAAATTGGGAGCAGAGCAAACACGGACCTCCAAAAATATCAGAAGAGGAGTGAGCATCCCCTGCCGACCGGTCACACCCGCCATGTGTGAACATTAAACATTTTAATTTTTGGATCCAGGGCTGTGCTCATATTTTAATTCTTTGCTGAAGGTAGTCAGATATGCCTGTTTCCTGTAATATTCAAGAACATTGCCTTTTCACAAAGCCTGTTTTTTCCAATACCTGCACCTTCAAAAAGAAATTTTGCTATAGGAAATGAAAGCACTAAGTCTCTACTTTATTTTGATGTATAAAATGGGACAGAGGGTGATGGTCAATTAATTGATATAAGGACAGGGCCATTTTATCCATGAAGTGAACCTAGCTTTTAATATATTATTAAAATTAGATTTGGTGAACCAAAAGAGTGTGCAGGGACAGTGTCTTTTCTGGTTTCGGATGATGCTTCCTACATAACTGGAGAAACTATTCTAGTGACTGGGGGCATCGATGCTAGGCTTTAGTGGGCGTGTCTACAGGGATATGGATGATAGACTCTAGTGGGCGTGTCTACTGGGATCTGGATGCTAGACTATCGTGAACGTGTCTACCATATGATGTGATTAATCTGTGAGAGGTTATGTGTATGCCTTTTTAGGACAATTAATTTTATAATCTGTGATATCATCGCATTATTTGATATTGTAATCATCTCAAACTGAGTGGATAAAGTATGTACATCTAATAAACATATGATGAAAAATGTTACATATCTTTGTTGTATTTATATATATTTGTCACTTGAGGAAACCTTTATTCCCTCAGGAGAGGGAGATAAATGCTTATTTATTTGACATGATTGATAGCATAGTATGGCTTCACTTTCATTTTGAGTGGAAAACTTGTATTCAATTCTTCTAGCTATTTTTGGCATTTCACATATAAAGCATGAACATTGTACATGTAAAGGCATGCATTTGAGAGAAACATGATCTAAATAAATTTTTAAGCAACTCAGTGGCTAATGTTGGTCTTTAACTACATCTTACATTGAGTTCCTGTTTTAATTGTGATAGAGAGTGTTTATCACAAAGACTGTGAGCTTGCAATCTGAAAGTATCACTCTGGTCCTCATCCCACCTTACAATGTCACTGACAGAGATGTTTATGGTCCTCATCCCACCTTACAATGTCACTGGCAGAAATGTTTATAGTCTTCCACCCACCTTACAATGTCACTGACAGAGATGTTTATGGTCCTCATCTCACCTCACAATGTCACTGATGAAGATGTTTATGGTCCTCCACCCACTTTATAATGTCACTGACAGAGATGTTTATGGTCCTCATCTCACCTTACAATGTTACTAACAGAGATGTTTGTGGTCCTCCATCCACCTTACAATGTCACTGACAGAGATGTTTATGGTCCTCATCCCAGTTTACAATGTCACTGACAGAGATATTTATGGTCCTCCATCCACCTTTCAATGTCACTGAAAGAGATGTTTATGGTCTCCCAACCACCTTTCAATTTCACTGACAGAGATTGTTATGGTCCTCCACCCACCTTACAATGTCACTGACAGAGATGTTCACATATAAATTTAATGGACCTCTGCCCACCTTACAGTGTCACTAACAGAAATGTTCACTTACAATTTTCATGCTTCTCCTTCCTAGGTATAATGTCACTGACAGAGATGTTCACATAAATTTTTTATGGTCTTCTACCCACCTTACAATGTCACTGACAGAGGTGTTTACAAACATTTCTAATGGTCCTCCTCTCACCATACAATGTCACTGACACAGATGTTCACAAACATTTTTATGGACTTTTACCCACATTCAAATGTCACTGACAGAGATGTACACATACAAATTGTATGGTCCTCAAACCACCTTACAATGACACTGACAAATGTTATTGTCCTCCACCTACCTTTCAATATCATTGACAGAGATGTTTATGGTCCTCCAACCACCTTACAATGTCACAGACAGAGATGTTTATGGTCCTCCACCCGCCATACAATGTTACTAATGGAGATGTTTGTGGTCCTCCATCCACCTTTCAATGTCACTGAAAGAGATGTTTATGGTCCCCCAACCACCTTTCAATTTCACTGACAGAGATGTTTATGGTCCTCCAACCACCTTACAATGTCACTGACAGAGATGTTTATGGTCCTCATCTCACTTTACAATATCATTGACAGAGATGTTTATGGTCCTCCAACCACATTACAATGTCACAGACAGAGATGTTTATGGTCCTTCACCCACCATACAATGTCACTGATGGAGATGTTTGTGGTCCCCCAACCACCTAAAATGTCACTGACAGAGATGTTTATGATCCTCCATCCACCTTTCAATGTCACTGAAAGAGATATTTATGGTCCTCCAACCACCTTACAATGTCACTGACAGAGATATTTATGGTCCTCATCTCACTTTACAATGTCACTGACAGAGATGGTTATGGTCCTCCAACCACCTTACAATTTCACTGACAGAGATATTTATTGTCCTCCATCCACCTTTCAATGTCATTGATTGAGATGTTTATGGTCCTCCTCCCACATTACAATGTCACTGACAGAGATGTTTATGTCCTCCATCTATCTTACAATATCACTGACAGTAATGTTTCTGGTCCTCTATCCACCTAACAGTGTCACTGACAGAGTTTTTTCTGGTCCTCTATCCACCTTACAGTGTCACTTACAGTGTCACTGACAGTGATGTTCACTTACAATTTTCATGGTTATCCACCCACCTTACAATGTCACTGACAGAGATGTTTACATATAAATTTAATGGACCTCTGCCCACCTTACAGTGTCACTGACAGTGATGTTCACCTACAATTTTCATGGTTCTCCTCCCACCTTACAATGTAACTGATATCAAAATATTTATACTATATTTGCTAACATGTATTTTACATTGGAGATGTTAGGAAATTAAAAGATCATTTTTTTCTTTTCTTTTGTTTTTACAATTGTATAACTTGATATAGAAATGGTAAAATAAGTTTTATATCTAGCAAGGACTCTATTTTGGCAAAACAATGGTGTAGAAAAGTATCACATTTTCTGCTTTTCACTACAGAATATTGAAATTAGTTCATATTTTTAAACAAACAAGAGCTTAAACGATTTTCTAAAGTATATGAAATTTATAATTAGGGACTTTCATTTTAGAATATTTGAAATGAATATGATTTTTCAAACAACTATCTTGTAAACTCTTGTAATTTTCAGATCTATAAAAAAAATTGAGTAAAAAATAGGAAAAGTTCTTTCCATTTTGTAAAATGCTCAAGTAGACAATTAACATTTTTAGTTTTTGTAGCATTCGGCATCGTTATTGAGTTCTTCGCCATATGTGAAAATAATAAAAAAAAATATACGAAGCATAGAAAAATAGTTATATTCCCTAAAAGTTAAGAAAATTAGAGGAAATTTTAAATAAGCCAACATCAGGCATCATATGATTGGCAAAAGTAATTTTTGTCCTTAATGTCAAGGGAATTAAAATGATATAACTTTCAAAATACAATAAATATGAGAAAAATCCATCCTTATATAAGAGGCCCACGGGCCTTATAGATCACCTTTCCAACAATTTGATTGGGTTCATGTTTGAAACTTGAAATTCACAATTTTGAAAAAAAAGAACCCTTGCTCATCATAACTGTACACTTAGTTTGCTAACTTAACACCCAGAAGCAGAGCAGAGGATTATCAAAGAAATAATGCATTTTTACTATATAATCTAAAGAGCCCCTATCCCACAGGAACTCCTGACCCTGGGGCCACACATTTCACAATTTGGAGACGACGCACGCCGACGGAGGAAAACAGATAGCAATAGGTCACCTGAGTCACATAGGTGACCTAAAAAATATTCAAGCAGCCGTTATGACACGATGAACTAAATTTACAATGCTTAAATGAAACAACTCTTCTCTTTTCTAATTTTCAAAAGTAAATCATTATAACCAGTGCTTGCTGTATTCCTAAAATTCACTCAAATTCACTCTTGTACCCCGAAAAGGCGTGGCGCACCCCCTCTAAAGCGATATCAAATTTAGTTTTCACTGTCATGCCTTGATTTAATAAATGTAAACATGTGTCAAAATAAGGTTCACTAATTACTCATTCTCAGGAGCCTGCGGTGCTTTGCCCCAGGCTCTTCATTCACACTGTCCTTAATCCCTGGGGATTTCGGCAGTACCCAAACCCTTGGCCATTTAATCATTTCAGTTGCGCCCCCTAACGCAAAATGATGGATCGTAGAAAAGCGTAGATCCTCCAGTGATTTTGTTAAATTTACATCCACAATTTTTTCAAATTGATAGATATAGGAGAAAAAATAGGATGATGTTCTTGATAATATTATATTTTTCTCTGAGCCAAGAAAGACAAAGCGTAGATGAAAGTTTCTATATGTGCATTGTGATTTAAGTTCCTACTTCGTTCCATGCACTTTCCACATAACGTCGAAAGTTTAATATAGAAATATGTAGAAAGAAATAAACTTCAAAGAATCCATTCTTTAATTAAAATCTGATGGAAATGTTGACTTAGCCTGCGTGTTCAAATCCTGATCCCAAGGACAAAGAAGTGGCTACAACAGGAGTTAAAGTTTTTACATGATCATATGCAAAAAACATACAAATTTAATATGCCAAGGACAAGAAGATTGAAAATTATCAAAGCATTATAAGAAAACTTCTCCATGCATAACTTTTGGACCGGAACAATGTGGGATAATGTCACAAAATATGTCATAGGAAAAACTTATCTAAGAATCCTTTCATCAAGAGCAAGTAAAATTCTGGAACGTTTGAATATGACGAGCGCCGTGGCTCTTGAACCTCTTGTGTTAGCCTACAGTTAAAAAATGATTGAGCAGGGAGATAGCCGTTAGACTTTTAATCTTCCTGGTGAAGATAAAAAGTGTAATCTATGTAAACTTTGACATATTAAGGTGTCAAACACAAGATTATGTTGACATACCGTTATAGCCCAATACTATATCAGTTCAGCAGAGATAGTATGCTGAATTTCTTTTTTGAAAATCTTACTTTAAATGGAAAATACGCTCTGCAATAATGGTATGCTTTTTTCATATAGACTTAAGATTTAACTTGTGCACAATATTTTGAATGGTCTATATAACATATAGTCTGTCTGTCTTAATTCTTGTACGGCATTTGAACTTTTTGTCTTCGTGTCGTAACCTTCTTTTATCATTTGTAGACGATAAATGACGTGAAGTGTTCTACACTTAATGCACATTGACTTTTATATATAAATAGAAACTAGTAATATGTTTAACATATTTGCAGGCATGAAATATATTGGAAATTTCTTATGTTTTTCAGTTGTGTTGTAAAATCACAGAAGTTTGCTTTTACTTAATATTTTCTATGACATTGTTGGCTTCTGCTGTCCCTGGTAAGTAACAGTCTTTTACACCTCCCTTTCCCTTATGGTGGCACGGTCGTTATAAAACTGGGATCGAAGTTAAAAAGATATTTGTGGTGTGTTAAAACATGTCTTTCTCAAGAAAATTATCGTTTATTTCGATATGAACATAGAAAGACTATGTTGAGATAAAATGTTATTTAATGAATATTTATTATTGAAAGACCTCGAATTCATTCTGATTAAAATTACCCCCTTCGTTTTATTGTTTTTTATGAGGTACGGCATAACATACTGTGATATTAATAAATTTCGTGGGGGTTAATTTTCGTTGTTTTCGAGGGTTGAAGAGACCCACGAATTTATGTCCACCACGAAATGTAATTTTTCACATATAAAACTACTCAACAATTCTCCCCCCACGAAATCAAATATTTTTTCCTCAATCCACGAAAATTTGACCCCCAAAAAATATGTGATTTTACAGTATTAAATAAAACGTAAATTATTTTTAACGACCATTACTTTGTATTGCAGTAATCCTTTTGTATATTCTATTCATACCAGAATTTATCCTGTAAACACAAGTAATATAATCCTTATAAATATAAGTAATATAATCCTTATAGATATAAGTAACATAAAACTTATAAATATAAGTAATATAATCCTTATGAACATAAGTAATATAATCCTTATAAGTATTATGATCATTATATAAATATATAATGACCCTTATATTAGTAATATAATCCTTATAGATATAAGTAATATAATCCTTATAAATATAATATAACCCTTGTAAACATAAGCAATATTATCCTTATAAACATAAGTAATATTATCCTAATAAATATAAGTAATATAATCCTTAGAAATATAATTTAATCCTTATAGATATAAGTAATATAATCCTTAGAAATATAATTTAATCCTTATAGATATAAGTAATATAATCCTTAGAAATATAATATAATCCTTAGAAATATAATAAATGTATTATCATTATAAACATAAGTAATATAATCCTTATAAATGTAAGTAATATAAGTGACATAAACCTTATAAATATAAGTTATATAATCAGTATTTATATAAGTAATATAATCCTTATAAATATGAGTAATATAATCCTTATAAATATAAGTTATATAATCCTTATAAATATAAGTAATATAATCCTTATAAATATAATCCTTATAAATATAAGTAATATTATCCTTATCAATGTAAGTAATATAATCCTTATAAATATAAGTAATATAATCCTTATAAATATAAGTAATATAATCTTTATAAATATAATATAATCCTTATAAATATAAGAAATATAATCCTTATAAACATAAGTAATATAATCCTTATTTTTAGATTGTGGAGAAAATATTCCTTGCAATAGGAATCCTTACAAGGCTGGTGGTTCCCCTTTTCTGGTGGATAAGGAAACCATTGGTGTTCCGATTGTCCATTCGTTTTCATGTAATCCAAAAGATGGCTTCTACAGGATCAAGGTTACTTGTATGACCGAGGACTACCAAGTAGACGGACCCACAGAATCCGCCTGTAAAAATAATCATTGGGTTCCAGAATTACCACATAAATGTGTTCGTAAGTCATCTCTTACGTTCTACATAAAATCTACCAGTAATAAAAAAAAGTCAGTATTTCCGTTCCTTTGAAATACTAGTACCCCTCAGTCTTGTTTATTCAAATACTCCAAGTTCTTTTGTACATGTTTTCATATTATTTCATTCGTTGATATTATTGCAACATATATACCTCAAAATAGAACAACAGCAACCGTACTGCTATACATATCTCACACTGGTTTAAAATTTTCTACTAAAAATGACAGGAAATGGAGCAATAATGAAATTTACTTTTTCAGCGATAAAAGTGGCAGCGAAAAAGGATCAGAAGTGGGTGTATATCGGCGGTGGTCTGGGTGGTGGGGCGTTGGCCATTATTCTATTGGTCGTAACCATCTCTATCGTCTGTTACAGGGCCAAACTCAGGTTTGAGAACGCATCCTTACTTTCATATGTCTAGAATTTAAAAAAATGCTTTCTTTAGTTGTTGATATTGGTCATAACCTTTGTGATATAAAAGACACAACTGTTAAATAAATCTACAGTTGACAAGAAATGTATGTTGTTTTTTAACTGTAACATGTTCGTGCACACACAATACACTAGTATATCAGTGACATCATTTACGATTTAATGATTATATTTTTTGTACAATATCTTTGTGGTTGATTTTTGGTTATTTGTACATTATTTTTATTGTTTATTTTTATTATTTGTACATTATCTTACGTAGATCAGAGAAAGAAGGAGAAGAGATTTTAAAGATGAAGAAATTTGGGTCACACACACTTGGACCCAACGCAGAACGATTCTACAATAATAGTTACCTACACGCAGTTGACACCAAGTAAATAAATATTTATATATCAGAAATGCATCAGAAAGATGAATTGAAAAATATTTTGTAGTTAATCTTGTTTATCCCACTTTTGATATTTCTAGTCTTCACAAAGTTTGGACAATCAAAAGAACCCGCAAAAAGTTTTTCTATGCAGATACTTTGGGGAAACTATTGGCAAAGGGTGAGGAATTTATTATCTCTACTAGAAGGTTGTAACTGTTGCTCTCTAACATCAGATTTATCTTTAAATTATTTACTTCATCCTTTGTATTCTGGCTTTTATTCAGCTGGTACGGAATTCGGATGCCAAGGTAATGTTCGATTGGTACTGGAGGAAGATGGAACACAGGTGGAAACGGATGAAATTCTGAGAGCATGCGCGGGGAGAGTCATGTTGATACTTGGAGGAAATGAAGTTTGGCAACCAGAGATTAAACTCTATGATAATGAGGCTTACAGGCAAATAAAAAACAACTACTGTATTAGAAAAACGTAAAAAGAAAAAAAAAGAAAAGTATTTATATAGAGATATTATTGTTCTCTAAAATATTCTTTAAGTTTGACATCTTATTTGGCAGATTGACATTCGATGTGTGCTCCTTTGATCGAAAAGACAGAAAACTAGTCCTTGCTGACAGTATAAAGGATCTTAAATATCAAGGTAGTTATCACTGCAAAGAGAGAAAATCAATCAATCAATATGGAGATGTAAATATCATTTGTTTGCAAAAATATGGAATAAATGTTCAAAAATAGTTGATGTACATTAAGGACGGAACAAATTAATCAAGCGAGTAACCTGAATTTTTAGGATCCACCAGCTTCGGTTACTCTGTGACTTCTGTGTGTTTGGAGGAAGATGGTACAATGATTGATGATGACAGGACGCTGTGTTCGTGCTCCATGAAAACACTTATGCTTCTTGGCGTAGAGCATGCGTGGATGGGATCTCCCAGTGGTTTGGTTACTTTACCATTATATAAAGATATGTCCATTACAGATCCAAATACGGAGAGCTACAGTGATGAGTCTCAAGTGTACGTTAACCACATTAGCTTATTTCATATTCAATTAATAAGACTTGCATATATATAATTTATGTATTTAGGTTTAATGAAATTCATCCCCCAAAAAACTCCAACCACAAACACTTGATACATGTATTATAAACACTTAAATCTTCTTACGTACAAAAACGATATACATTGGAAGTGTTGATTTTAAGGGTGAATGTACTATTAAATTTGATTAAATGACTGTTATCAAGGCGTTTTTTAAAATTGTTTCTATCACTCTTGAACAAAAATTTGTTATCAAAATAGGGGGGTGTACAAAGTGTGGACAGAGGACCGAAAAATAAAGAAAGTTGTTTTTGCAGAAAATATTATTGACCTACATCTCAAAGGTAAGCATAACAGTTTCAACGTTTTCTGTCCCATTTTAAAAGATGCACTACTTACTGAATACTATTATACTAATTAAATAGCTTCGAAAGCCCTTGGACTCCGGACACCCGTGGTCGTAACTTTAGAAAACAATGAGACATTTGAAATCGCAGATGATGACATCCTCAAAGAAAATACTGGAAAAATACTGATAGTCAGGGAGAAAATCGCAGAAACTAGTTTTAACCAGGTTAATGGTAAGTTGGTATGATGAATAAATGAAAGTTGTTTTTTTTTTGATAATTTTTCTTACATAATGTTAGTAAATATAATGAATGCACTGAATATTACATGTGTTTATAGATCACTTATATGACGATCCTGTAGGACAGAACAAATATAATCCACAACAATCCTGGCCAGGGCACCAATTGAACTCTGTGAATTACAATTATGATGCTTTCAGCAGTCAATTGTATGGAGCACGGAATTCTGTACACGAAAACTCCGGGTTTCAACAGATTCCTAGATCTGTTAATCAATTTCAAAACCAAAGATTCAATTCTGTCTCCTCGTTTCGTGCATAGCTATATGTTTGAAAGAAGTGTTTGTGTCATGTCAGGTTTTTGCAACGCTCTCTCTTTCTCTCTCTCTCTCTCTCTCTATATATATATATATATCGGCCATCTAGGCAAGTCAAAAAACTTGCTTTCGATGCCGATGGAATTCTCGCGGCGCTGTCCTACACTACACGGTCACTGAGAATGGAAGTGAGATACAGTTACTAGTATTTGGACATTAGTTTTATTAGAGGATCGTTACCGATACACATTGTAATGAATTAATTTTAATTTATAAAGCACATTTTATAACAACTCTTAAACTAACATAACTGCCCTAAGTGAAGATACATGTATGCATGTATTGATATAGAAAGCACAAAGAAATTCACTTTTATAAGGATACTCACTTCCACCCCAGCAGTACAAGAAGTGAGTTGTTGTAAACAATATTGGTCAGTTGTTAATTGCTGTTCAATGTTAATTACCCAGTCTGACTTGTGTTTCTCTAATGATTTTAATTAAATGATCGTTGAGTAATGTGAGCTGATTATAATATGTACCTAACCTCTACTGTCCTTTGCTGTTATCTATCAATCAAATTATATTTTTAAACAAACATTGTATATTGAGCGATAGTATAAACGTAGTTTTGATAACGGTGCATAACTTGCGTGACATCTCTCCTGATTTTTTTAAAATGGATATGATACTTGATCAGGCATTTTTCATGAGTTTCTTCTTTTTTTCTTTTTTACTTTCTTTTTTAATTTTCATAAATTTTTTTACTGTCAAAATTGAAATAAAATATATGTTAGTAGCGTTCTGATCAAATAAAAATAATACCGGTATTACTACATCTACATGTAACATCTGTATAGTCTTGTTTATTAATATGTTTACAATGATGGAATATGTTCAGAATTTTTTGACACGATTAACCGACTAGTCGGTCGGAACGTCTTGCGGTTAACCGATTGGCAATTCTGCATTCGATTGCCATCCCTAATATAAACAATATCTTAGCAGATCAGCATATACCAGGGTAATAAATATTTTTCATTATGTTATCTAATATGAATTTAATATGTATGACATTAAATGCTAATATTATTTTCACATAATTATACTTTGTATTTTTAATTTTATGATTCTCTAATGAACACAAAAAATTTAGAGATACAAAAATCGTTGTCAAAACTCATTAAGACAATTTTCAAAACTGTCTATCTTGAATCCTCTATAACTGATTATATGTATACCTTTTTGTTTCTTTTTCTTGTTAATATACTTGTCTCTTTTTCACCATTGACTGTTATTTGTCTTTGTATATATTTGTATATATATACCTCTTGTACCAGGGATCTGGTTTTGTAGAATAAAGAATTGAAATTGTTGTGATAATTATTGCTCTTTCTATTCACTGAGCCATTTTTTTCTTATCGTGGCTAACCATAACAAGATACCCATGGGCTACCTCGCTCACCTGAGCACATTGGCTAGGAAGATGCAGAAATGAGTTCAGTATTGAACGGTAGAACTTGAATAAACACTACCTGCTTCCATATTAATATTACTAATCATGGCTTTGCTGTTTTTAAACAGAATTTTAAAGATTTGTTTCCCTATGTATATCTATAAAACTCTTTTCACACTAGAATGCTATGTCATCAAACTGGTTAAGCAACAGTGGCAGGCAGAGATCTACAAATATTGGCATTTAAAATTTTCAAACCACCCATCCTTGCCATGATGAATGAAGGTTCAGACAAATTTTAATTCAGACGTGCCTACCCTTTTTATTGCGAAGGTGTAATTTCAATACTCATTTTGGTGGAGTTTCAGAGGTAAAGGCGTAATCCGTTATGTTTCCTTAGTTTGATGTTTTGTAATGATACTATATTGTCTAAATAAGGGTGTTGCTAAACGCGGAACGGAAAAATTTGATGTCAAGTTCTTCATTTTGCACAGGTATTCAGACATAGGAAACAATATTCTTTATCTAATGCATGCAGTTCATATTTAATAAAAAGTTATCTTAACAATGTGATTTATTTATGATTCCCCCAAAACACGTGGCATAAACATGCATCAATAAAATGCACAATAATTAGACTCCCAACTATCTATCAGAATGTCTCATTTATCACTCATCCAAATCTGGAATTAAAAACTGGCTTATTCGTCAGACGAAATCATCATTATTAATTATAAAAGGGACAATGTTGTTTTGAAACAGGCGGAGAGAAAGAGAAAGACAGAGTATATATATACATTTGTGTTAGAGGCAATGATCACTGTCTTTAAGGACAATTTTAAAAAAAAGTTTATCACAGCTACAGAACTGTTGATGCAATCCACATGGACCTGAAACGGGGATCTAAGAAAGATAGCATAGATGTATATGACCAAATTGCGCAAACTCATTACATAGAATAAACGTAAAGATGGATGGGAAATTGACATATTTTCGAGAAAATTTAGAGTTGTTATTTACATTTTAGTATTGGGGGGGGGGGGGGGGGAGGGGGGCAGAAATGTACGCCATCCCTGCTTAAGGTGCATGGGTGCATATGCATTAAAAATTACGGAATTTTTATTTTTCGCTCATACAGCTCACAAGGATATCGAAAACCTGCCGTTCATATTGATCAGACTGATCTTCAATAAAGTTTTCCCACTTATATATACAAATATTTTATTGGCACAAACACAATTACAGTAATTGGTAAAGGCCCATACAGAACATATATACAGAGCATAATAATACAGTAGAACACAAGAATACAAACAATTGGTGTAGCAAATAATGTAGTGTACTCATCAGATACTAAATAATTCACAACAATGTAGTTACTCATTTATAGCTAAAACGTTTTTTCTAATATCAGATATTTGACATAACCAGAAGTCTCTGATGAGACTGTAGCTCTACTGGTCTGTACGTATAACAAAGGTAAAGTATCACTTGGATTTGAAACTTTGCAACATGTAGCAATAATTAGAATTATGTATCTTAATGTAATCTACTTCTGTGCCAAGTTATATTGAAATCAAACGAAATCTGTTGGAGGAGTAGCGTTTTAAAGGAATTTCACAGAATTTTCTATTTTTAGTAACCACGGCAACACCGTGCATTGAAATCAAAAATCGATGCACTAAATTATGTATCTTAGTGTAGTCTACTTGTGTGCCAAGTTATACTGAAATCAGATCAAAACTGTAAGAGGAGTAGCGTTTTAAAGGAATTTCACAGAATTTTCTATTTTTAGTAACCACGGCAACACCGATCATTGAAATCAAAAACCAATGCACTAAATTATGTATCTTAGTGTAGTCTACTTGTGTGCCAAGTTAAATTGAAATTAGACCAAAACTGTAGGAGGAGGAGTAGCGTTTTAAAAGAATTTCACAGAAATTTCTATTTTTACTAACCACGGCAACACTGTTCATCGAAATCAAAACCAATGCACTAAATTATGTATCTAAGTGTAGTCTACTTCTATGCCAAGTTATACTGAAATCAGACCAAAACTGTAGGAGGAGTAGCGTTTTAAAGGAATTTCATAGAAATTTCTATTTTTAGTAACCACGGCAACACCGTTCATTGAAATCAAAAATCGATGCACTAAATTATGCATCTTAGTGTAGTCTTCTTGTGTGCCAAGTTATATTAAAATCAGATGAAAACTGTAGGAGTATCATTTTAAAGGAATTTCACAGAAATTTCTATTTTTAGTAACCATGGCAACATCGTTCATCAAAATCAAAATCCGATGCACTAAATTATGTATTTTAGTGTAGTCTACTTGTGTGCCAAGTTATATTGAAATCAGACCAAAACTGTAGGAGGAGTAGCGTTTTGAAAAATTGTTTACAGACAGATGGACAGACAGACAGACGGACGGACGACGGACACCTTACTATCGCATAAGCTCTTCTGGTCTCTGACCAGTAGAGCTAAAAATGAAGATAATATTTTAAGAACCCTTTTACACCTGGTTTTCATCAATGATTTTAACAAATTGTCATTATTATGGATTGTTTGGTTGAAATTAGGGAAAGTAGATAATTTTGTTTTGAATATTTTTCTCTGTGCTTCATATTTCGGACAGAGCAAAATGAAATGTTTTTCATCCTCAATATCAAGGTTTTGACAAACTTTACACAACCTATCATTTTTATTAATTTCAACATATCTAGCTTTTTCAATTTCTAAATTATGTGCACTTAGCCTAATTTTTGCTAAAAATGATCTATCATGCAGTGACTCTAGTTTGTCAACATAATGTGCACGTTTATTATTAAAACAGAAGTTTCGATAGAATGATAGTTTTGAGGAGTTCATAATACATGCATTTTGTTCTTGTAATATTTGATCATGAATACGTTGCTTAACAATGCCAAGCACTGGTTTCAATGACATATTAAAATTTGTTAAATAAGAAAATCCTAAGTTATTAAGACAAGTCCTTAAACACATAGACCATGTGTTATTTTCTTTAGTTTTGTTATTTCCTATGTAACATGTGTCATCAGGTTTTCACAAGGGATATATAGGTTTTCCTTTTACTCTGTCTGAGTTAATGACTGGAATGATTATTAAGACAGCTCTATCTGTGGGTATATCATATAAGACTTAAATTTTCTCTCATCTAGATATGGGGACTGGGTAAGGTACTACTTGCACCATGTTTCTCCCCAAGGTTCCCATTGATAGATTAGAACCAGCTAGATAGATAAGAACAGTGTTGTATAGGCGCCAACAACCAAGAACAATGTGGTATAGGAGCCAATAACCAAGAACATTGTGGTATAGGAGTCAACAGCCAAGAACAGTGTGGTACAGGAGCCAATAACCAAGAACATTGTGGTATAGGAGCCAACAGCCAAGAACAGTGACATATAGGAGTCAACAACCAAAAACAGTGTGGTACAGGAGCCAACAACCAAGAACAGTGTGGTACAGGAGCCAACAACCAAAAAAAGTGTGGTATAGGAGCAACAACCAAGAACAGTCACGTATAGGAGTCAACAACCAAAAACAGTGTGGTACAGGAGCCAAAAACCAAGAACATTGTGGTATAGGAGCAACAACCAAGAACAGTCACGTATAGGAGTCAACAACCAAAAACAGTGTGGTACAGGAGCCAAAAACCAAGAACTGTGGAATAGGAGTCAACAACCAAGAACAGTGTGGTATATGAGCCAACAACCAAGAACAGTGTGGTATAGGAACCAACAACCAAGAACATTGTGGTATAGGAGCTGACAACCAAGAACAGTGTGGTTTAGGAGTCAACAACCAAGAACAGTGTGGTACAGGAGCCAACAACCAAGAACAGTGACGTATAGGAGCCAACAACCAAGAACAGTGTGGTATAGGAGCCAACAATCAATTACAAAGTGGTATAAGAGCTAACAACAAAGAACAGTGTGGTCTAGGAGTCAACAACCAAAAAACAGTGACATATAGGAGCCAACAACCAAGAACAGTGTGGTATAGGAGCCAACAATCAATTACAAAGTGGTATAAGAGCTAACAACCAAGAACAGTGTGGTACAGGAGCCAATAACCAAGAACAGTGACGTATAAGAGCCAACGACCAAGAACAGTGTGGTATAGGAGTCAACAATCAATTACAAAGTGGTATAAGAGCTAACAACCAAGAACAGTGTGGTACAGGAGCCAGTAACCAAGAACAGTGTGGTGTAGGAGTCAACAACCAAGAACAGTGACGTATAGGAGTCAACAACCAAAAACAGTGTGGTACAGGAGCCAACAACCAAGAACAGTGTGGTATAGGAGCCAACAACCAAAAACAGTGTGGTATAGGAGTCAACAACCAAGAACAGTGACGTATAGGAGTCAAGAACCAAGAACAGTGTGGTACAGGAGCCAACAACCAACCAGAAGTCTCTGATGAGACTGTAGCTCTACTGGTCTGTACATATACATGTAACAAAGAAAAAGTAGCACTTGGATTTGAAACTTTCCAACATGCAGCAATAAATAGATTTATGTATCTTAATATAGTCTACTTGTGTGCCAAGTTAAATTGAAATCAGATCAAAACTGTAGGAGGAGTAGCGTTTTAAAAGAAATTCACAGAAATTTCTAGTTTTAGTAACCATGGCAACATCGTTCATCCAAATCAAAAACTGATGCTCTGAATTATGTATCTTAGTGTAGTCTACTTGTGTGATAAGTTATATTGAAATCAGATCAAAACTGTAGGAGGAGTAGCGTTTTAAAGGAATTTCACAGAAATTTCTATTTTTAGTAACCATGGCAACACTGCTCATCCAAATCAAATACCGATGCACTAGATTATGTATCTTAGTGTAGTCTACTTGTATGCCAAATCATATTGAAATCAGATCAAAATTGTGGAAGGAGTAGCATTTTAAATGAATTTCACAGAAATTTCTATTTTTAGTAACCATGGCAACATCGTTCATGGAAGTCAAAAACTGATGCACTAAATTATGTATCTTAGTGGAGTCTACTTATGTGCCAAGTTGTACTGAAATCAGACCAAAACTGTAGGAGGAGTAGCGTTTTAAAGGAATTTCACAGAAATTTCTATTTTTAATAACCATGGCAACACTGCTCATCCAAATCAAAAACCGATGCACTAGATTATGTATCTTAGTGTAGTCTACTTGTGTGCCAAGTTATATTGAAATCAGACCAAAACTGTAGGAGGAGTAGCGTTTTAAAGGAATTTCACAGAAATTTCTAATTTTAGTAACCATGGCAACACCGTTCATCCAAATCAAAAACCGATGCACTAAATTATGTATCTTAGTGTAGTCTACTTGTGCGCCAAGTTATATTGAAATCAGACCAAAACTGTAGGAGGAGTAGCATTTTGAAAAATTGTTTACAGACAGACGGACAGACAGACAGACAGACAGACAGACGGACGGACGCCGGACACCTTACTATCGCATAAGCTCTTCTGGTCTCTGACCAGTAGAGCTAAAAACAGTGTGGTATAGGAGCCAACAACCAAGAACAGTGACCTATAGGAGCCAACAACCAAGAACAGTGTGGTATAGGAGCCAACAATCAATAACAAAGTGGTATAAGAGCTAACAACCAAGAACAGTGTGGTACAGGAGCCAATAACCAAGAACAGTGTGGTACAGGAACCAACAACCAAGAACAGTGTGGTATAGGAGTCAACAAACAAGAATAGTGTGTTATAGGAACCAGCAACCAAGAACAGTGTGGTATAGGAGTCAACAACCAAGAACAGTGTGGTTTAGGAGTCAACAACCAAGAACAGTGTGGTTTAGGAGCCAACAGCCAAGAACAGGGTGGTATAGGAGCCAACAGCCAAGAACAGTGACATATATGAGTGGTACTATCAGCAATAAAGTACAGTATGGACTTACACCAATGTTCAACATGTGGACATTGTTCCACTTATTTGTGTAACTGACATGATGGAAAACTCCTCGTGCAAAGTCAAAGACCACCAAATTTCAGCATATTCTAAGACACAATCAAGTTTTAAAACTTTTGAGACAAAAAAATAGTGCAGAAGGAATGGCCAAAAAAGGAGAAATCTAGCAAACAAAAAATAATCAGAACCAGTAAGGTATAAAAACAAGAAGAAATGAATCCTACGTATTGAGAATTAGTGAAGCTGAGACAAGATCATATTTCAATGCATCCAAATATTGTTCTAGAAGTTTGAAACACAAGTACTGATAAAAAATAGAACTAAAAAAAGTCTTGAGTATACAAGTGCTTAAACCTGGTCACTCATCCAGAAAATGTAGGTCAGATCCAGCATCTGAAGTATGTCTTGTAGTGTAAATCCCTAGAAGCTTTGGTAACCATAGGGCTTATAAAAACTAGAGAATTGACTTGCTCCAAAACCTTTAACCTAGTCATTATCTGGAAAATGAAGGTCAGATCCAACATCCAAAACAAGTCAGCTAGTGCATATCCCTAGATGCATAACCCATGCATGTTTGGTCCAGGTAGAGCCTATAGTTACTTGAGAATGGACCTGCTCCAGAAAGTTTAGCCTAGTCACTCATCCAGAATATATAGTCATATCTAGTCTCTGAAGCTTGTCTAGTAGAGTGCATCCTTAGCATGCATCATCATTCATGCAAGGTTGATCCAGATTGAGTCTATAATTCCTTTTGTCATTAAATGGACTTGCCTCAGAAACCTTAACCTGGTCACTCGTCAGGAAAATATAGGTCAGGTCCAGCCTCTGAAGCATGTCTGGTAGAGTACATCCTTAAATGCATCATCCAAGCAAGTTTGGTCCTGTTAGGCCTTACAGTTACTTAAGAGTGGACTAGCTCCAAAAACTTTAACCTGATCACTCTTCTGGAATATGTTGGTCAGATCTAGCATCTGAAAAATGTCTGGTAGTATATCATCCAAACAAGTTTGGATCAGGTACGACTTGAAGTTACTTTGGAATGGACTTGTTCCTAAAACTATTTAGATAAACTCATCTCAACTTTGCCGTGGTTACTGAGCTAATGATCTATCAAGATTTTTAATATAAGTTCTATATCAAAATATTTGTCAAGAATTAACATTTCATTGTACATATCACATAAAACTTCAATTAAGAGATGAATTTAATTTTTGAGAATTCATGAGGACATGAACTACAACGCTTCACGCCTGCATATTTCAAGAAGAGTGTTAGCGCTTCATGATAAATATGCAGGCGTGAAGCGTTGTAGTTCATGTATCTCATGAATTCTCAAAAATTAAATTCATCTCTTATATTTACATTATTTTTCTGATGACTTGCCACATATTTTTGTCATTCAACGATCATTTTTGAAAAAAAAAAGTTTGCACTATTTTTTGACTTCAATCACATCACAATGGAAATATTCTTACTCATCCCACGGTAGTTCATGAGAACATGAACTTTTTCTAATTTGCAAAGAATCTTAAGGAAAAATATTTGGAAATGTAAATATGATATAAATTAGAGGTGCATTATAGTAACAGAATATGTGAACAATTAAAGGACATTTCTATATCAGATTCTGGAAAACTAACTTTTTATACTAATATAATAAATAAATGAATATAAATTACAGAACTCCCTACAATTACCACTGAAGAAATCTGAAAGAACAATCCTTACAAAACTAAGAATTATTGCTCATACACTACATATAGAAATGGGGAGATACTCAAGGCCACCTATTCCTAGAGAAAAACGTGTATGTCATTCTTGTAAACTTTTTATTGAAAATGAAAAACATTTCAGACTTTACTGTCCTAGTTATGATCAGTGTAGATTACAATATTGCGATATATTTAATGCTCAATGTTACAAGAAGGAAAAACCTATTACTGACATTATCAACCCTCCAAGTAATAAAATTGCTAGAAGAGTATGTAACTCTCTGAAAAAGTACTCTGATATTAGAAAAGAAACTTCAACATAACTGATATGCTTATTGAGATGATTTTATGCATGTTAATTGTTTGTTGTATTCATGACTATATGCCAATGTATGATGGTATTGTCAATAAATAAATAGAAATACATCATCCAGTACCTGAATCACAAGGGCTCATCAGTGTAGCTTTGTGGGAGCTACAGGTTTTAGATACAACATATAAAACTGTGTATTTTGTTTTCTTTATTGTATAATTAATGTATGGCAGTATAAAAATATATCCAGATCTCATTATTTGAAATTAATTCACAGAGATAAAAAAGTATCTCTTTTACAAATAAGGAACAAATATACATGTACAGATATTTTTCAGCACATAAGGCTAAATGAATGATATACTCAGCCAAATCTGTGTGTGCACTCTTGTGTAGGAGACATAAATGACATTCTCTCACATCCACAATACACTCAGTCACAGGTTTTTGTAAACTCCAAAATATGTATAACAAAAATTATCACACAATAAAACAACCTGAAACAAGGACAACAAACAGGAGACAACAAACAATGACCCACTCACAAAATCAAAGTTTCTAACTAAACTTACATTCACCATGTAATAAACAAGGACAAGAAATAAGAAAAATCACGACAGCTATAGAAAAGTAACTGGTCAATTGACACACCTCATCTTAACCTAACTACCTTTGATATTTTTTCAACTCTTTAATATCATCATAATAAGAATCTAAGCAGTTCTGTCTAATTCATTAGCACTCTCTAATACAGGGAGGAAGAAATGCTGGACAGGAAGTGTAAAATCAAGTCTATAATGGTGAAAGTTGCACTCTTTTGCAGATTTGGAATCACGTGTCACCAGTCATGATGGCTATAAATTCATCTTCATTTACTGAAAAAGAAAAAAAAAATGATTTTTTTAAAATATGTTTCAAAAAATATATTACATAATATGATCATATTCTTGCACCAAAGCTTTGAATTACTTGACTGTCCAAGTAAAATATTTATAACTTACTTTCACCATCTCCATCTCTGTCAAATTCATCAATCATGGCCCGTAACTCTTCGTCTGTCATGTTTTCACCTAGCTCTCTGTAAATAAAACACAAGCTAATTGTGTAAACTGATGTCTAATACCCCAACACTGACATTAAGCATGCACATTTACCCTAAATATCCTCTGTAGATATTTAATGAAAAGTTTAAAACACTGCACACATAAGTCATATGTATTCATACATATACAGTTGAAAACTGTCCAATCTGACTCCTGTGCAATCCATCACACTGTGAAATCCGACGTTAAATTTCGTTCCCATTTTACTATATTCCATTTTTTTTAAACTGTGCAACCCGACACCCTGTCTATTCCGACACAAAATTCATCTCCCAGTGCATGTCAGATTAGACAGGTTTCACTGTAATAACATAAATAATTTTTCTTTTTTTTTGAACAGCTATAAGTTATCACAAAGACACCCCCCCCCCCCCAAGTAAAATGTTCAACATTGTCCCCTTACCTGGCTACTCGACGTAAATTCCGTAGACTAATTTTCCCTGATGTGTCGTCATCAAACAGCTTAAAGGCTTTCAGGATTTCCTCTTGTGGGTCTCTCTCTAACATCATGTCAGTCACTGTAACAAAACAGGTAACAGAGTGAAGAAACAGCCACTAACTACAAAGTTGAGGCATACTGATTTATTAGGATTAATTTTAGAACAGTTGATTATGTACTTCCCAGTTTAGGCCAAAATCATATATTCATATGATGTATGTATCCTGACATTCTAATTTTCAGTAAATCAGTTTAATATACCTGAACCACAAAGCAACAACAGGAATAGCAGCTAAATTCTGAGATATGCTGACAACTACCATGGAATCATTAGATTTCGTGGTGGCTCAATATTCATGAAATGCGTGGATACTCTTACATCCTCCACGAATTAATACACTAGGGTTTCAAAGATATATTTCATTTAGTAGATATCAATGCACAAAATTACGTGGCCACAAAACTGTAAAATTTAAGCAAAGTTCTGAAACATGCTGACAACTATCCTGACTAAGTTCTGAGACATGCTGACAACCATCCTGACAAAGTTCTAAGACATGCTGACAACTATCTTGACTAAGTTCTGAGACATGCTGACAATTATCCTGACTAAGTGCTGAGACATGCTGACAACTATCTTGACTAAGTTCTAAGACATGTTGACAACTATCCTGACTAAGTTCTGAGACATGCTGTCAACTATCCTGACTAAGTTCTGAGACATGCTGTCAATTATCCTAAGTTCTATGACATGCTGTCAACTATCCTAACTAAGTTCTGAGACATGTTGACAACTATCCTGACTAAGTTCTGAGACATGCTGACAACTATCGTGACTAAGTTCTAAGACATGTTGACAACTATCCTGACTAAGTTCTGAGACATGCTGACAACTATCTTGACTAAGTTCTAAGACATGATGACAACTATCCTGACTAAGTTCTGAGACATGCTGATGTCAAAATATTAACGTGAAATAAATCAACAAATTGGCTTATTTACTTACTGACTTCATTGAAGTCTTCAAATGAAATTTTTCCAGTTCCTTCTCTATCATAGTCTCGGAGAATTTTTAAAACATCTGCCTTCTTTACATCAAAGCCTAGGGCCCTCATGGCTACCTGGGTAATGAGAAAAAATAATGAGACTTAATATCAAAGCCTGAGGTCCTCACTGCTACCTGGGTAAATAAGAAAATACAATCAGGCTTGACGTATGCTTACGTTAGCATCATATTTTAAATACTGAAAAATTATAACATATAAGTTGTTACATGTATGACAGGAGTCAAAGAATTTTACCAAGACTTAGTAAACATAACTATTCAATTGATTACAACATTAAACATTTAAACAGCACTTTGTTTTTTTGAAATTCAGATCTTCATACCAGTGTAACTGTAATATATAATACGATAGTATCATCACATAAGAAGTTTCATGTCGACATCACTACAAACCTTGAGTTCATGATAGTCAATAGCTCTGTCTTTATCAGTATCAAACAAATCAAATGACTACAAACCTTGAGTTCATGATAGTCAATAGCTCTATCTTTATCCGTATCAAACAAATCAAATGACTACAAACCTTGAGTTCATGATGGTCAATAGCTCTGTCTTTATCAGTATCAAACAAATCAAATGACTACATACCTTGAGTTCATGATAGTCAATAGCTCTGACTTTATCAGTATCAAACAAATCAAATGACTACATACCTTGAGTTCATGATAGTCAATAGCTCTGACTTTATCAGTATCAAACAAATCAAATGACTACATACCTTGAGTTCATGATAGTCAATAGCTCTGACTTTATCAGTATCAAACAAATCAATTGACCTTGAGTTCATGATAGTCAATAGCTCTGTCTTTATCAGTATCAAACAAATCAAATGACTACAAACCTTGAGTTCATGATAGTCAATAGCTCTGACTTTATCAGTATCAAACAAATCAAATGACCTTGAGTTCATGATAGTCAATAGCTCTGTCTTATCAACTGGTATCAAACAAATCAAATGACTACAAACCTTCAGTTCATGATAGCAATAGCTCTGTCTTTATCAGTATCAAACAAATCAAATGACTACAAACGTTGAGTTCATGATAGTCAATAGCTCTGTCTTTATCAGTATCAAACAAATCAAATGACTACAAACCTTGAGTTCATGATAGTCAATAGCTCTGTCTTATCAACTGGTATCAAACAAATCAAATGACTACAAACCTTCAGTTCATGATAGTCAATAGCTCTGTCTTTATCAGTATCAAACAAATCAAATGACTACAAACCTTGAGTTCATGATAGTCAATAGCTCTGACTTTATCAGTATCAAACAAATCAAATGACTACATACCTTGAGTTCATGATAGTCAATAGCTCTGTCTTTATCAGTATCAAACAAATCAAATGACTACAAACCTTGAGTTCATGATGGTCAATAGCTCTGTCTTTATCAGTATCAAACAAATCAAATGACTACAAACCTTGAGTTCATGATAGTCAATAGCTCTGTCTTTATCAGTATCAAACAAATCAAATGCCTCTTTTATCTCCTGTTTCTGTTCATCAGCTAATTCTCTTTTCTTCTTTTTCTTGCTTTTATCTAAAGCAAACTCAGCTCTATAAAAGAGAGATGTTCACCATCATTTCTGGTACTCATTTATTGAAAAAAAAATAAAACATTCATATAACAAACATGAAACAATTAAAAAAAAAATGTTTTTTTTTAATCTTAAGGCCATAGTATGCACTGTGTCATGAACCATAGGATGTGTTTTCATAATATTAATGTAGGTATTTCATTTGTTATATATACCCCAAATGATTTTCATGGCATAGTCCAAATCTCCCCCCCCCCCCCAAAAAAAATAAAATAAATAAACATGGCCACTGCAAAGTGGAGCATCCCCTCACAAAGAGCATATCTATAAATCATCAGCTTTCGACATCGATCCTGATACAAATCACGTCACTTCCGTTTTGCACAAGGACAAACTAACACAAACACACACACACAAGGGTGTTACTAAATCCCCTCCAACTCTGTTGCGAGAGGATAATAAAATAAATAAACAAAAACCTAGAAATATGTCCATAGAACATGGATGCCCCACCCAAGTTTCATTTGTATTGCAACATGAAAACACACTTTAATTGTCTCACCAATTTGTACCAGAATTCTGAATACAAAGTGTTATTGAACATTATTTTTGGAAACTCAGATAAACTGCAAAATAAAAGAATACTGTGCTTAATTCAAGCACTATGTTAAAGTTTTAAAGAAAGAATTGCTCATACCAATATTTATCATAGCATATGAATCTTCAAAAGTGGTCTTCAGAGTCATGGGAAGGTCAAAAACAGAAGGATGGTCAGGATCACAAAATTATGAGAGAGTTTAAATTTCTCCTACCAATATGTAACTCAATATGATGTTTGATTAAAATATCATGAAAAGTGAAGCTAAGGTCATAGGAAGGTCAGAGTAAAAAATTATAATATAGTTGAATAGTTCCTAACAATATGGATCAGTGTTTGAGTTTTACTGAAAATACAGTTGAACTTCGATATCTCGAACACTGATATCTCGAATACCATGGATATGTTAAAGCAATTTGGAAGTCCCAACAACTTGTTCTTTAAGTATTTTACCCCGATATCTCAAATCCTCAGATATCTTGAAGTTTTTTCTCGGTCCCATCAAGTTCGAGATAACAAGGTTTGACTATATATCGAACAGTTTCTTCTAAACTCACTGTTCTCAATGCAAAATTATTAATATCAAGGCCAAGGTCAAAAGGAAAAGTCAAGGTCAGAAATTTTCAATTTGAATTGAGTTGAATAGCTCTCATCAATTTGTATCAGTGTATGAAGATTAAACATATTTCGAGCACTTCCTTTTAAGCTAAGATAAATGAAAATAAAAATAGTGGGGGAAAGGTCAGCGTCAGAAAATTATGATGCATTTGAAAGTCCCAAAATATTTATCAGTGTAAGAGATTTGGTAAAAATATCTTGATTAGTTACTGTGAAACTGAGCTAAAAGCAATATAAGGATTGGTCAATGTCACAGGGAATGTCAAGGTCAGAAAATTGTCATAACATTAAAGCTTCCATCAATATGTATCAGTGTAAGAGTTTTAATTTAAAAAAAAAAAAAATAAATCTTGCATAGACATGATAGAGTTATTTTGAAACTGTGCTAAACATAATATAGGAATTTGTGAGGTCGAGGTAACAGTGAAGGTCAAGATCAATAATCATGGTACAGTTCTGTAAATGGTTTTGGCCAAAGATATCAGCCTGGGTAGCTCAGTCGGTAGAGCACCTGCCTATTGATGCAGGGGTCCCGGGTTCAATTCTCGGTCCAACCATACATTTTCTTCTTTCCTGTTACAGTTCAATAGCTCTCACTAACATGTATCAGTGTATGAAGATGGGTTAAAATATCTTAAATACAGGTAAACTTCGTTATCTCGACATCGACGGGACCATCGGAAAATGTCGAGATATCCGAGGTGTCGAGATATCAGAGTTGAGACTTGACGTCCAAGATTTCATTGCATAGCAAAACAGACAAGCTTATCATATGTACATGACTTTAATATAGACTGTAGCTCAACATATTTCAGAATTCCCTCTATTTTTATTAAAAATCTAAGAAGTTATTTTAAAAATCTTGTTTATGAAACGTGTTCTTTATCGAAATCTTTCTAAATTCACAAAGTTTCAGCACAAAGTTACAGCATTGAGCTGCATTCGCGTGTAACTTGCCTTTTCGTCAGAACAGGATACGAAATGCGCTCTATAAACTTCGAACCGCATAAAGTCGACATCCGATATACGGTAAAAAAATTAAATGTGGATTATTTTTTTCTTATTCTATTCTGGAAGAATATACATTAAAATTATTTTTTAAAAGAGATTTGTGTATCTAAACTAACGTAGTGATGTTACAGATGCACGAATTACAGCTGATTCGGTCAATCGTGTCGTTAATCGGATTGTTTCCTGTTGAATACATTTTAACTACAAATATCATTAAAACATTTTTTTAATTCCTTAGTTTGAATTTTTCAGTGTGTTTTTTATTCATTGTAATTTAGTTATCTTTTTCAAATTTAAAAGTTATGTTACGTTTCGATATACATTTACGCAGAATCGTGTAGATTTAGTAATGATATTACCCAAGCTCAATTAACTTCTCAAAGACGCCGAAGGGGCTTAGGATTCACCTACAAACACAGTCTATAAAATTAATTAAGCAGTCTAGACGAACTCCAAAAACAGCGTGAACTCCGAAAACGAAGTCTTTGGCTCCATCATGCATTGCGCCAAAATGGCGTCCGATGTAAACAAACGATGGATTATCGTTCGCTTTCTCCAAATATTCGGCTGCATAATGGCTGTATCTAGTGCAATATTACTTCATTTTATTTTTTGTTGAATGGATAATTGCATTTATTAAATTATTTTGTGAATATTGACTTATTTATCGCTTCAAACTCTTGCATATGAGTGAATTGGATATACGACATCAAATTCAATACTGCCGGTAAGAAATATTTTCTTATTAAATTTATTGTCTCCTTGATTTAAATTTTATGTCGTTCCTACACTAAAGGTGCTTTTATTTGTTTTTGAAGACACCCAACTTGTATTTATTTTAATCAGAAAATGGGCATTTTTCACCACGGAGTAGGAGTATTAACAGGTTCATTTTTAGAAGATATGTTGTGCCCTTAATATCTAGAAGAGTGGGTTTTAAAGCCTTTATATTGATAGATAATAGTTTTAAAAATGTGTTCATAATAATATCTGTTCGTATATGATAAAAAAATCGGTAAATAACGATGGTAAAAACTTACGCGTCCAATTCAGATGTCGTACACAAATAAAAAACCGGAATGCTAATTTATGTGTAAAATTCAGTCAAGTTTTTAACAGTTACAATATATATTGTCCCATTTTGCAGATATATCCCTTTTTTATGCATATTTACTTCTCAAAACGTATCATTTTCTCTATAATTGATCTGACTTGAAACGTTAACTTTGAAAGTAAATATCTCCTTTTTTGCAAATAAAATCAAAAATCTGACAAATACGATCTCTTCCTAAGTCTTTTATTTAGCATTTCTGAGTACTGGTATAATTGCCATACTTTCCAAAACTTTGCACGGACAATTTTTGTAGACCCATCATTTTTGCCGAAAAATCGCCATTTTTTGTGTGTGTGCGCATGCGTGGACTCTTTTTTCGGAGTCTTTTTCAGTCTCAATTTCTTACTTCCGGAAACGCTGTTTTTGGAGTTCGTCTAGACTGTTAAGCAGCGTGCAGTCAAAACATGGGTGTGAAAGGTGTCAAACTTTGACGACGTCCAGATACCCGGAGTCGTCCGTGCGTGACGAGCGACCCTATCTGACAAACAGTTAAGTTCAGTCGAGCAGAAAATTGCCGATGTCGACATATACCAGGTAAATTTTGCTCTTGGGACTGTAAATATACATCGAGATAACCCGGGTTGTCGACATTACCGAGGTCGACATATCAGAGTTTTTGCAAATCATTTATATAGTAAATACTGCCGGGACCGCGGAAGGATGTCGACATATCCCAGGTTGTCGACATATGCGATGTCGAGATACCGAAGTTTACCTGTAACAGACATTTGCATTTCTTACTAAAATAGAAACAAAAAAAAAACAAAAAAAAAATAGTGAAAAGTCGGTTAAAGAAATCTATAGAGCTCATGTTATTTGTTACACTATCTACTGTACATTGTGCCGTCTTAAAATAAAATGTATTTTCTAGTTGCAGGTCGAGGTCCATGAGACATGCACATTATGCTCTGGACATTGAAACTTCCGAGTTGGACCATGTTGACAGAAAAGCAACTTATCATGGAACCAGCACATTGGAACGATTACAAAGAAAGCAAACAACATCAATGCTTTTCTGAGATGCAAAATCAGCACATGCCCTAGCACTATCAAGGCGCAGTGCTACACCACCTTAGTAAGATCAATAGTAGAGTATGCTTCTATCATATGGGACCCAGTAACACAGAGAAACATCTATGAACTGGAAATGGTACAAAGGAGAGCAGCACGCTTTGTTACTGGAAAATTATAGAACAGCTGGCAGTATGACTAGGATGCTCGAAGATCTACAATGGCCAACACTACAAGAGCGCAGACACAAAGCAAAGGTCATCATGCTTTACCGTATTGTTCACCATCTTGTTGCAATACCATCACAAAACTACCTTGTACCAAGGGAAGCTAACTTAACAACATGGGGTCATATCATCAGGTTCCTGCTCCCTTATTCCAGAATTCAGGGTCATCAGCGGTCTTTTTTTCAATCTGCCATAACACTATGGAACAACCTACCATCTACTGCTGTCAACGCCTCTAGTCTGGAGGGTTTCAAGAACAGCATTGGAGCAATCAGAATGACCTAATTCCAACATTTTTTAATTGTAAATAGTACCAGAATGGTTTTTATGTACTGTAAACAGATCGTTGTTTCCCTTTGGGCAAGTGTACATAGTGACGATCACGACATTATACACCAGAAGGTGGCTTGTGATTTAAAGGTGCTTAGACACAGATTTGAAGTTAATATTTACTCAATTTTTCTGTATAATTTCATGACTTATATGTTGCTCTAGCATTTCATACGAAAATTTGATAAAAATCTTATTTCATCTGGAAGTTATTGAAACTTCGAATTTCTGGACGCGTTTGATAGACACATCCTTGCACTTTCACAAATTTTAACTTTATCCTTATTACTTTAGAAAAGTAGTAATTTTGTTGTTTATTAATGAAAATTATTAAAACTATAATGCAGAAATTTCAGAGTAGAAATGTAGAAAGCAAAATCCTCTCACCAGTATTGTCAGTCCGTGCTCAGTGGTGTGTGCAGAGTTTAACAATTGAACACACCCGGTGAAACGTAAACATTAACAACAACTGAGCCTGTGCCCTGTTTACAAAAACAGTTCATCTTTCACGGGTGTATTCAATTTGTTAAACTCTGTTCACAACTACACAACACTGAGCACGGGCTGACAATACTTAAGTGATTGGGTTTTGCTTTCGCACATTTTTACTCTGAATTTTCTGGATTATAGATGTAATATTATTCATTAATACACAACAAAATTGCTACTATTAAGGATAAAGTTAAAAATTGTGAAAGTGCAAGGATGTGTTAATCAAACGCCTCCCGAAATTCGTAGTTTCAATAATTTCCAGATTAAATAAGTTTTTAATTTTATTTTCGTGTGAAATGTTATAGCAACATATAAGTTGTGATATCATACAGAAAATTTGAGAAAATATAAACTTTAAATCTGTGTCTATGCACCTTTAAAGGAAGAAGAAGAAGTGTATATGATATGAAAGTAACTGGAATGAAGTAGAGATATAAAATACCACGAGTATTCACTCACTTACCGAAGAGCTAGACTCATTTCTAAAATCTGCGAATGGAGGCTTTTCTCACAAGAAAGACTTTCATCGAGTAGAAACTTGTTTCTTTTGAAAAGCCGCTTTCAATATATGGTATTAGTTTCGTAAACACGTAAACAAAATTGAAATCTTTTACTTATGAAGTCACACAATTCAGTTTTTCCTGCAAATAGATTTTTTTTGAAAGCATCAAAGTAATGTATAAAGAAAAGAAAACAATATCTACATGCAGATTCGAAACTAATGTTTAACTCTCAACAATAACAGCAATGTCGAACTCCAGTGCGGGTAATTTGTTTTTGTTTATCAAAATGAAATAGGGGTTATATTTCAGGAAGTCTGTTATGGAAAAATTGGGACCTTTTTCCAAGTAGACAAAATTCTGGCTTGTTTAAAAGTTTTAAAGTTTTATCTTTCTTTCATAAGCTTAAAAATATCTATCAGTATATCCACAGGTACTTGGGTCTTTGTTTATATAATATGTACTTTATTTTTTTTTTTTTTTTTTTTTTACATATCAATAAGGTACATATTTATAAATCAAGACCAAATACCATTGGATAAATCCATGAAAAATCAGTGGTCGATGAAAAATATGAAGAAGTATTTTAATATATAAAGACTCGGAGAATTAATCTGGGTGGAAGCGTCAGACCTAATATCTAGCCGAGTCAAATCTCCGCCGAGATTAACAGAGAATGATAAAAACATGAGCGCTTTCATTTCTTCATGATGTTTTACAATATACTCATGGTAACATTATATATATTTATTGTACCTCTGTGAATTTTTTCTATATAAAACTATGACGAATAAACCTGCTATTTTTTTTCTAAACAGCCCTACCGTAGAATAGTTTATTAGACCTCTACTGTTATTACTTTATATAAAATTAATACCATAAACTGTCTATTTCCCTGAGAAGATACTATTTCCCTCATCTGAGGACTACTCCCTGAAAAATCAGAGCTACTCCCTGGGACTACTCTCTCATGAATTTTAACCAATTAAAATGTCTTAATGAACAGTGGGTGGAGCGTTCAAGGAATCTCGAGTCTGTGACGTAATGTTATTAGCAATGTAACTGTGACGTCAAAACATTTCGACATGCGATATCAAAATCATACTGGAATATTCTAGCAAAATGAAGACAACGATAATCCTTCAAAGTATCAGTGAAATTATTTTATATTTTTTAATAATTTTATTTTCCTCAGTATTAATGCATTAGTTATCTTACAATATTTTTAATCACATGCATTTGTGATTATTTGAATGCCTCTATATTGTTTTAAAAAATTTCTGAATCTCTAGTTTAATAAATCTCCCATGATTGTTTCGGTATAATAAAACAGTTATGGAATGGGTACTCGGGAAATACCAAATTTATGGTTCATCTTGGCAGGAAACTATTTCCCTTGGCGGCTTCGCCACCTCGAGAAATAGTTTCCTTTCTTGGGGAACCACAAATTTGGTATTTCCCTCATACCCATTCCATAACTGTATATTATGTGCAATTTGCCCATGGTGAAATAGTCGTCAAACTATTCACCGGCAGCATTCCGTTTCCCTTGCTTTTCATTTCGGAACTCTTCTTGGATTATCTGCATTCGTAACACAAGTAAAGTCAGCTTCTGTATAATAAAACGCCTATTTACTGACTATTTGGACAATAGCAAGTTTATCATACCCCTCGACAGCAACTATTTCCCTCGGCTGCGTCTCTAGAAATAGTTAAACTCGTTTAGTACAAACAGTCGAACACGGATGGATCCCCAGCTATATAAATTTAACGAATTTCTTATATGGACATAACAAATTACGGATATAGCGAAGTAATTTCACAGGTCCCAGTGACTTTGTTATAACCGAGTTTTACTGTAGTTGCTATCTTGGGGGACGATAAACTTGTTATTGTCCTCATAGCCAGTAAATAGGTGTATAATATCTACTGATTTACACATTTGCAAATGTTTTCTTTTATATAACACTATTGAAAGTAACTATCTAGTAAGTATCTATTTAAGGAATAACTGTCTAATTTTTTGGTTTCATAGTGTGATCAATTGATTGGCTTGTGTGATAATTTGCATAAACGCTGAAGGCGTTTATGCATAAAATTATCACGCAAGCCAATCGATTGATCATTGTCATGAAACCAAAAAATCTGACAGTTATTTCTTATATATACATGCTCTTGATTCTGCAAATTCACGTGCTACAAGCCCCGCTTCTGTCTCTATTTGTCCCGCCCCGCACGTGATTTTTTTTTTTTACCATGCCTATAGATGAACCAGTAGATTTATGTAGAAATAAAGTATTTTTTCTATTTGAAATTTTATCTCGGACAAAGACATTGGAAATGTAAATATATCCATATAAACACAGGTTCTTCACGTCATTAATGTTCAATGTAATTTCTAAGTGACGTCATAAAGGGACGACACGCAATCAATAGATCAATCTCGTGCTGTTGAGTTTGAAAAATAAAACATTTCACACGTTAAGTCACAAATGTAAGTATAAGTAATAAGGTATCATTTTAAAACATCTATCGGGATATAAATATATTGGGTTGGTACGAGATCAAATTTACCATAAAGCCCTTTGGGCTTTATGGAATTTGATCCCGTGAACAACCCGTATTTAAATCCTGATAGATGTTTAAAAATGATACCGTATATCTTAAATATATTATATATACATGTTTATGTATTACATCAATCATAAAGTATTTCTTATTATATAGATGGAGATGATGATCTTTTAAGTTTTGAGAAGTTGGACCGATCTTCACCAGACCTCTGGCCAGAGCAAAGTAATATGCTGTGATGAGAGAGAGAGAGAGAGAGAGAGAGAGAGAATTTGTTGATTTTGCCATTTAAGATTGTGGAAGCATTAAATTTAATAAATTATCTTAAGTATTGTACAATGAAGTAGATCAATAATTATGTACTTAAAGAATGAATTTAATAGCTACCCAGTTTATACGGTATAAAGTGGTTTGGGGCAGGTTACGCTTCATAAACCACTAAGTGGTTTATAAATAAGCGTAAACTATTGCAACCCACTTTATACTGCATAAATTGGGTAGCTATTAATTTCATTCCTTATAATCTAATTTTCATTTATTAAGTGTAAGAAAAAAGATGATTGCCCTTAAAAATGATGCAAGTCATTGTGACGTAGGCAACCCATTTATACAATATGAAGTAAATTTTTTTATTCAGTCAAATGGCGTGCTACAGTCAGAATTAAATTGTAATAAAATGGAGTAAATACATCATCACATACAGTTACATTGTACTGGGTTGATACTACATATTTATATTTGACTATTTGTAGTCCCTGGTGTATCAGAATTTGCTTCTCTGAAGAGTGTGAGTATCCAACAGCCACTGTTTCACATTGATGGTAAATTTACATATAAATCTGTAATATTGTACAGTATTTAAATTAAGATATTAACATTTTCAGCCACTCTCTAGACCTGGAACATCTCCCAAATGGATGGCTGAACTGGAGAATGAAGATATTGGACTTCTTCAAGGTATCCTAGAGGAGTGTACTTGAACAGTTTACATTCTTTAATATAAACACAGGAAACATTTCACACAAAGACCTTTATTTATTGTAGAGTTTGGAAGCCTTACAACATCCCAGTTAATGGAGAAAATCAAGGGATTGCAGAACCTGGCTTACCAGTTAGGACTTGATGAAGGTAATCAAATGAATGAAAAGTATCTTATGGCAATATTTATGCCCCGTCATGAATATGGCCGGGGCATATAGTGTTTGTCATGTCCGTCTTCTGTCCTTCCCTCCTTCCGTCTGTCCTTCCGTCACACTTTGCGTTTAGCTCTGTTCAAAGCTCAGTTTCAAAGAAACTATCCAAGATATTTTTATCAAACTTCATATGCTGATAGATATTGATGAGAGTTATGCAACTGCATCAACATTTTTTGACCTTGACCTCACTTTTCTTGAATTAGTGTTTAGCTCAGTTTTAAAGATACCATTCAAGATAGTGTTATCAAACTTCATATGCTGATACATACTGATGAGAGCTATTCAACTGCATCAACATTTTTTGACCTTGACCTCACTTTTCTTAAATTAGTGTTTAGTTCAGTTTTAAAGATACCATTCAAGATAGTGTAATCAAACTTCATATGTTGATACATACTGATGTAAGTTATTCAACTGCATCAACATTTTTTTACCTTGACGTTTCCTTTGACCTTGACCTCACTTTTCTTAAATCAGTGTCAAACTTTATATGCTGATACATACTGATGAGAGCTATTCAACTGCATCAATATTTTTTACCTTGACTTTCCTTTGACCTTGACCTCACTTTTCTTATATAAGTTTTTAGTTCAGTTTTAAAGATACCATTCAAGATAGTGTTATCAAACTTCATATGCTGATACATACTGATGAGAGCTATTCAACTGCATCAACATTTTTTACCTTGACCTTTCCTTTGACCTTGACCTCACTTTTCTTAAATCAGTGTCAAACTTTATATGCTGATACATACTGATGAGAGCTATTCAACTGCATCAATATTTTTTTACCTTGACGTTTCCTTTGACCTTGACCTCACTTTTCTTAAATAAGTTTTTAGCTCAGTTTTAAAGATACCATTCAAGATAGTGTTTTCAAATTTCATATACTGATACATACTGATGAAAGCTATTCAACTGCATCAACATTTTTTGACCTTGACCTTTCCTTTGACCTTGACCTCACTTTTCTTAAATTAGTGTCAAACTTTATATGCTGATATATACTGATGAGAGCTATTCAACTGCATCAATATTTTTTGACTTTGACCTTTTCTTTGACCTTGACCTCACTTTTCTTTTATTAGTTTTTAGCTCGGTTTTAAAGAAACCATTCATAACATTTTTATCAAACTTCATATGCTAATACATACCGATGTAACCTTTCAACTGCATAAACAATTTTTTTTTTGACCTTGACCTATCATTTGACCTTGACCTCACTTTTCTTGAATTTGTGTCAAACTTCATATGCTGATACATACTAATGTAAGCTATTCAACTGCATCAGTATTTTTTCACCTTGACCTTTCCTCTGACCTTGACCTCACTTTTCTCAATTTGTGTTAAAATGTTGCATTACTAATATATCCTAGGCGGGGCATTCATGTCCTATGGACATATTTCTAGTTTAATTATAAATTAAGTTAATTACTGTTCATTTTAACATGTTTAACCTCTTTGATCAGAGTTTGTCTAGCATCTTCATGTATGCATTAGGTATAGGAGTGAAACGGTTCACGGCGGTATCGATTCACCGCGGTATTTTTTCTCGGGTTTGATACACGGTGCAAAATCTCTAATTTTCGGTTCGGTTCATTTTTTGGTCGGGATCATTATTCAGTCTGGTTTGGCATAAGGTAAAACACGTTACTCAGTATAAATAAGTATAGAAAACATAAATTTTTGATGACTGATAGCTTGTAAAATAATTTTTGACAGTCAAATAATTTTTATCAATTTCTTCTAGTCAATTTGCAAATAAAATTCGTAAAATATGTAACTAGATTTAGAAAAAGAAAGCATAAAATAATGTTGAATTTGTTTCCTTCTATCAAAATGTATCGTATCGAAAATAACTGAACCGAGACAAAATTATACAATACGTATCGAACCGTGAAGGATGTGTATCGTTTCACCCCTAATTAGGTATGCATTTATTTATATGTATACTGGTATCTTTTGCAAATGAAAACTTTTTGTATTTTTATTTTTTATGCATTTAGACCAAACCCTTGTGGAGTGCAGGGGATTCATTCACAGGCACTTGTTTTGTATATGAGGTAACCCCCTTCTTTTTCTTTCCAAGGTATCTAACTCAATATCAGGCATCCCTGCTGCAAGCTCATATTTTATTATGCCCCAACCATAAAATGGCCAGGGGCATATAGTGTTATCCTGTTCCGTCATTCTGTCATTCCATCATCATTGACTTTCCGTTCATTATCTCCACAACAGTTGCACACATTCAACTCAAATTTGACCTATGAATACGTCAGGAAAACACAGGTCAAGTTAAATTTGGTCATGGATCTATGATTTTTTACAGAGTTATCCCTCTTGAACTTAGAAAAAAATCTTTTTTGCAAACCAATTTAAAACTAAATATGGCATTTGAAATTTTGGCTGCCTGTGGGGGCATTCGTGGCGTTATGACACATCTAGTTAATATATCAATCATTAACTTAATAAAATGACATCGTTCGCTTCAAGAGACTTTTTTCTTGTCAAATGAATTGTTTTAAATATATCTGGTCGAGCCTTTTTATTGTAAAGCACTCATTTATTCCTCAAAAATTACCGTGATACATTTTAAGATGCTAGGGATACAGGAACTTCCAGTTAGAGTTTTAGTGTACAATAAAACCAGAGACCTCAGAATGGAAAACTCTTGAGTCTCTGGTTTTATCCTACATTTATGACCCCAACAGGAAGTTTCTCTATCTCAAAACAATAACAAACAAGTGCCTGTGGATTCATTTCAATGACATGGAAGGGTATATGCAAGTATATAGTGTCTATTTAAGCTAGATCATGACAACATTAACCTTGTGATTGTGTGTTTTATTTATGTTTAAAAGACTTTGTGAAGGACAAGGCCTTTACTTTGTTAAAATAATAAAGCTAATACCAGGGATAAATAATTTTGATTTGTTATAAGCATACTGTGATAAAAAGAAGGAGATTCAGACCTCAAAAGAGTTAGCATTGTGTGTGGTGTTTTAGGCTTTAAGTTTGAAAAGATACAGTAAAACTTGTTTCGTACAAACATGGATATAGCAAATTTATGTATAAAGTGAACTTTTTTGGAATCCCCAGTTAAATTCTAAACAATTTCTTGTTAAATTTTATGGATATAACAAACTTGGATATAGCAAATTTACAGTTATAGCGAAATGATTTTTGTGTCCTATAGAAATTAAAAATAACAAAATTTACATCTTTATAGCAAATTTCAAAGACCTAAATTTTTAAAATATTGAACTGACATTAAGTTTTGAAAGTACATGTATTTATATTTGAATCTTAATTCATCCGAAAACTTTTAAACTCCAAGGTAAATTTTGTATTTCATACTTCCTCAAATACATTGGTAGTCATACTTGAATGAAAAAAATCAATATTGCGAATTCATTACGTTTTCTTTGAGGAATTCGTTATACGGATATATAGCTAATTACAGATATAGTGAAGAAAAATCGCAGGTTCAGAACTTAGCTATAACCGAGTTTTACTGTATATTTATTTTGTAAATATTGCCTCAAATGACCACTGCAGTAATTAAAACAACATCGTGATGCACAAATGGGAAAATTGACAAACACAGAATTTTTGCATGACCCGTGCAAATTTTGTTCAATTTCCTGAAAGTATTAGGGTTCAGAAAATTACAGGTTTGGGAACCTAAAAAATCTACTTTTATGGAGAAAAAATAATTTTGGTATGGCCCAACATGAAAATATTGCTTTACTTCTTCCTCCTTATAGTACGTATGTGCAGAAAAGTTGAAGAAAGTACCATGGTGTCATGTACCAAACAAGAGGCCCAAGGGCCTTGAATCGCTCTTCTGATTAACTGTACAACCTATCACTTCTATTTGAAGCCTCTAAGTATCCTGTATATTTAGATAAACCCTTGAAATTCCAAAGGTAGGTCATCATGACCTACATTTTAGATGAAACACTCTGAGAATTCAAGATAATTCCAAGCCAATTAGTACCTGAGAGTTGGCCATGGTGACCTACTAAGTTTGATGATTCTAAGCCAATTGATACTTAAAATATTTTTTTAAAATTATAACCATAAAATTTTATGAGTAGGTCAAAGTGACCTACTTTTCAGTCGTTGTACTCCAAGGACCCAAGATGCATCAACTGACAAAGTTTGATGATTCTAAGCCAATTAGTACCTGAAAATATTTAATTAAAGCCATAAATTTTCAAAAGTAGGTCACGGTGACCCCCTTTTCAGTCGACCTACTCCGAAGACCCAAGATGCATCAACTGACAAAGTTTGATGATTCTAAGCCAGTAAGTACCTGAAATATTTAATTAAAGCCATAAATTTTCAAAAGTAGGTCACGGTGACCTCCTTTTCAGTCGACCTACTCTGAAGACCCAAGATGCATCAACTGACAAAGTTTGATGATTCTAAGCCAATTAGTACCTGAAATATTTAATTATAGTCATAAATTTTCAAAAGTAGGTCACGGTGACCTACTTTTCAGTTGTTGTACTCCGAGGACCTTAGATGCATCAACTGACAAGGTTTGATGATTCTAAGCCAGTTAGTACCTGAAATATTTAATTAAAGCCATAAATTTTCAAAAGTAGGTCACGGTGACCTCCTTTTCAGTCGACCTACTCTGAAGACCCAAGATGCATCAACTGACAAAGTTTGATGATTCTAAGCCAATAAGTACCTGAAATATTTAATTAAAGCCATAAATTTTCAAAAGTATGCATCAACTGACAAGATTTGATGATCCTAGTCCTTATAGTAAGCAAAATATCAACATTTTAATAAAATGTAATTTTTGGTCAACTTTGAAATGACCTTGAGACCACCCCCTTTGCCCCAGGGTAAATCCCTGTGCAAATTTTAATCTACAACATATCCTCATCCTTATGTGTAAGTTTGGTGATAATCTGCCCAGTGGTTCTTGAGAAGAAGATTTTTTAGCAACTAGTACTTTTGTTTCTATTTTCCTAATTATCTCCCCTTGTTTAAGGGTCACAACCCTAATTTTAGTATAAAAGGGAGCCCTTGAGCCAAGGATACCCTGTGACAAATTTGACAATAATTGGCAAAGGGGTTCCTGAGTAAAAATAAACATTTGTTATGCTCCCGGTTCAAATCACAGAATATCTTAAAAGTGGTTTCAAAGATGGTTACCCAAGTGAACCAAAAAATGGATTTTTGTAGAAAACTGGTAGATTTTTTAATAGAAACATAGGTTGGAAATGGACTCAAAAAGTGGTCGACTTCACCCTTAAAGCAGTAGAGTTAACATGTATGGTTCATATAATATAAGCATAAATTGTTATATATCCAATATTTAAACTTAAAATTTTAAATCAGTTTGCTGTAAGCATGAATATATTATAAGTGTGTTCACTGTAATGGTAGTCTATTGTAAATGTTGCATTACAGTGCTTTTGAAATCATTACCTTGTGACAGTTAGGTGTCTTGTATATTCATTTTATAAAAGTTGAGTATTGTGAAGTAGGTGAGCATTGTGACCCATGGGTCTCTTGTTATTGTTTAGAAAAATTTTTATTGGTTCATGTACATGTACATGTAGCATATAATTTATAAGGAAGTATTAAACAGGCCCCAAATCATACAATGGAAATGTCAAAAGAGCAATATACAATAAGTGTATCAAATGGCCCCTTAAAATGAATATCTTTATTTTACTTTATCTATAGCATTACTTTGCACAGCTATACATGTGACCTTTACTCGTAATTTTCAATTTGATCAAAATGCCATTAATTTAGAAATATGATATCATGAAGTTAACCTTTTCTCGCCATTTTAGCATATTTTCAATTGTATAAAACTGCCTATTTTCAAGCAGTTTTTCCTCCAAAAAATATTGAGCGCAGACTTGAACAAACTTTATATTTTTACCAAAGTTGTATCTATCCAAGACTAATTACTGATAGAAAAAATTTTCATGTTCAAAACTGCACTATATGTTTCCAATTCGCCATTTTCACAGTATTTGTGTTTTTCCATACTCACTTATGTTATAATGCACTCTGCATCAAAATATATGATTAAATCCCTAACAATTATGACCAAATTATGACAAATTTAAGAAAAAGATCCAAGAAAAATGTATATTTTTGTTTCATTTTGATTAGATTGCAAAAATAGCATCATTTCTGACATCATTTACAGCCTGTGAGTGCATATAAATTTGAAAAATGTATTGGAAATATCTCTAATATAATCTCTTCTACAAAATAGAAAACAATTATACATATCTGAATCACATTCTAAAATGTCGATTTTGAGGGGCCAAAATTGACACTTATCCTATATGGTCCTTTACCTTACACAAACTTGAAAGCATGATTGGGTCCAACTTTTTACTGTTAAGGAAGAACATGCATATTCATGGGTAATTTTATATTATCTGTCATTAAAACTAGGTGACTGTAAGCTTTGACATGGGATTTTGTTTCGTTTCTAATCATCATAGTTTAACACCTCCCTCCTTTCAAGTGCAACTCAACAAACCATTTGCATGTTCCACATGTAAATATGTAATATAGTTCCAATACATATACTTTAAGTATTAAAATGTTTATTTTTTTTTTTTTTAATTTCAGCTAGAGAGATGACTAGAGGAAAATTCCTGAATATTTTGCAAAAGAAGTTTTAAAGTTGGTTGCAGTAGTGATACCTCTTGGGGAAAAAGACAAAATTTTATCAAATATGAGATATTATTTATCAAAACCACAAACTTTATTATGTGCAATATGATGATGGAATAAAATTTTTAATTACAAGTGCCCATATTTGTAGTTTTTAGCTCACCTGAGCTTTTCTGATCACATTTTGTCTGTAGTCCGTCTGTCTGTAAACTTTTCACATTTTCGACTTCTTCTCAAGAACCACTGGGCCAATTTTAACCAAACTTGCCACAAATCATCCTTGGGTGAAGGGGATTCAAGTTTGTTCAAATGAATGGCCACGTCCTCTTTCAAGGGGAGATAATTAAGAATTAGTAAAAAATGAATAGCATCTTTTAAAAATCTTCTTCTCAAGAACCACAGGACCAGGAAAGATGAAACTCATATGGAAGCATCCCCAGGTAGTGTAGATTCAAGTTTGTTCAAATCATGACCCCCGGGGGTAGGGCGGGGCCACAATGGAGGATCAAAGTTTTACATAGAAATATAAAGGAAAAATCTTTAAAAATCTTCTTCTCAAGAACAGTAAAGCCATGAAGAGTCATACTTATATGGGAGCATCCTCAGGTAGTGTAGATTCAATTTTCTTCAAATCATGACCCCCGGGGGTAGGGGGGGGGGGGCCACAATGGAGGATCAAAGTTTTACATAGAAATATATAGGAAAAAATCTTTAAAAAATCTTCTTCTCAAGAACAGCAAAGCCATGATGAGTCATATTTATATGGAAGCATCCCCAGGTAGTGTAGATTCAAATTAAATCATGACCCCCGGGGGTAGGGCTGGGCCACAATGGAGGATCAAAGTTTTACATAGAAATATATAGGAAAAATCTTTAAAAATCTTCTTTTCTAGAACAGTTAAGCCATGAAGAGTCATATTTATATGGAAGCATCCTCAGGAAGTGTAGATTCAATCTTCTTCAAATCATGACCTCCGGGGTTAGGGCGGGGCCACAATGGAGGATCAAAGTTTTACATAGAAATATATAAGAAAAATCTTTAAAAATCTTCTTCTCAAGAACAGTAAAGCCATGAAGAGTCATATTTATATGGAAGCATCCTGAGGTAGTATAGATTCAAGTTTGTTCAAATCATGACCCCCTGGGGTAGGGCGGGGCCACAATGGAGGATCAAAGTTTTTACATAGAAATTTATAGGAAAAATCTTCTCCTCAAGAACAGCAAAACCATGATGAGTCAAATTTATATGGAAGCATCTTCAGGTAGTTTAGATTCAGTTTTGATCAAATGATGACCCCTGGGGGTAGGATGGGGCCCAATGGTGGATCGAAAGTTTTGCATAAGAACATATAGAAAAAAAAATTCTTCTCAGGAACAGAAAAGCTATGTTAGTCTTATTGATTTGGAAGCATCCTCAGGTAATGTAGATTCAAGTTTGTTCAAATGATGACCCCTGAGATAGGGAGGAGCTACAATGAGGGATCAAATTTTTACAAAGAAATAAATGGGAAAATTCTTTTAAAATCTTCTCAAGTACAACAAATTCATTTGTTATATTGACATAGAAGCATCATCAGGTAGTTTAAAATTCAAGCCCCCCCCCCCCCCCCCCCCCCCCCCGTTCATTACTGAACTGATTTGTGCCTTAGTCTAGCTAATGTGCTCAGGTGAGCGATGTGGCCCATGGGCCTCGTGTCTGAGATTCACTGTCACCTATTTAGCACTTTATTTAGCATTTATATAGTGTTGAAATACCTATTATTAACTCATCTGAGCTTTTCTGATCAAAATTTGTCCGTTATCTTTCATTGTCATCAGTAACTTTTAAGAATTTCATCTTCAACCAAACTTGGCACAGAGTATCCTTGGGTGAAGGGGATTCAAGTTTGTTTAAATGAAGGGTCACACCCTCTTCAATGGGAAGATAATCAAGAAACATAGGTAATCAGAGATTACAGAGCTCACCTCAACGAATGTTATCTTAAGTAAGGCAAGTCCCACACTAAACTAATAATCTTGGAGTGTGCATCCCTAAATGCAACATTTATGCAATTTTGGTCTGATAGGGCTTGCAGTTACTTGGGAATAGACTTATCTGAAAACTTAAAACTAGTCACTCATCCAGAAAATGTAAGTCAAATCCAGCATCCGAAGCAAGTTTGAGATTGTTTGTCCCTTGATGCATCATCCATGCAAGTTTGGTTCAGATAGGCCTTATAGTTACTTGGAAATGAGATCTGCTCCAAAAACTTTAACCTGGTTACTCATTCGGAAAATGTAGGTCAGATCCAGCATCTGAAGCAAGTCCAGTAGTGTGCATCCTTAGATGCACCATCCATGCAAGTTTGCTTTAGATAGGCCTTATACTTACTTGGAAATGAGATCTGCTCCAAAAACTTTAACCTGGTTACTCATTCGGAAAATGTAGGTCAGATCCAGCATCTGAAGCAAGTCCAGTAGTGTGAATCCTTAGATGTATCATCCATGCAAGTTTGGTCAATATAGGGTTTATAGTTACTTGGAAATGACATCTGCTCCAAAAACTTTAACCTGGTCACTCATCCGGAAAATGTAGGTCAGATCCAGCATCCGAAGCAAGTCCAGTAGTGTGCATCCTTAGATGTATCATCCATGCAAAAACCACTGGGCTAGAAAAAAATGAAACTTATGTGAAAACTTCCTGACGAAGTGTAGGTTCAAGTTTGTTCAAATCATGACCCTCAGGGGTAGGGTGGGCCACTATGGATGATCAAAGTTTAACATGGGTACATATAGGAAAAAATCTTTAAAAGTCTTTTTCTTAAGAACGGCAAAGCCATAATTAGTCATACATGTACTTATATGGAAACATCCTCAAGTAGTGTAGATTCAAGTTTGTTCAAATCATGACACACAAGGATAAGGTGGGGCTACAATGGGTGATCCAAGTTTTACATAGGAAAATGGGAAAAATTCTTCCAGAATTTTTTTCTCAAGAACAGCAAAGCCATGATCATTCATATATATATGGAACCATCTCAGGTAGTATAGATTCAAGTTTGTTCAAAGCATGACCCTTGAGGTTAGAGTGGGGCCACTATGGGCGATCAAGGTTTTACATGGGTATATATACAGGAAAAATCTTTTAATACACAACAAAATTTCTACTTTCTTAAGTATTAAGAATAAAATTTATGTTATGAAAGTGCAAGAATGTGTCAATTTATGTAATCTATTTTTAACATACCGAAGACAAAATTGCTAACGCACCCCATAAAATTTTTTTCCCTCAAGAACGGCAAAGCCATGATCATTCATGTTAAATCATGACCCCCAGAGTAGGGTGGGGCTACAATGGGTGATTAAAGTTTTATACATGTATAGGTATTTATATATTTGTATATTTATCAATGGGGAAAATACTCTCAAGAACAGCAAAACCATGATCATTCATACTGATACTTATATGGAAGCATCCACAGCTAGTGTATATTCAAGTTTGTTCAAATCATAACCCCCAGGGGTAAGGTTGGAATGCAGTGGGTGATCAAAGTTTTACATAGGAATTTACAGGAAAAAGAATTTGCTAATGAAAAACAAGAAAACAGATACTTGACAGGATACTCAGGTGAGTGTTGTGGTCCGTGGGCCTTTTCAATTAAAATTCTTGTTCCCCTTAATCCATAGATGCTGTGCCAAAATTGGTTGAAATCAGTTTCACAATTCCAGAGAAGAAGCTGAAAATGTTTAAAAGTTTGTGACTGATGCACACCTGCACAATGATGGACAGACAGCAAAAGGTCACCTGAGTGACTCGAGTGACTTAAAAATGCAACTATTACCATGAAATGTATGCAAGTGAGTAAAGGCTAGGTATAGGCATTTCTATGCAAATAAACTAATTTTAAAAAATGCCTAAGGACCATATCTATTATACAAAGAAAGTTAAAACATATTGTCTAGTAAATATTTGGTACCCATGACATGAGATAGCCAGTACACATTGTCATTGTTCTTTATTACACAAGATTATAAGGGACATCAACAAAAATGTTTCTGCACAAGGGCATGCTCTATTTTAATGAAACAAGGTATATTTAGAAGCAAAATATTCCAAGGATTGCTAGTATTGCTGCACAAATATCAAAAGCTCAGTTGTTTAATTACTATATGTAAAGTTTTAAGTTGAATCAGGGTTAAAATGTACAGTCCAGTATTTTAAGTTTCCTAAAATTCTGATCAAATGAGAAAATGCCTAGGATTTGTGCAGCACTTTTATTTAAGCATTGGATTCTTATTTTTGGATGTCGTCGGTCCTATAACACACCTGACCGTGGCAACAAATTGAATACCGCGCGTTAACGCGATGTGATAATTTGTCGGCACGGCCAGGTGTGTTATAGGACCGACGACATCCAGAAATAAGAATCCAATGCTTAAATAAAAGTGCTGCACTCAGTCAAAAATTGCTCGATCATACCCAAGTCAAAACGACCTAGATATTTTTATGACAAACCTGTACACAAAAATTTCATTTCAGTTTGTGCAACCTCTGCAAAGAAAATGAACGGAAACTGCAAATACATGTAATTGGAATTTTTCCAAGTCCAAGGGGCATAACTCTGTCAAAAATTGCTCTATGGTACCCAAATCAGAACTTGACCTAGATATTCTTATGACAAATCTACACCAAATTTCATTTCAGTATGTGCAACCTTTGTGAAGAAAGTGAACGGAAACTGCTGGTGGACCGACAGACAGATCGACCAACTGACAGACAGCAGCAAAGCAATATGCTCTCCCCTCTTTGAAGGGGGGCATAATAATGAATATAACTCTTGCGTTTTTATTAGATCATTTGCATAGAAACAGCTATACCTAGCCTTAACTTACATGCGTAGTCATACACATGCTAAGGTGGAGCCACAATAAGGGTAAGAAATTACAAAGGATCTGCCGGTATACAGGACAGTAATCCCAAAATAGGTCAAATGAAAAGCATCCCCAAATGTTGTAGAATCAAACCTCCTTAGGGGTAGAGGAGGGAATAATTTGTGTGAAATTTTAAAATGTTACTCAGGGGAACATTTTGGCTCATGGATATCTTTTTACATTGATTCGATGTACAGATTCACAGGAGTTAAGCCCATTTTGATCCCAAACTCTTCATATCCATAATTTCGAAAAGTTTGGGATCAAAATGGGCTTAGCCCCTGTGTACAGATTATTGTTGTGCAATACATATTAAATTACATTTAATTTTGCCATTCACCTTTTAAGAGATGAATTCCTAAGAAAAGTTATATCATTTACTATTATAATTTGAAACATGATTAAATATAAACATAATGAATTCTTAACATCCAGGTAATATGTGAAGTCTTAAGTTATATAGAGGAAAAAATAGACAATAGATGATCAGTGACTCCGAGTTAATAGTGAAATTACATTTGTTCCTGAGTTGCACACTAAAATATTAGTGAATTCACATTTGGTCATGAACTGCATTTATTAATCCAGTGAAAATTTTGGTCTTTTGTTTAACTTCTTTGGCTTGGTCATGCTAAAACTCTCCTGATTATTTGTGTGTCTTAACATGTCTTCTTCATGTTCCCACGGTACGTTACTAGTACCTGGTAAGTCACATTCAAAGGTTTCCAAATCCTTGACAACACTGGGTCTTCCATTCTTCAAACCATGTGATAGTTTTGTATCTGAGAAATGAAATGGATCCTTTAAACCAGTCCTTATAACCTCCTTCCTTTGTAATGATGGCTCACTAACAAAATATCCCTCTTGTCGGGCACCTTTTGTACTTTCACTTCTTTTTTTCTTTTTCATGTGGAGAGCATTTGAGAACATTAGTCTTTTTCTGGGAACAGCTTTACTGCCAACACTTTGTAACTTTTTCGTTGGTGATGCGGCACATGTATGTACATTCCTCTCACCTCTATCTATGTTGACATTGGTTTCAAAGGAAGTTGACCAACTCCTTTTACTTTTTGCAAGATTCTCAGGGTGATTTGCTTTAACTCTATCTTTAACTTGATAGAAATCACTCCAGTCTCTGCTCTTATTATCAGCTTTGATCCTTCTGTATCCTGGAGAACTTATTCCTGGTACATCATTTCCCTCAGTCAGGTGTTCTTGATGACTACACATCTCCCAATCCCTCTCCTGTTCCTCAGAATTGCTAACCTCATTCTGTGGATTGGGAATGATGTCCCTTTGTTTCATGCCTCCTTTTGAGTGGACTTTAGATTGACTTTTTCCAAACCTTTCCTTTTCTGTTACATCCATTCCCTTTTCTTCCCAAGCCTGTTGTAAATTTCTCATGTTAAGTGTCTCAGATGGCAAATGTTGCATCCCAGACTGATCTGTTGATGAATTTAAGGAAGTTGATGTTATTTTGCTGGACTGTATTCTACCAAGTCCAGACAGACTAGGTGAAGCTCCTATCTGGAACCTTCTGCTGTTACTACACACATTAGATTTTCTGAAGCAGACCTCCATATTTTGCTCCACTGCACCACATGAGCGAGTTCTGGACTGTAATTTCCTAGAAGCAACACTGTCACACATTTCATATGGCCAAGAACTTTTACTTAAACTAGACTGTGATGAACAATGGTCATCTTCTGCCTTTCTACAATTTCTTGGTAGGGAGCACTCCTTGTTGTCAATCTCAGTGTTTATGTCAGTATCAACTCTTTCTTTCTCAATTCTAGAAGATGGAAATCCAGGTTTTTTTTGTGTTGATATCTGAGAATCAGAAATCCTCCTCCTTTTCAACTCTAAACTATCAGTGCTTCCCCTAGATCTCTGATCCAGATCTTTTTCAACCATTGCTTGAACTTCATAAATCTCTTGCATCAGTGATTTTAATCGCCTGTCATTACTACTGGAGCTTTCCTCATCCCATTGAGTAACATCTTTGGAAATTTGCTCCACTTCATCCAGCGACTTGCTATGTCCCCGTTTTGTCTTTTCTGAACTTTTACAGTATTTATCTAAGATGGAATGTTTTTGGTGAGTTTGAGATGCATGTCCTTTTGGAGAAACCTTTGGACTAGATTTTTTTTCACTTAAAAAATGGAAAGGTGACATTTTTACATGTCTCTGAACTTTCAAGTCAGTATTTGATTTTCTATCAACATCTGGAAGAGAATGGTATCTCTTGCTTCCCCTTGGGGAGACACTCTTTTGGAGATTTGGTCTAAATGAGGAGCCCATTTTGATCTCCTCTGTTTTAAAGTCTTCATTTTCCAGAGGCTTGATGATCTGGACTTTCTGCAGTAAGTTTGGTTTCAGCTGATCAATCTCTAAGGGGTCCGAGTCCAGCAGAGGTCCTTTCCTTGGACAGGAGTTTATAACTGCAACACAGTAGTTCAACAAAGTTACAAGAAAAAATGTTAGAATTGCATTACACTTTTCAGTCTTCATGAAATAAAATTTCCTTTCTATAAATTACCTGGGAGAGTTTGAGTGGAGGGCAGAAGGAATGCTATAGGTAGTTCTGAGGCTAGGAATGGATGCTGCGCAGCCTTCAACGGTGCAAGTCTATCAGCTGAAATAGGCCACCATTAAATAACAATGATCAGGTTAAGCTTAGTTTAAGCTGAAATCTCCAACACTGATCTTAAGGTGCACTGTTACGTATGTGGTACCTGGATTATATCTCAGAAGACCGGAGAGGAAGTCTCTGAACAAATAGTCCTGACACCCGAGTTTCTTAAACAGCACATCAGAGGCTGAAATTAAAGAAGTAAAAAGATTTACTGATTCATAGAACCAAGTTTACACTTAGATAAGATATATTGGTATTAAATATATATGACAGGCTATCACTTGTCAGATGTTGATATGTCATATATTTATGTCAATTTTTCAGATATTCATGTCAACTTGTTAGATAATAATCATCATTACTAGGAACTCAGTATCTTGTTATTAAGCATGTTAATGCCATTAACTGACATCTACTTATCATTATTTCTGACAAGTTGACATACTTTTCCAATAAGTAGACATATTTATCTGACAACTAGACATAATTTTCTGACACGTAAACATACTTTTCTGACAAGTCTACATAAATATCTGATAAGTAACACAATTACCTGACAAATCATATTTATCTGACAACTTGACACCCTGACTTGTCAGATAATGATGTTGACTTGTAAGATGGTACGTCAACATGTCAGATAATAATACAGACTTGTAAGATGGTATGTAAACTTGTTAGATAATATAGACTTAAAAGATGTAATGTCAATTTGTCAGAGAATTATGTCAACTAGTCAGATATTTAAGTCAACTTGTCAGATGAGTATGTTGACCTGACAGATTTTCATGTCAACTTGTCCGATCCTTATGTCTTCTTGTCAGAAAATATGTTGTCAGCTGAATGGTATGAATTGAGTATGGACATGTTCATGTTGAGTTCTGACAAGTTGACATAATTATCTGAAAAGTTGACATAAACATCTGGCAAGTTGACATAAACATGCAGAAATGTGCCACCATAAAAAAGTGAAATAAATCATGATCCTATTTTTATTCACTGTACCAGTACATGATTATAACATGTATGTTGTATTTTGTGTGTTTGACACACTATAAAGTATCTCAGCTCTTTCGGAACACTGTCTGGCACACTTAAGGAAAAGTTCTGACAATAACAAAAGAGCATGGTATAACAGAATTAAATAATTTCAGTTCTTATATATATATAGCATAGCATATCTGCACCATGTAAGCGAAATGTTAGATCATTCTACAAATAAAATAATATATTTATTTTAATTAAGAGATTTCTTTTTTACATTCAATGTTTAAATTTGCATGTTTTCCCTTATATAACATTATTTTGACAAAGGCATATTCAAGTCTGTGTATGAACATGTTCGTCACCTGACCATAAATTCATTGTTTAGTCATAAACAACTGACATAATTTCATAGTGACGTCATAAGTGGTATACATGTTCAACACGTGTAATTTATACAGTTGAGGTCTTAAAAAAATAAATTATTTCATGGTTTTAAAACTATAGTATTCAAATATTTCCTAAAAATTAGTCACAAATATAAATACAAGAAGCCAATGGGCCACATCGTTTACCTGAGCACTTTGGCTAGGGAAAAGCAGAAATCAGTTCAGCATTAAAGTTTAAATATAAAAGTGGTCCTGACATTTGATCTTCTATTCAAGCCTTGTCCTACCCCAAGGAACATGATTTGAACTCACTTGAATCTACACTACCTGAAGATGCTTCTGAATTAATATGACTAATCATGGCTTTGCTGTTCTTGAGAAGATTTTTAAAGATTTTCCCTATGTATTCCTTTGTAAAACTTTGATCCCCCATTGTGGCCCCACCCTACTCCCAGGGGTCATGATCTGAACAAACTTCATTTAACACTACCTGAGGATGCTTCCAAATCAATATGACCAATCAAGGCTTTGTTGTTCTTGGTATCTACAACTTCGTTGAGGTGAGCTAAAAAATTTATTTGAATATTTTTTCCATTTCCACTGTTAAGCTGTTTCATCACTGCTTACGGTGATTCTTGTTTCAAAATTGGCTCTCAACATGTTAGTACACCCCTATTATGACATCATGTTGTGCTAAATGTACATCTTAATTTTTTTTTTTTTAACGTTTCATGCAGTTAATGTATAGACAGTTTCAAAGAGTTTTAGTTGAGTATAGGAGGAAAAAGTTACATGAAACTATTTTAGAAAAAATAATATTATTTTTTCTTTGTGTCAAATACATGAAAGTAGGTTGTACATTGGACTGACAATCTCAGAGTCCCCGGGCGCTGTCGGATTTTCTTCAGAATAAAGAAGCTGTGCACTATTTAGGCATAGTATGCTTATGCTATATAAATCCTTAGAACACTTTGGGAAAAAAGTTGGGTATTGATTATATAGAGACAAACTGACAAGAAGCATATAAATTTATTTTACTACATACTAGTAATTATGCATATCGACACAAAAACATGCAATACATGTATTTGTATAATATTGTTGTGCTTTTTATTTTATTTTATTTTTCTTTGTGTCAAATATATGAAAGTAGGTTTATATAACTAAAATAGATTGTACTAAATAACAGTGTCTGTGGTAAAATCCGTTGTACGTTGGACTGACAATCTCAGAGTCCTGAGTTCAAAAACGTGCAATACTTTATCTTGGTACATAATTATGCATATTAACACAAAACATGCAATAATCTATTCTAGTACATAATAATGCATACCATTTTTTTGCTCACAGACATTAGTGTATCCCTTTAGGTCATCATAAAATTTGCCTTTTTGAAAGACATCTCTGGGGAAAGGGCCCAAGAGTCTCGTCATCTAAAATAAAAACATAAATATGTATAAAAAAAAAAAAAAAAAAAAAAAAAAAAAAGCAAATTCAGAAAATTGTGGTCCCCTGTTTTTGGGATTTTAAAAGCAGAAGATTTTTTCCCATATTTTCATTTGTAAAAATTTGATCCCCCATTGTGGCCCCCATCCTACCCCCGTGGGCCCTCATTTGAACAAATTTCATTCTACACTACCCAAGGATGCCTCCATATTAATAATCAATTTGACTAATCATAGCTTTTCTGTTCTTGAGAAAAAGATTTTTTCCTATATATTCCTCTGTAAACTTTAATCACCCATTGTGACCCCACCCTACCCCTGGGGGTCATGATTTGAACAAACTTGAATCTACACTACCTGAGGATGCTTCCATATAAATATGACCAACCATGGCTTTGCTGTTCTTAAGAAGAAGATTTTTAAAGATATTTTCCTATATATTTCTATGTAAAACTTTGATCCCCCATTGTGGCCCCACCCTACCCCCTGGGGGTTATGATTTGAAGAAACTTGAATCAACACTACCTGAGGATGCTTTCATATAAATATGACCAATCATGGCTTTGCTGATCTTGAGAAGAAGATTTTTAAAGATATTCTCCTATATATTTCTTTGTAAAACTTTGATCCCCCATTGTGGCCCGACCATACCCCCAGGGGTCATGATTTGAATAAACTTGAATCTACACTACCTGAGGATGCTTTCATATAAATATGACCAATCATGGCTTTACTGTTCTTAAGAAGAAGATATTTAAAGATATTTTCCTATATATTTCTATGTAAAACTTTGATCCCCCATTGTGGCCCCACCCTATCCCCAGGGGTCATGATTTGAAAAAATTTTAATCTACACTACCTGAGGATGCTTGCATATAAATATGACCAATAATGGCTTTGCTGTTCTTAAGAAGAAGATTTTTAAAGATATTCTCCTATATATTTCTATGTAAAACTTTGATCCCCCATTGTGGCCCCACCCTACCCCCGGGGGTCATGATTTGAACAAACTTGAATCAACACTACCTGAGGATGCTTCCATATAAATATGACCAACCATGGCTTTGCTGTTCTTAAGAAGAAGATTTTTAAAGATATTTTCCTATATATTTCTATGTAAAACTTTGATCCCCCATTGTGGCCCCACCCTATCCCCAGGGGACATGATTTGAACAAACTTGAATCTACACTACCTGAGGATGCTTCCATATAAATATGATCAATCATGGCTTTACTGTTCTTAAGAAGAAGATTTTTAAAGATATTCTCCTATATATTTCTATGTAAAACTTTAATCCCCCATCGTGGCCCCACCCTACCCCTGGGGGTCATGATTTGAACAATCTTGAATCTACACTACCTGAGGATGTTTCAACATAAGTTTCATCTTTCCTGGCCCAGTGGTTCTTGAGAAGAAGATTTTTAAATGATGCCATTATTTTTTCACTAATTCCTAATTATCTCCCCTTGAAAGAGGGCATGGCCCTTCAATTGAACAAACTTGAATCCCCTTCACCCAAGGATACTTAGTGGCAAGTTTGGTTGAATTTGGCCCAGTGGTTCTTGAGAAGAAGTCAAAAATGTGAAAAGTTTACAGACAGACAGACGTACGCCGGACAAAATGTGATCAGAAAAGCTCACTTGAGCCTTTGGCTCAGGTGAGCTAAAAATCATAGTACATTCTGAAATGTCTTGTCACAATTGCAAGGAATGCACATAATAATACAATCTAATTAAAATTAGACCTTTCATCTCGCTCTTCGGAAATTGATTTGTCGCTCCTTTCACGAGCGACAAATCAATTTACGAAGAGCGAGATGAAAGGTCTAATTTTAATTAGATTGATAATAATAATAATAATAATAATGAACAAGAGGCCCATGGGCCACATAGCTCACCTGAGCACTTTGGCTAGGAAAAAAGCATAAATCAGTTCAGTATTGAAAAGCTTAAATGCATAAGTAGTCCCGACCAACCCCTAAAAAAAGGGGGGGGGTGTATATTTGAACAAAATTGAATTTACACTAAGGATGCTTACATATTTCTTTGATTAACTGTGGCTTTTTTTCGTACAAGTTTGGACTTTCATTGTGGTCCCACCCTACCCTGGGGGTTATAATTTGAACAAATCTGAATCTACACTATCTGAGGATGCTTCCATATAAATATGACCAATCATGGCTTTGCTGTTCTTGAGAAGATTTTTCCTATATTTTCCTATGTAAAACTTTGATCTTCCATTGTGGCCCCACCCTACTCCCTGGGGTCATGATTTGAACAAACTTGAATCTAAACTACCTGAGGATGATTCCACATGAGTTTCATCTATCCTGGCTCAGTGGTTCTTGAGAAGATTTTTAAATGATGCCATTAATTTTTCACTAATTTCTAATTATCTTCCCTTGGAAGAGGGCGTGGCCCTTTATTTGAATCTCCTTCACCCAAGGATACTATGTGCCAAGTTTTGTTGAAATTAGCCCAGTGGTTCTGGAGAAGATGATGAAACTGTGAAAAGTTAACGATGACAACGACAGCGGACAAATTTTGATAAGAAAAGCTCACTTGAGGCTTCAGCTCAGGTGAGCTAAAAATATGAAAGATCTGCAAAAGCTACAACCAAAGAGAAAAGTAGGTCAAACTTCGAGATCATGAGGTAAAAAATGATAGTACTTTTATTATAAGTGTAGAGTGTGTCAAAAACCAATACAGTCAAACCTCATTATCTACAACTCAATGGGACATATAAAAACCTTTGAGATATCCAAGAATTTAAGATATCAAGGGTAAAATACATAAAAACAAGAGGCCCATGGGCCACAGCGCTCACCTGAGTAACTTTGGCCTTGCTGTTTTTCACCTGATTTTTCTCACCCCCCCCCCCCCCCCCCCCACCGTAGTACTTATTGTGGCCCTGCCCTACCCCCAAGGGTCTTAAACAATTAGAATCTACACTACTCCAGGATGCTTCAACATAAGTTTCAGCCTTTCTGGCCCAGTGGTTCTTCAGAAGAAGATTTTTCAAGATTTTTTCTGCATATTTCAATGTAAAACTTGGATTCCCTATTGTGGCCCCACAGTACCCCTGGGGGTCGTGATTTGAACAATTTAGAAGCTACATTACCCCAGAATGCTTCCACATAAGTTTCAGCTTCTCTGGCCCATGGTTCTTGAGAAGAAGATTTTTAAAGATTTTTACTATATATTTCAATGTAAAACTTGGATTCCCTATTGTGGCCCCGCCCTATCCCCGGGGGTCATGATTTGAACAATTTAGAATCTACACTACCCAAGGATGCTTCCACATAAGTTTCAGCCTTTCTGGCCCAGTGGTTCTTGAGAAGAAGATTTTTAAAGATTTTTACTATATATTTCAATGTAAAACTTGGATTCCCTATTGTGGCCCCACCCTACCCCCGGGGGTCATGATTTGAACAATTTAGAATCTACACTACCCAAGGATGCTTCCACATAAGTTTCAGCCTTTCTGGCCCAGTGGTTCTTGAGAAGAAGATTTTTAAAGATTTTTACTATATATTTCAATGTAAAACTTGGATTCCCTATTGTGGCCCCACCCTACCCCCGGGGGTCATGATTTGAACAATTTAGAATCTACACTACCCCAGGATGCTTCCACATAAGTTTCAGCCTTTCTGGCCCAGTGGTTCTTGAGAAGAAAATTTTTAAATGACCCCACCCAATTTTTGTATTATCTTGATTATCTCCCCTTTGATGGGGACTTGGCCCTTCATTTTTTTTAATTTAAACTCCCCTTTACCCAAGGATGCTTTGTACCAAGTTTGGTTAAAATTGGCCCAGTGGTTCTTGAGAAGAAGTCAAAAATGTGAAAAGTTTACAGACGGACGGACGGACGATGACAACGGGTGGTCAGAAAAGCTCACTTGAGCTTTCAGCTCAGGTGAGCTAATAAGTGGATGGAGACTTCAAATTCACTCGACAAATCCATGGTATTCGAAATATCAGTTTTCAAGATAACAAAGTTAAACTGTATTTTGCAATCAACAGTGAGATGTATCACTAAGTTTGTCTAATAGCGTCATCTTATTCCTATAAAAATTAAAAAGAAAGTAACTTGATGTCATCATATGTGTAATATTCATTTAGCTACAATTAAAAGAAATGAAAATATTAAACATTGACATTTTTGCAAGAATCTTATAGAAGACAAGGGCTTTCAAGTGAAAGAAAAGAAGGAATGAGGTTGGAGGGAGGTTTTCTAACAATCCTGTCTTGTGTGTGTGGAAGTAAACATAAATAATCTAACAGCCATGGTACACCAAATATTGTATTTTCCTGTTAAAAACCAAATGCTAGTACAATGGAAATAACAGACAAACACAGCATATGATCAATTTTATGATATTTCAGTTTAAGAATGTAAAACTAAATATTTTCACCATGATTTTAACTGTAGATATCAGTCAACTATTTCCACAAGAGGAAGCATTTTCCTACAATGTATCATGTATGTAGTGATATAAATCCAATGGGCATACTATTAGACACTCTTTAGCACATCTGGTCTACATCAAGTGCTCACAATAGGATGCAAGCCAAAATGTGTACTGATGAAAAGCCTTTTACTTGTGTAATGCAAAAGTGACTTTAAAAAGTTAGATATCAATTCTAATACTTTTAGTACTCAACAGTGTTTTTTTATGTACTGAATAGGTTAATTTTGATAAATAAATACTTGTTTAAAATTTTTGTTTATTTTTTCCTCCCTTCTTCATAGGATTTGAATTTTATAGGCGACGTTGAACGTAGAATTAACTTTGGACAGCCTAAAGATCTGACCTTGGATAGATTTTTTTCATTTAGTCAAATGATTTTTTTTTGTATCCAAATCTTTACAAAAATTGAAGGTCTTGACTCAGCGTAAACCATGTACATACCTCTTTGATGATTGGGATTTTGGAGGTGCCTGGGAATAATGGTGCTCCAGAATACAGTTCTGCCAGAATACATCCTAAAGACCAAAGATCAATCTCTGTACCAAAGGGAATCCCAAACAAAACCTAAAAATAGATACATCCTAAATCTATCAAAGGGAATCCCATCCAGAACCTAACAATAGATACATCCTAAATCAACCAAGGGAATCCCAAACAGAACCTAAAAATAGATACATCCTAAAGACCAAACATCAATCTCTGTACCAAAGGGATCCCAAACAGAACCTAAAAAATAGATACGTCCTATAGACCAAAGGTCAATCTCTGTACCAAAAGGATGCATATTTGATATGAAGCCTAAGAAAACTAGAAATATATCCATAGGACGCCCCACTAAGGGTATATTAGTAATGCAACATGAAAATTTATAAGTGATGACAATTTCTTGAATACTTTCTTTAAAATTGAAATCTACAAAATTGGATATAGATGATAAATTCTCACCAAATTTTGTGTAAGTGCATAAGCTTACATAAAGATATCTTAAATGGTTTCTTTGAAACTAAGCAAAATGCAAATTAAAGAAAAGTGAGGTCAAAGTCACAGGAAAGGACAAGATCAACAGTTTTTGATGCAGCTGAATAACTTTCACTAATATGTATCAGCATATTAAGTTTAATAAACATATCTTGAATGGTTTATTTAAAATTGAGCTAAAAACCTATTTAAGAAAAGTGAGGTCAAGGTCAAAGGAAAGGTCAAGGTATAAAAATGTTGATGCAATTGAATAGCTTACGTCAGTATGTATCAGCATATGAAGTTTGATTACACTATTTTGAATGGTTTCTTTTAAACTGAGCTAAACACTAATTTTAGAAAGGTGAGGTCAAGATCAAAGGAAAGATATAAAAATGATTATGCAGTTGAATAGCTTACTTCAGTATGTATCAGCATATGTAGTTTGATTACACTATCTTGAATGGTTTCTTTAAAACTGAACTAAACACTCATTTAAGAAAAGTGAGGTCAAAGGAAAGGTCAGAGTAAAAAAATATTGATGCATTTGAATAGCTTACTTCAGTATGTATCAGCATATGAAGTTTGATAACATTTTCTTGAATGGTTTATTTAAAACTGAGCTAAACACTAATTTCAGAAAGGTGAAGTCAAAGTCAAAGGAAAGGTCAAGGTCTAAAAATGTTTATGCAGTTGAAAAACTAATCAGTATGCATCAGCATATGAAGTTTGATAAAAATATCTTGAATGGTTTCTTTAAAACTGAGCTAAACACTAATTTCAGAAAGGTGAGGTCAAGGTCAAAGGAAAGGTATAAATAACGTTTATGCAGTTGAATAGCTTACTTCAGTATGTATCAGCATATGAAGTTTAATAACACTATCTTAAATGTTTTTTTTAAAACTGAGCTAAACACTTATTGAAGAAAAGTGAAGTCAAGGTCAAAGGAATGACCAAGGTCAAAAAATGTTGATGCAGTTGAATAACTCTCATCAGTATGTTTCAGCATATGAAGTTTGACAAAAATATCTTGAATAGTTTCTTTGAATCTGAGCTCTGAAATAAGCTAAATGCAAAGCACAATGGAAGGACAAAAGGGGGGAAGATGAACATGACACACTGTATATGTCCCGTCCATTTTCATGGTGGGGCACAAAAATTTGTTAATGGTTATGTTACCCAACCAACCCTAATTTTTTGTGCCAACCCAAATACATTTTTTGTTTTAAAATTCTGAAACTGCATGTTTGTATGTTTTTTTCTTTTAAAACTTAATGGTTTTTAGGTCTAAGGTCATTTTTAGTAGCCTTTTTTGGAGCTGTTGGGTAGATTTAAGGCTAGAGGAAGAAAGCTTCCATTTGTCATTAGAAAAGTAATTCAAAGTTACGCCTATTTGAAAAAAAAAATCAAAAATAAAACAAAATCCTACTTATTGACCCAAAATACTTTACCATGTAATAGTAAGCAAGCATTTTTTTTTCTTTTGCCTGAACTCAATTTTTTAAAAATATATATAATTATATGTTTTTAAAAAAAAAAAAAAAAAAAAAAAGATCAAAAGAGGCAAATCCTCAGCAATGTCATTTGTTTTTTCTAGAATTAGATCGTGACATTTAACTTATGGTTAAGAAAACAAAGTAGCTTAATCTGAGTATTTCAATTATTATCGTCATTTTTATTTAAATTCATCATTACAATTTTGAATTAATTCAACAAATTCCTTTAATAGTAAAGGGTTAATTTGTATTTGGAGAATGTGAACTATTTATTGAGCATCTGAATTTCATTTGATCTTTCTCCACATTATTAAGCATTAGATGCCCAATTTCAAAATGAACTTATGAACTCCTTGGAGTAATCAGCTGGTGATTAAACAACTATCATGCACTATGTAAAATGATTTGCATGCCTAAAGAAAAATAATGACAAAAATTGATCTTGGAATGAGATCAGGAGATTTCAGCTCACCAAAGAGAACATCAATTTCACCAGTTCCTATTCTGTAACTCTCAACAACTGGGATTAAATTTCACAGGATCAATATAATAAAATCATTTTGAAATTCTGCTTAATGACAGAAAAATCTGTTATACTGCACCAATTATGTGTTTAATCAATCATATCTTAATTTTGTAGTCAAATGTAACGTAACAATCCATTGTGTGTAAATAAAAGAGAACACAGTGGTAGACAGATTAATGGAGAAAATTGGGGACTGTTTCCTGTTGCCGAGCTAGAGAGTGACGGATGATCTAATGGTGTCATCGCCATAGCGATTAAGGGAGGAAACTACTGTCGAGGAGGGGCATTGTTTTCGGGCTGGTGTTACTAATTACCTGAAATTTAATGGTTATTTCTGAGTTCAGAGTCAGTCATAAGGCTAGAATTTCTCCCATCAAGGAATAGTTTTGAGGAATAAATTGGCCACAAAACAAAATATTTCATACAATTAATACAGTGCTTGGTTAACCTAGAACAATACCTGACCTTTAGTGAGTATGAAGTTGTTAAGAAAACTATTCTAATCAGTCTTTAAAGGATACAGTCAACATACCACAGATGTCTCCACAAAAAATGAATACTGTTTAACATTGAAATTTTACCATTTCTCATAAAAATATTTTAGTTCTTTTAAACTTTCACTGCAGAAGATGAGTAATTCATTCTTAAGTCCTTGTATTTGAAGTAAGGATGAGATCATGGATCATATTAATGAAACATTGTCAATAGCAAAAGCTGGTAATTCAATTGTGTATCTGAGGCTGTCAAATTATCTGTAGCACATGTCATCTCACTCTAAACACTTTATCAAACAATCGAAAAGTTTTCTATTAGCCGAGTCCATTTCCCAAGAATTGGCCATATTGCATGTCAACTTTGATTTTAAAGACAGAAGCCCTTGTTTTTCTTCCCTGAGTTACATCAGGAATTTTTGGTCTCCCTCCACAGAATGTTTGTTATCAATCACTTTAAACAGATAAAACGAAACTATTAATACTTTAATGACCAGAGCCTGTCTCTAAGGACTGGAAATGAAGAATGGCTAAAACTGATAAAAATTCTTAGGACCTGCACATTAAGTAAGTTGTCACCAACAATGATGAATTGCTTCAAGATTAACTCACAGAAATCAGTTTTTATAAAATGTTTTGAAGGAAATTATTTCAATTTAGCTAGAGGCTCTAAAAGCCAGCAAATCCCCTGAGGTATGGTTGTGGGGCAAAGAAATCTGTGTTCCTCCTTAAAAATTCATTTCCTGATCAACCTATTTCTTCTAAAGGGGTACATGTAAATTTCTCAGCAATCTGCCGAAGAGTCTTTGGGAGAATGGGGCACTATTATAATCAGATTAACTGAGCAATCAGCATGGACAACTTATGAGTGGAAAATTAATGGACCAAGATTAAAACAGGATATTCATTTCTGCTCATGAATAAACATGTAAACAATGAATATTGTAAAGGAAATCAAAGAACAAACTGTAACAGACAGAGGGAGCAATGATTATTTATCATCTTAATCTTCTATTAGCTGACTTAATAAATCAAAAAAATGTCAAACCAGGATTCTTTGTATTAAAGATGTCTCATAATTTTCTTACGACAATTAACATTTCTTCTTAAAGAGGCTCATTACACCCACAGTTTATTTTAGATTTCATTACAGCACCACTTATTATGAAGATTTCAAATATCCAAATGGAGGTTATGATACGATAAATATTTTTTAATCTTTTTTCTGATTTTGGTTAAATGTTTTATTTCAAGTTTCTGATTGATAGTACATGTATTGCATAAATCTCAATGTCAAGTGATGGATATCATCTTCAGATATGTAAGCAATATAATAACACTTCATAATATTCAACAATATTTTTATTAGAAAAAATAATTTCCTCCCAAAAAAGAATTAATGTGATTTTCTTCTTAATCTTTGCATGAATAATTTGGAAAATAAGTTACAAATAGACAAGGAATGTATATTAATGAATAATAAGTCACAAATTAAATAAAAAATGTTTTAAGGAAATGAAAATTTCAATTTAAAAAAATAATTGGAATAAAACGTCCATTTCAAGAGTTATCTTTCCTAAATCCCCCTAACTCAAAACACCCAGGAACAGTTGTACATATCAGATTCAGAATAAGCTAAAATTTCTAGAATAAATATACAGTTTTCAAAGAAATAAATACAAGCACACAAACCAACAAGAGTACATACAGTACTCTAAAAAAGCAAGTCAATATTATAATTTATTTCAACAAGGTTTTAGATTTCAGCTCAAATTTCCTCCATAGGTACATGTTTTCAGTGGTAGAACTTGCTGCTTTCGCTATGACATTGTACACTACTTGGGCAGAGAAGATTTAAATGTCATTCTCTTTGGTCTTTACTTAAAAATAACCCATCTTCGTTTGTGATTTATAATGAATCCGTTACCTTGTTCTCATTGTATATAATACCGCATGTAGTCTATTTTTAGAGCGTTTCAAAGATTTAGATCATCACCAAAGCGAACCTATACAATTCGTCCCCTGGAGAAAACAGACGAAACAATGGAGGTTTATTTTTCTGTGTAGTACGTCATCAAAAAGTGGTGTAATGAGCCTCCTTATTACAAATGTACCAATAAAATTAGAAACTTCAACAAATTTTTATGTCGCCCTGAATGAAGTTTGGGTAACATATTTTTATCGTTTCACCTTTTTTTTTTTTTTTTTTTTTTTTTTTTTAATTTTTTCTATTGCATTTTCCTTGGTAAGTTGATGGATTTTAAATCATGCAAATCGGTTTGAGGCTACCAAACTCTGACTAGGGTTGGATACCGGTACGCGATACTTATACCGTACCTAGTAGTTGCTTCAAAAGCACCGGTAAAATACCGTTTCATTTAATACTGGTATTAATAACGGTATTGCTTAATCTTTGAAATATTTTAAATATTCAAAATCATTTTAGAAAAACGAATCCAGTCTTGCCAAAATTGAATTCTCCGCGCATTGGAAGGGTAGGCTAATTCACGAAATGGATGCTTAGTACATGTATAACACTTGCTTTTGATTGCCGATATTCGAGGTAAATCAGTATGTTTATTTTTTTTTAAAATTAAAATACATTCACATTAATTGTGTTTTAATTTTATTAATAAAAACTGATAATAAATGTAAATTAAAAAGGCAAAATTTTGCAAAAAAGTGATGTGCATCCCTATCCATTTTCTAATGTTTCGTTGTTTAGTGCGACCAAACAAAATGGGTCCTGGCCAACCAGGGAGGTTGTGTATAACAATGTGATTATGTATCTAGTCAAATTAATTCGTTTGAGATTCAATTTATTTGTTTTGTTGATCATTTATTAAAAGGTTGAAATATAAACATAGTTTATAAGCTTATTTATGATTATAGCATTGAAAGGTTGGTGACTGGTGAAAGCGCATTTGTTTAATGTATTCTCATTCTAATTCATCAAGGTATAGTACCGTACCGTTAAAAATACCGCATCGTTTCAAAAATACCGGCATGGTATCATACCGTTTCACCCTTAACGGTATCCAACCCTAACTCTGACCCACATTTTTCAAGGTGGGTAGGTAGGTAGTTATTTTTATTTTTTTTTTTTAAATATTTTCTAACATTTTGATGATCGTTTATAAACCATAGACTTAGAAATTTTCATTATAAACACCTGAAAGCTAAACAATTTAAATAAATTATCTACGCATTTCTGTAAAATCTTTAAATCTTAAAAGAATCTTAGAAAATGATAGACCTTAACTTTAAAATCAATACAAATAATCTATTTAAAAAAAAAAAGAATTTGAAGTACTGAAAAAAATGATTGGGTAGGGGCAATTTTAATGGGTTGGTCGGAGTACATCAAACAAATAATTTTTTATTGTTGGCCCAAAGAAGGAATATTTTTATTACATTCATGTAAATTTCAGTGGTCCTTACCTCTGGGGCCCTATATAACAAAGTTTGTAGTTCAAAGTCTTTGAAGTACAAGGCAACTTCCTTAAAATTGTTGTGGATGGCATTCCCGAAATCAATTACTGTCACAGAGCTCACATCGGAGTCTATAAATACAGAAAACTAAACATTAAAAAACCAGAAGTCTCTGATGAGACTGTAGCTCTACTGGTCTGTACGTATAACAAAGGAAAAGTAGCACTTGGATTTGAAACTTTGCAACATGCAACAATGAATAGAATTATGTATCTTAATGTAGTCTACTTCTGTGCGAAGTTATATTGAAATCAAATGAAAACTGTTGGAGGAGTAGTGTTTTGAAAGTATTTCACAGAAATTTCTATTTTTAGTAACCATGACAACACCATTCACTGAAATCAAAAACTGATATACATATTATGTATATAGTGTATTCTACTTGTGTGCCAAATTAGATTGAAATCAGACCTAAACTGTAGGAGGAGTAGCATTTTAAAGGAATTTCACAGAAATTTCTATTTTTAGTAACCATGGCAACACTGTTCATCGAAATCAAAATCCGATGCACTAAATTATGTATCATTGTACAGTCTACTTGTGTGCCAAGTTATATTGAAATCAGACCAAAACTGTAGGAAGAGTAGCGTTTTAAAGGAATTTCACAGAAATTTCTATTTTTAGTAACCATGGCAACACCGTTCATCGAAATCAAAATCCGATGCACTAAATTATGTATCATTGTACAGTCTACTTGTGTGCCAAGTTATATTGAAATCAGACCAAATCTGTAGGAGGAGTAGCGTTTTAAAGGAATTTCACAGAAATTTCTATTTTTAGTAACCATGGCAACACCGTTCATCGAAATCAAAAACCGATGCACTAAATTATGTATCATTGAACAGTCTACTTGTGTGCCAAGTTATATTGAAATCAGACCAAAACTGTAGGAGGAGTAGCATTTTGAAAAATTGTTTACAGACAGACGGACGGACAACGGACACCTTACTATCGCATAAGCTCTTCTGGTCTCTGACCAGTAGAGCTAAAAACCAGAAAACAACACATATATAAAAATCCTACATAGTGTGTAGAAACACAGACCTGCCTACCCTATTTATTGCTGAGGTGTACTCTAAATCCCTATTTTGATGGGATTTTCAGAACCAAAAGGATTAATTCCTCAAACTTTCCTATCTTGATGTCTTACAGTGATTCCATAAAATATAATTTAAATAATCTACATTTTATACCTCTACTAATACTTGCCAACCTCCAACATGTAAAAATCTGGTCATGACCAGATTTGGAAAGTAAAAAATCTGGTCATAACGCTTAACGATCGACATTCATGACACATTTACCATGATTAAATTAAATATATATGCATATATAAGGATAATTATTTTATTAAAATGAGGCTTTGACTTAGAATGACAAAAAAATTAATATATATTGATTATATTTACATGTTAAAAGAGCATTTAAGGTTTCATTATTCAGTATTGACCTGAATTAAATGTGCATATTTTTTAAAGGAAAGTCTTTTCAGAATCTGCATTGTTGATTTGAAGCACATGGAAAGTTTGTGCTAAATTTGAAAGTATTCCAATTTTGGTTTTGAAGTTATTCTTTCCTCTCCCGAATTAATTTAATTAACAAGTGCTATTAAATTTACAGTTATGCCTACACTATCTTCAAACACTTTATTTTCAAAGATTCCTTGATATGTACATAAATATCGTTTCTCTTTTTCTTGGTTCAGTTTGTTCCTGCTGGCCCTGATAACGACCTCATTCTATCGGAAGCCATTTTAAATTGACTTAAAACTTTGATTTGTCAAAACAACTCTCAGGTAATTGTTTACACCTGCACTGGTACACGGCCTACTGAACATGTTCAACATAGCCATTGGCATTGTTTACGTATATCCAAGCTTGGGTTGTAACTGGAAGTTAAAAGTGCAACCTAATTTACAAACCAAATCTGGAAATCAGGAGATTTTCGGGTTGTTCGACAAAAATCGGGTGAAAAGCATGACCCGCCGTGTCATTAAAAATAATCGGGTAAAGGGTCGATAAATCGGGTGTAACCTGACGAAATTGGTTGAGTTGGCAACTATGTCTACTGATTTTTTTCCCTATATAACATTAGATCATTAGATGTGACTAATTCCTTAGAAATTTTTATGAATGGACTAATCACCGTGCGTTAGTCAAGTGAGCAAATCTCTGCATCAAAAGCTAATTCCCGGTTATCCGTAATCCTCTAGATTTTACTTTTACATTGGTATGATATGTGAATGGACTAATCCCTGTGCGTTAGTTCATTGAGTAATCCCTGCTATGAAATCACACTATCTGAATCCTCTAAATTTTACATTTGTATCCGTATTATAAAACAGTTAAAAGTATATCATTGTGAGAGTTGGCAAGATTCTAGTTCCCCTCAACCAGGACTATTTCCCTCGCCTTCCCCTCGGGAAATAGTCCTGGCCTTGGGGAACTGGAATCTTGCTAACTCCCTCAATGAGATACTTTAACTGTATAATAATACTATAAATATTATACTATACATAGAAGATATGACAAACTTACTAGCATTCTTATTATAAGTGTGATATTATTATAAGAGTGTTCATTCTATAAGCCTATTATTATTAGCATGTTCTTATTATTAGTGTGTTCTTATCAGTAGCATGTTATTAGTATGCTATTATTATTAGTGTGTTGTTATTATCATTATATTTAGTTAATTATTATTAGCATGTTCATATTATTAGTATGTTGTTATTATTAGCATGTTATTATTATAAGTGTGCCCTTATTTTCATATTGTTCTTATTATTAGCATGTTATTATCATTAGCATGTTATTAGTATGTTATTATTATTAGCATGTTATTAGTATTATTACTTAGTTTTTTTTATTATTAGCATGTTCTTATTATTAGTATGTTATTATTATTAGCATGTTATTATTAGTGTGTCCTTATATTTATATTAGGATGTTAATTATTAGCATGTTCTTTTTATAAGCATGTTATTATTAACATGTTCTTATCATTAGCATTTTCTTATTAGCATGTTTTTATCATTATTAGCAAGTTATTATTATTAGCATGTTCTTATTATAAGCATGTTATTATTAGCATATTCTTATCATTAGCATGTTCTTATCATTAGCATGTTTCTTATAAGTACGATTATGTTTAGAGGCCATCTTAGTGTATAAGTGCAGTACAGTGCGGACTCATTATTACAATGTCCATTTTGTCACGGTAAAATATCGTATTACCGAGGGCAACGTAATAAAAGTTCCGAATAAAATCCAGTAAAACATCGTTTTGAAAGCTTGTTGTGTATTAGGAGGTGTATTTTTCTCCTTATGTTTCCTTCTTAATTCTGTTCAAATTCTTCATTAAAACGCTATATACATATAATTTATTAATAACTTATCTTGATTAGATGTCTTCATGATGCTATTTCTTCTATTTCCTTCATTTTAAAAGAAATGTGCACATTTTTTATAAAAACTTCGACAATCTTCATTTATCTGCCGCCATTTCCTTTTACTTTTACTTTCGTTTCTGTCTAGATAATGCATTCGTAAAATTTTCAATGTCTTCGTATCGTTACTACATAAATAACAACAATACATCACTGGGCGGTTTTGGGTGTTCAATGAGCTTAGAGCTGCAGTGAACAACTGATGAAAGTGGGCAGTGTGATAGGCATATTCTTGGACAGGATTTGAGAACACACAAGCTAAATGTCAAAATAAATTTGAATTTTTAAATTACTGAACAGAGTTCAATTAGCAGTTCAGCAATTATCGATTTGTATTTCTGTTGACACTTGTGAGGTAGTCCAAGCCACTATCCAAGCTGTTAAAACGTTAGTGGAGTTCAAATTTTGCCAAAATTATGTTTGATACCCAAGCTGTCAATGCCCGCTGTTTAACTGCAAACGAAATTACACATTACGTATTTAACATACATGCATATGATTAAATGTAACCCTTTATTTAATAAATTAATTTTACTTATTAACCATAGTAAAAAAAAATAATAAAAATAAACTTTACAGAGATAGATAAACTAGAGACTACATTTATAAATAAACAGTTTAATTGTTTAACAATGGCTTTGACACGTCTCCAATTCTGCTGACCTCGCTAGAACAGTCAAGGTGTGTGCAGTCAAGCGTCACTAATCACCTAACGGCCCTGCCAGTTAACACTTTGTCAGAGCACAGGTGTTTCAATGTTTATTTAGCGTCTCCTTAATTGTCTACAGTCGATCAGCACTGAATAAACATGCAGGGGTGAAAAAAAATTTTGGACAGAATTTTTACATCGTAATACCGAGTCCCGGCATTTTAGGACATCGTAATAAACAGTTCTATTTGTATAGATTTGTTAAGAAATGGTTTTGTGCTTTGAATTTACAACGTAATAAGCATTCTATCTTATAAAACCGTCACCGTAATAACGAGTCCGCACTGTATCAAGTATCGTGATAATTGTAATGTAAATTGCTTTGTGCTTTTATATAATATTTCTTCACTTAGAGCAGCTATGTGAGTTTAGAAGTCATTGTAAACTATATATGCTTTAAAATAATTCATTGTAGTGTGTACAGGTAATGATCCTCTGATGAACTAATATCCATATAGCTGTATCTAACTCCCATTTTCAATGACCATATTGTAAGAGCTGCCCTAAAAAATTTATGAAATAATTTTTTTGGATTCTTTGATTTTGAAAAGTCACGAGTAAATGTCCAGGAATTTTATTGACAACCCTTAAAAATAATCAATATACAATTTTTTCAATGGTCCCATGAAATTGGAGTTTCTTAAGAGACACTTGCAAATCTTATATAACATATCATCAGCAATGTATTTTGCTGATGATATGTTATATAAGATTTGAATAAATATGCTCAATTTTTTACTGATCAGTAGCCCCTGGGCTAGTTGGTTTTCCAGGAAAATTTCAACCCCTGCAATCTCACTGTCAATATTTCAGCTTTGGTGGACAGATTAAATCATATCACCTGACTGATCACCAGGAGACAAAGCCTTTCTTTTATTAAATAGTTATCTGATTTCAGGGAAATAATTCTTCTTTACCCTTAAAAAAGTAACAAAACTTAATCAGCATGGTGCCATACTAACTGATGCTTGTTAATTGAATCTGAATTAAAGAATTATTGGAATAGGAAATTAAAACTCATAATATTCAACAATTTTGTTTTTATTACTTGTGAGCTCACAACTCATTTTTCACTTGAATACTTAATGAATCTAGTAACCCTAGAAGGAATAAAAATCCCCAGAAAGAACATAAAGGCTTTAGAATGTTAAAATGTACTGACAATTGCCCATAATATTTCCATTATCATGAAAATAAATCCCACAGAAAATTACCGATTTCCTTCACATTAGAAAATAACGATGACAAAAAAAGGTACCAGCACCTGAAATCTGAGAGCGCAGCAATTCTCCACCATTTTCCGACTTTCTCTAATTGTCTCATAAATCTCCACACAGTTACAATTTCAGACTGTTTTTCTATTATCCACAGGAACTAAACAGACCAAATTAAAACCTCATTATTTGTTTTTTTTTTATTGGAAAACTTCTCCTTCCTTACCTCATAAAAGTGATTTCTGAATGGAGCCCTCCCCTCCAACTTAATAACATTTTGTGTATTGCTGTTGCTAAGTATCTTTTTTATTATGAATACTTGATCTCTCACTCTTCATTACCAATCTTAATTGTTTTCTATCACTTCTAATGATTACACATTATGAGTATGCCAAATCAAAATGGAATTTTATCGGATTTCACTATCTAAGAAAGTAAATTAATGTGGATTAAACACAATGGGTTGAAAATAAATGGCATCTAACTGTCTCTCAGGAGGGCTGTTCCTGTGACAAGTACTCCTAAACCAGAATCAGATGTTTGTCAAAGGAGATCTCTCAAAGGAGATTTGCGTGCTCTTTCTGCCCATATTAATTCTAAGTGGATGAAAGCTTCTTAAGTAGAACGTATAATTGACAATAAATATTGGCTAACAATGTGAAATTGGACAATAGATCAGCACTTTGATTAAATCCACAGATTTCAAGTCAAGAGACAGATTACGAAATTAAGACTACTACAGCAAGTGTGACTTTAATCATCTAAGGTGCAGTTACCCTATTAGCTAATTTAATCTCTTTGGTTGTGACAATTGGACCACTGTATGGCTTTCATCACAATTACCCTGGTGTCATATTAACTGTCAGACTGAGTCAAGGCCATTCTCCTCAACAATTAATACACTTCATCTCTTAAAAATAAAAACCAATATCTTGATAATTTTCTCATAATTTGAGCTTATGGTTGACAATCTAACCCAGATGAAGCTAATATACTACTTTTGTTATTAAAATTATTCATCATTACACAACTATTGGAATCCATAAACAATCTGTGCCCCAAGTAAAAGGTTACAAACCCTCTTTGCTGAAGTCAAGAACTTGCTTGAATAAAGCCAACAATTACATAATATTAGGTCATTTGAATAATTTCTTAAAGCTTATCAGTAAGCAGGATTGAATGGCATGAGTTGAGACTACTAAAAACACACAGAAATCAAAGCTGTCCATCAGGACTAATACTGCTACTCACTTTGCCTTTGCTGAGCAAGCTCAAAACTGAGCTAATCTAAAATCCAGCACAGGTAAAACATCCACAGATGCTTCAGGTGAGTGAGTTTAGTTTGTATCCACTTGTAATAAAATGGGAGAGGTCTTGTTGACCAGTCACCACAGTATAAAATATACGTCAGACTCAGGGTCCAAAGCATACATCAGACCTGGCATCCAAGATGTGCATCAGATACAGGTCTTGGATCATGTGATAAGCTAGAGCCAGAACATACACAGTAGTTCTTGTTCCTTTGTGCAATTAATAATAAGTTATTCACTGAGCATTCCTTTACAAAGAACTACTGTAAATTCCTTATTTTACGCGAGTACTTAATATCGCGAAATGGCCTAAGGGCGTCAAATCGCGGAAACAATAATTCGCGAATGGTTGATTTATCTAGACATTTTACATACATTAAAGCACCATAAAAATAAAAGCGAGGAATTTTATTTCGCGAGTGGTGCTTCTCGCGTAATTACGCGATAATTTATTCCTCGCGTATATTTAGGAATCTACAGTAAGTCATTTGAATGAAATATTCTACAAAATAAAATAAGGTTTACTGTAGATGCATTATATATTTAGCGTGTATGATAATTGGCAGAATTATGATTTTTTAACAACTTAGCCTAAATCTGATTTAGTGCATTTCTTAATATTCTTATTTATGTGTATATGTGCAAGACACTTAGTGCTGTACTTGTAATTAGCAGAATTTGTTTTCTGCCAAAGGACTAAAAAGAATACACAGCTAAATATGATGCATTTACAGTATTCTAAATCAAATTCTACTGGCTATAAATGACCCAATATTATACAAATGAAACATGTAGATCCCTTTTGTAACCTAGTTTGGACTCTGTAAATAGTTGTGCTAGATTCTAAAATACTACACTAGAAGTAAAATTCTTTTTCTGTAATCTGGACATATTTAAATCTTACACAATGAAAGTTCGTTGATGAAAATGGTGTCCTCATGCAGTCCTCAATGTCTTATTACTTACCCTACTATAAAATAGATCAATTATGGACTTTTTATGTGATAAGTATGGATTGATATCCTATCAATAATAATTGTATAGTATTAAGGCTGTGTACTACACTTTGACAATGGTGTTTGTTCTACTCTCTGTTACATATTGTGCTGCAGTGGTGAATGAGGATGATTGTTTTAGGTTTATCAAATTTAAGTATCATTCTATTAACTGAGTATGTCATAAATGCATATTTTATCACAATAAATAAATAGCTTCTAAAACACTCATTTGTATGCACACTTATTTTTATTTTCAATCAATTTGACAATTCAATTGTTGAAGTTGTCCTTAACTTTGACTTAAAAAAAGAATAAAAATGAGAAGAAATTTCAAAAGTAAGAAATCTAGCAAAACAGGTCAAAGTCTTGATTATTGTGGAATCATTAGATTTCCTGGTGGCTCAATATTCCTGGAATTTGAGGGTACCCTGCATCCATGAAATAACATATCAATGCTTGGAGTTTTAAAAGCCATGTTTCCTTTTGTGAATATGAGTGAATATACAAAATTATGTCCGCTCAAACCTGTAAAAATTTAGGCATTAATCCACGAAAATTGGGCCCATCCAATTTTAAGGATTCCACAGTATTCAAAACCTAAGATTGTGATAAATACCTGATTTCAGCAAAATATTTTCTGGTTTGAGGTCTGCATGAATAACATTCTGCTGTTGTAGAAACCCTAGGGTGGTTAAAAGTCTCAAAGTCACTTTCTTTATGCTGGGTATCAACTACAAATACACACCCATGAATGAGATGAATGACCGTTGTTGCTGACAAAATAATATTTATACAAGCATCAGACAGTAATTACTTCCAAGTAAGCTTTTCTGATAACTTCTCTATGACACAGAATGCCCAAGTCTTAATTCTAATCTGACTTTTAAACATTCAAAATTGTTTAATTCGGGGTGTTTAAGGGAGATACAGTTCACAATCTGTTTTTTTTTTTTGGGGGGGGGGGGGGGTGTCCTTTTTTCCCCATAGATTGAATGTTTTGAATATTTTACAGTGATAGGCCACAAAAAAGAAATGTCTAGTTTCAAACAGTACAAACTATGTTCTTTTACCTGGTCTTTGTGAAATCCTTGGAATATTCGAGTCAACGGCTCAGGTATGAGGGGCTCAAAAACTAGGCAGAAGTGATCATCCAGCTCAAAAAAATTCTGGACAGAAAATACATGTACAATTGATTTTAATTTACATTAAGAGATATTCCATTTAAATTATGTGGCTCTTCAAACAAGAGTTATTCCAAAAATAAAACTTTCAAATTCTTCACCAGGTTTTAAATCAATAAGCATTCAATGTTTAGTACAAAAAAAGCTCAGCAAAATGACAAGAAGATGTGCCTGTGAAACACTGATGCCCCCATATGGCAGCTTATAGCCAAGGTGAAACTTTTTTTTAAAAGTAGGTCAAACTCCAAAGTCAAGGTCAAGGGGTTAAAAAAGATTGGTATACTCAAAGAAAGATCTTGTCACAATAGATATGTAAATTAAAAATATGAAAGCCCTAGCTCCAACCAATCAGAGGTTATGGCCAACATTAATGTTTTTCAAAAATAGATTGAACTACAAGGTCAAGAGGTAAATGTTGGTACCCAAATAAAGGACCTGTCACAAGGAATACACATTCTAATTCTAACCACTCAGAAGAAATGGAAAGGTTAAAGTTGGTTAATGTTTTTCAAATGTAAGTCAAACTCCATGGTCAATGTCATGAGGTCAAACATGTTTGTACTCCAAGGTCTTGTCACAAAAATACACAAGTGAAATATAAAAGCCCTAGTACCAATTGGTGGGCAAGGTTAGATTTTTGTGGACTAACAGATAAACAGTCAGACAGATCAACAAGAGGCCCATGGGCAACATCGCTCACCTGAGCACATTGGCTAGGCAAAAGCACAAATCAGTTCAGTATTGAAAAGATTGGGGGGGGGGGGGGGGGGGCTTGAATTTTAAACTACCTTCCATGTCAATTTAACAAATGGCTATGTTGTACTCGAAAAGCTTTAAAAAAAATTTCCCATATATTCCTTTGTAAAAATTTGATCCCCCTTTGTGGCTTCTCCCTATCCCATGGGTCATCATTTGAACAAACTTGAATCTACACTATCTGAAGATGCTTCCATATCAATATGACTAAACATAGTTTTTCTGTTCTTGAGAAGAAATATTTTTTTCTATATGTTCTTAGGTAAGACTTTCGATCCCCCATTGGGTACCACCCTACCCCCGCAAAGACAGATCCAGGGCCAGCGCGCCGGGTGTGCTCCCCCCATTTGAATTTTTTTTTTTTATGTAGAACTATATGTCCATTATCCTAAAATCAAGGAAAATCATCTCTTCTTTGTAAGAATTTGTCAGCTTACCAGACCCCCACCAAGGCCTTGCTCTAGACCCACTGGGGGCTTCAATGCAGCCCCCAGACCCACTGCCTCTACTCCCCCCCCCCCCCCCCCCCCGTTACAAAATTCCTGGATCCGCCACTGCCCCGGGGGTCATCATTTGAACAAAATTGAATTCACACTACCTGAGGATGCTTCCATATCAAAATGACTTATCATGGCTTTGCAGTTCTTCAGAAGAAGATATTTTCCTATATATTTCTATTTAAGACATTGATCCTCCATTGTGGCCCCACCCTACCCCCCGGGGGTCATGATTTGAACAAAATAAAATTTACACTACCTGAGGATGCTTCCACATAAATATGACCAATCAGGGCTTTGCCGTTCCTGAGAAGAAGATTTTTTAAAGATTTTTCCTTTATACTTCAATGTAAAACTTTGATCCTCTATTGTGGCCCCGCCCTATCCCCGGGGGTCATGATTTGAACAAACTTGAATCTACACTACCTGAGGATGCTTCCATATAAATATGACCAATCATGGCTTTGCTGTTCTTTAGAAGAAGATTTTTAAAGATTTTTCCTTTATATTTTTAAGTAGAACTTTGATCCTCCATTGTGGCCCACCCTACCCCCGGGGGTCATGATTTGAACAAACTTGAATCTACACTACTTGACCATGCTTCCATATAAATATGACTCATCATGGCTTTCCTTTTCTTGAGAAGAAGATTTTTAAAGGTTTTTCCTATATATTTCTATGTAAAACTTTGATCCCCCATTGTGGCCCCGCCCTACCCCTGGGGGTCATGATTTGAACAAACTTGAATCTACACTACCTGAGGATGCTTCCATATAAATATGACTCATCATGGCTTTGTTGTTCTTGAGAAGATTTTTAAAGATAATTCCTATAAATTGCTATGTAAAACTTTGATCCTCCATTGTGGCCCCGCCCTACCCCCGGGGTCATGATTTGAACAAACTTGAATCTACACTACCTGAGGATGCTTCCACATAAATATGACTCATCATGGCTTTCCTTTTCTTGAGAAGAAGATTTTTAAAGGTTTTTCCTATATATTTCTATGTAAAACTTTGATCCTCCGTTGTGGCCCCACCCTACCCCCGGGGGTCATGATTTGAACAAACTTGAATCAACACTACCTGAGGATGCTTCCATATAAATATGACTTATCATGGCTTTGCTGTTCTTGAGAAGAAGATTTTTAAAGGTTTTTCCTATATATTTCTATGTCAAACTTTGATCCTCCATTGTGGCCCCGCCCTATCCCCGGGGGTCATGGTTTGAACAAACTTGAATCTACACTACCTGAGGATGCTTCCACATGAGTTTCATCTTTCCTGGCCCTGTGGTTCTTGAGAAGAAGATTTTTAAAAAATGCTATTTATTTTTCACCAATTCTCTATTATCTCCCCTTGAAAGAGGATGTGGCCCTTCATTTGAACAAACTTGAATCCCCTTCACCCATGGATGCTTTGTGGCAAGTTTGGTTGAAATTGGCCCAGTGGTTCTGGAGAAGAAGATGAAATTGTGAAAAGTTTACAACGACGCCGACGACAATGCCAACGACAGACAACGGACAAATTTCGATCAGAAAAGCTCACTTGAGCCTTCGGCTCAGGTGAGCTAAAAACTATATGCCCCCAAATCTTCAATTAATGGGGCATTATAAAAAAAATACTCAAATACAATAACTTGCCAGACTTTCAAGTAAACATGATTTAATAAGATATTGCCAGCATTTCTACACAATACCCATAATTTACTGCATCAGAAAATATATCAGTATAGAGTATATTCTGTTTTAAGAATACACAGTAATACAACAACAGCAGTAATTCAAATTCATGTCCAATCTCAATGCAAGCACCTTGGTTCTATTCCATGTGATTCCTCACTAATATGTAATGCTAGATCCTCTTTTCTGTCAATTTGATCAAATAAAAATTCTCATCCAGGTCTAAAACGTTTTTGTACCAGTACTAAACCTGCACTTTCTATTGTGTAATCAAAATTTTATATTAATGTTAAGCATGTGCTAATTAGTGCTCTCATGAACAAGCACCAGTGTTTATATATATAACTTATTTTATAAATTGGCAACTATGACGAATCAGCTGGACAATTAAAGCATGAAACTAAAAATTTCACAATAATAAATACATACGTTATGGGGGGAATGTGATATCAAGACACAAGGTTAATACCTCCAACTTTGAAATGTTGATCTTTTGATTACCTAACTGAAAACCTCCAGTTAGCTTATCAATAAGATGAGGTGTTTTAAACAGTGATATAGAAATGGAGGTAAGTGCATTAAAGAGAAAAAACTTGCCCTGTAATTTACAGTTTAATCACTGCACCTCTACTTTATACATGTATCTATCATTCTTTGTTTAAATCTAGACTCCATACCAGCAACTGGACAACTCTAGAGGCCTTGTAGGGGTCAGCCACTTTGAGGGACCACAGGAAGTGGATCTCCTGATAGGCAAGGTGTCCCCAGCTTTTGTGCAGTATCTTGATCACCACCAGGGAGTCGGAGTTAAACTCATCCTGAAAACATACATATATTTCTTGACCATTGTTAATACATAGAAAAACAATCATAAAATTTGTTAGAGGAGAGATGTCACTCAGTGTCAAGTCCAAGTAAGGTTTGATCCTCGGGGTGTGCTTCATGCCTTGAATATAATCCTATTCAGTCATATAGTTTTCTTGTCTCCTTTCTTAAAAAATAATAATCATTTTATTACAGTAGTCAATCTTCAGATAAATTGTACAACCTAATCATTTCTATTTTAAGCCACTTAGTACACTCTGAAAACCCAAGATGCATTAACTGACAAAATTTGATGATTTTAAGCCTTCATTATCTTAAATATTGAAATAGTCGCCCACGTGGCGCAGTGGTTAGAGCGTCTGCTCTAGAGACGCGGAGTAAGGAGTTGATCCTTACGTCGCGGGTTCGAATCCCACTGTGGGACGTGGAGATCGGTCCTTCAGATGAGACCGTATAAACTGAGGTCCCGTGTCGCAGTAGGTGCTGGCACGAAAAAGATCCCTCACTGCTCAATGGCCGTAAGTGCCGAGTATAGGACAAAATTTGCAGCTCTCCACCTGCAAGTGGTGGCGTCTCCATATGAGTGAAAAATTCTCGAGAGGGACATTAAACAACATACAAACAAACATAAACATTGAAATATAGCCATGAATTCCAAAAATAGGTCACTGTGACCTACTTTTTAACTGACACATTCTGAGGACCCAAGATACATCAACTGACAAAGTTTGATGATTCTAAGACTCTTTTTAGCTGAAAATATTTAGATATAGCTGTGAAATTCCAAAATTAGGTCACTGTGGCCTACTTTTTCATTAACATACTTTTAGATTCAAAGATGCATCAATTAACAAGTTTGATGACTCTAAGCCTCTTATTATTTGAAATATTCTGAAATTGCCTCAATATTCCAAAATATTTCACCATGACCTACTTTTTAATTGACACACTCTGAGGACCAAAGATAAATCAACTGACAAAGTTTGATGACTTTTTAGCCAGTTAGTATCTGAAATATTCAAAGATGGACATGAAATTCAAAAAGTATGTCAACATGATCTTCTTTTTGGTTTACATACTCTGGGAATCCAAGATGCATCAACAGACCAAGACCAATGATTCTAAGCCCATAATTATCTTAAAATATTCAGATATAGCCATGCAATTCCAAAAGGTCATGGTGACCTTTTTATTCAACATACTCTGAGACCCCAAGATGCATCAACTGATAAAGTTTGATGATTTTAAGCCCCTCTTATTATTTGAAATAATTTGATATTGCCTTCAAATTTCAAAAGTAGGTCACTGTGACCTACTTTTAAGTGGACACATTCTGAGGAACCAAGATGCATTAACTGACAAAGTTTGATGATTCTAAGTATCTGAAATATTTAAATATAGCCATGAAAAAGTGTCCATATATATGCCTCCAAAACAATTTGAAAATGAATACCTGCAAATTTCAGATAGTAGGTCACTGTGACCTACTTTTTCATAAACAGTTTTAAGGCCCCAAGATGCATCAACTTACAAGGTTTGATCATTCTACACCTCTCAGTAATAATGACCTTAAATGTTTTGAAAATGATAAGCCATAAAATTCCAAAAGTAGGTCACTGTGGCCTACTTTTTGGTTGAAAATACTTCACTTCAAGGCCCCATGATGCATTAAAAAAAATCTTCTTCTCAAGAACGACTAGGCAGATTATCACTAAACTTACGCACAAGGATGAAGGTATATTGTAGATTAAAAATTGTTCAAGGCATTACCATAGGGAAAAGAGCTTGGTCTCAAAGTCATTTCAAAGCTGGCCAAAATTATGTTTTGTTAGTTTTGATATTTTGCCCACTATAAGGACTAGGATCATCAAATCTTGTCAGTTTATGCATCTTAGAACCTCATATCATGTTGACTCAAAAGCAGGTCATTCATTTTCATTTTGATATTGAGACATATCTTGGGACACTTTGAAACATGTGATCATCAAGTTTTGTGAAACACTTATAACCCCCCACCCTTCCCACCTCCACCCCTCCTGGAATTTTTCTAGGTCAAAGGGGTATAATGTAGTAGAGGTACTTTTATTAAAATAATAAAAGTTGAAATGATTTTAAATGAAATAAAATAAATATCAAAAATAAATTATATAAACTAAATAAACTATTAAATATGTTATAAATGACATAAGTGATACGTTTTCTATTAAAGTTTCACTCTGTTCATTCTTTACCAACATGGGTATTTAGTGACATAGCTATACACCCCTTTGGATCCACACCTGTACATATACTTTTACATCTATTGGTCAGATTTTGAAATGGATAGATTTCATTGGTTGAAAGGTTGGTCTTTGTGAGGTACTAAGTTTTATTCAGATTTAGCTCAAGATTTCATTGTGTAAGATATTCATACAGTTTAAGCTGCTCATTTAAAATTTGTTTCTGAAGACCTAAGACAGTTCCTGAAAATGTAACACCATAAGTAAAGAATTAAATTATTGCTTTGGAGAAAGTTCAATTCCATAAATTGGACATTTCCATTATTCCATATATTCCATTAATCCATTTTCCATATAATTCATTTTCCATTTATCCACCATCAACTGGACATGTCACCTTAACGAAACGAAACGAATAATTTAAAAGATATAATTGAGTGTGTTTTCCATCATTGCCGGGAATACCCGCTGTCAAAAATTGCTCGATTGTACCCAAAACAGAACTTAACCTAGATATTCTATGATAAATCTGTATACCAAATTTCATTTCAGTATGTGCAACCTCTGCAAAGAAAATGAAAGGAAACTGAAAATAATTGGAATTTTTCAGTCCAAGGGGCATAACTCTGTCAAAAATTGCTCGATCATACCCAAAACAGAACTACACCTAGATATTCTTATGATAAATCTGTATACCAAATTTCATTTCAGTATGTGCAACCTCTGTGAAGAAAATGAACGGAAACTGTTGGTGGACCGACAGACAGACCAACAGACAGCAGCAAAGCAATATGCCCTCCCTTTTTTGAAGGGGGGCATAAAAATGTAATTATAACATGTAACCATTTAGAAGACTCTACCCTCCATACATGATACTGAAGATAGTGATTTTAGAGTTATCTCTCTTAACTGATGGTTACATCTTCTTCACATTTTCATAAACACTTGAATGTGATGTGTATTGTTTAAGAATATTGCTTCACATTTTAATATAATATTACACACTGCCTCACATTTTTAATAAGGCCAAAGTTTTTTTTTCTTTTGGTTTACGATTACGCCGACCCTAATTTTCACCAATCATGAAAATAAAAATAATGTCTTTTTCCGACATATTTTTCCGAATTTTTCTCAGCTGAACTGGTGGGTTTTAAATTTTAGAATGCATCTTAGTCAAATAAGTGCTTATAAATATATGAGACCTTTACAAACATTTAGGTGACCGTAAATAAACACATGTGCAAACCAAAAATGGCGGTTCTGTCATGTAACAAGGTAATTCCTCACTGAAAGGAATGACACACACTTAAAGAACTTTTTCTGCATGGAAAAGTTAATAAAGTCTTGGATGCATGATCCCTTTCTCTAATTGCGATGTCTCAATTGGCTAAATTCATCCCGTAATATTGGAGAGTGTATAACCAACCCTGATCGACCTAGCAGACACGGATACACCTATAGATAACAGGGATTTATCAGTGCCTTCTCATGGGCCGAAATTTGGCCTCATTCCCAGTTGAAAATGAGTTCAGTTTTTCCCAATTTGGCAGTATTTTTTCCCAATTGGTGAACAATGCTTTTATTTTTAATTATCTTTGGAAAAAAGTACAATTGTCAGATTGTCTGTAATTTTCATCTATTTAACTCATTTAGCAAAGCTACAGTCATAACACGTTTAAAAACACTGAAAAAACATCGCCAACTTTTAATCCGAATTTCCTCCGTTTTCTAAAAATGATGATATTGTGTAATTATATAGATTTATTAAGTTATTTCCATCTACTCAATTGATCTGCGAGAGAATGGTAAGGACTTTAGGCATTATTACATATAGAAAAATATATTTTCAATGCATTAATACATATTAAAAGAGGACTTTTAGAAATGTGTACTTAGTATAATTTTTTGCAGGAGGTTTATAATCTCCAGAAACAGATACTATAATGACCTAAATTGAAATCTCATACACACATGTACATGTACTACCCTAAGTTGTATAAATACTTTATACTCATTGAAGTCCATTTTAATTGTCGTTTGGTTGCCCAAATTAGAGTTCATGCTGAAATGTTAAACGAATTACCCCTGAATACATGATTTATAAGCAACATTTTAATTTTTTTTTTCCAATTTCATCAAATAGCCGATAATTTTTTCCCAATTCCCTAAAAATGGTGTTTCCCAAAATAGGCTGATAAATCCATGGATAATAGTTAAGCCAATTTACTGTTGAGAGATACATCTTAGTTGAAGTAACGCTGACCTGAGTGATTATTTCACTGGATAAATTCAAATGTGTATAAAACATTTTGTTAATTTATACTTTATAGAAGTAATTTTAATATACAAATCTTTGCAAATTTGATACTCGATTGAGATCAGAGCCCTCTGAATTACTAAGTAAATAATGAGCATTGCCTACTGTGCAGGTACATAACAAAATTTAAAGAAGGACTTGATTGAGAAATTATTTGAACATTAAATTTAATAGCTGCATGATCAAATTATTATAACCTTTATTTAAACGTCAATTACTTTCAATATTGTTAAACAATTAAATTGTATTTTTCTTCAATCTAAATTTAACTTAAATTTGGATCCTTATTTTTAGTTTGTGGGGATACCGAGGTTTATAACATATCACATATCACTGAAGAGCACAAAAAAGAAGTTGAACATCATGAACCAAGCACTGATTGACAAACAAAAATCAGCACTAAATGAAAATGTCATTCAGTCTAAAGTTAGAAATGAATTAAAATTAAATAAAAAGAGTTATGTGATCTAGACAATAAAACTTAAAAGTACTATTGACGTGTATTATTTACATTAAAATAAACATTGCTGGTACATGTATTTAAAAATGAAATTGTTGAATCCTAAATTATTTTTATTTTTATTTTTCAACCACCCAATGCATTTTTTTGAGACAGAAAATCGTAAACCAAAAAAAATAAAAACTTTTTAAGTTTTAAACCTTTGCAAAGATCTGCACAGAGGATTGTCCACGAGTCCTTGAAGACACTTTACTCAGAACTCTGTAGCGAGATGCCAACAATGTGTTTTTCTCTGGAACAAAGTGTCCATGGATATCTGTAAACCGCCCATACTCTGTTAATAGATTAAAATCAACTCTGGAGACAGATTTCTTGTATAAGAATTGTTTTTAAATATCTACAGCTTGGCAACCACAGAAAGAGGCTTTCAAACTTTCTACAGTGTAGTTTGTCTTTTAAATCTGCTTTTCAATAGTGAATACACTTTTTTTGAAACCTACTCTTCCTTGATTTATACATTTATCATTAAAATCTCTATTTAGTAAGCTAACATTTGATATTTTATTTATTTATAAAAAGGTTATTCAATCAGTAAATACAATATCACTTCGTCTAACATGCACAAAATTGCATAATAGATGTTTATGAATTTTAATTTTCTCACATTCAAATTCTTGTGATCAAAATTACAAAATATATCGATATATAAAAGGAAGGTGACTTCATCAGTTATCCAATAGTGCACTATACAGAGATATGTCCGTGAAAAAATACTAGAAAGATATACATAAATACTTATCACCACGGAAATAATGCTATCTTAATAAGGAAATGACCTTGACCTATTACAAGAAGTTTGAGAAAAAACAAAATAACACATGTCACACCCTTATACGACGAGTGGTTTCAAAGTTCAGCATTCACACTCTTCAAAATAGAAATGAGTAACAGGACAAAAATGAGGCATAAATTAAATAAGGTCATGAAAGTACATGTACCAAAAACTTTACAAAAATTTTAGCTTTGTAGTATGGTCTTGAAAAGAAGATTTTTAGAGATCTTTCCTATACATGTTGATACCCAAAGAGACTGTACCTCTGCTGATTTGTTACTTTATTAGTTTTTTTTTAATGTTTTGTATTGCTGTGTATTTTTATGTGTTTTCTTGTCCACTTGAGTGTTAACAAATAATGCTTGTATCTATGTTATGTTCCCAGTGGGACCATGATTGGCAAATAAAATCTATTCAATTCTATATCAAAAGACAAGAAATGTAGCACTTGGATTTGAGACTATGACAACAGCAATAAAAAGAATAATGATACTTGGTTTCGTCTCTCTGTGTGGCAATTTTCACTGCAATTCAACTAAAACTGAAGTAGAAGTAGCCTTTTGAAAGAAATTTTCAGAAATTTCTATTTACAGTAACCATGACAAAACTGTTCATCAAAATCAAGTGTTAAAAGTTTACTGAAATCAGACTAAACCAGTAGAAAAGAGTAGTGTTTTGAAAGATTTTCACAGATTTTTTTTTTCTTAGCATCCATAGCAATAATGCAAAAAAAAAAATAAATCAAAAACCAATATACAGAATTGTGTATCTTAGTGTATTCTTTTTTGTGGCAAATTTAACAGATATGATTCTAAAGTCAAATGAAAAAAGCAGCTTTAAAGATGACTCCAAAAAGGCCAGGGGTATTGGGGGCCGTCTAAGCCTCCAGACCCTCTGGAGTATTAAAATGATGCTAAATCCTGCATTCTGAGCATTTCCTGACACTTAGTTTTCACTCTGAAATTATCTCTTTTTTAAGGAAAAGAAATTACAAATGTTACTTGTTACCTACTCTGTATCTTAGACTTTTATACTTTTGTTTTTCAATTCAAGTTACAAAATTTTTTCATCTGTTCTAACAATCGATGTTTCTAATAAACTTCCAACAACTGGCAATATAAATACATGTACTTTGAACGACATCTTTAGCAATTTTATTTTTCCCGACTTTATTTATACATATCCATTACCACAATCAATGTTTCTAGTAAAACTTCCAATGATTGGCTGATTTAATACTTTTAAAATCCACGAACCAATGAAATGAATCAATAAAGTAGGTATAAAGTGAAGCCAAAACAGATTTATTGGACAAAAACGACAAAATTGGAAAAAATTGAGAGACTTAAAAAAAGAGAGCGAAATATAAATTTTAAAATGGACTGAGCAAATTTAAATGGTAGAATTTTGCTTTAAAGTGGGAAATTGATTGATTGATTGTATACGGTTTTATGTCCTGTTTGAAAATTTTTCACTCATTTAGAGACGTCACCATATACTGGTGAAGGGCATCAAATTTAGACCTTTACTTGGCACTCAGGGCCATTGAGCAGTGAGGGTTCTTTATCGTGCCAACGCCTACCGTGATACAGGGCCTCGGTTTTTAAGGTCTCATCCGAATGACCCGCAACTTTCACTTCAAAGTACCGGCACTTGGCGAAGGAACAGCTGCTGCCTATTTTTTTTTTATATCAATTTAGGTCAGTCGTGGCTGTGATTCAAACACACGACCTTCTGATCACAGAGCGAGCGCTGTACCAACTAAGCTACTGTGATGGTTTAAAGTGGGGAAGAGACCCATGTCTGATTTAATTGAAATACTAAAACTGTAGGAGGAGAAGCCTTTTCAAGGAATTTTACAAAAATTTCTAATTTTAGTAACTATGGCAACACCATTCATCAAAATCAAAACCTGATAAAAAAAAAATCATATATCTTAGTGTGGTCTATTTGCATTGAAAAATCTTATCAAAATCAGACCAAAATTCTTAGGAGTAGGGTTTTGAAAAATTTTATTAAAAATTTTCTATTTTTATTAACAATTTGTCAATACTATTCATCACAGAGCTTGAAATAATTGATGGCCTGCTGGTCTGGTGCCAGTGAATTTTTACTGGGGCTAGTGCATTCTAGAGGGCATGAAAGGTCAGTGTTTTTATTTAAGCATAACTTAATTCATTTATGGTCGGGCTAGTTAACTTGATGGGATTGTGAGTTCATGTTTTGTTGCTTCTTGTTTTGTTAAGTTTGTACTATTAATTATCATAATATAAACAAAACATAACTATTAATTTCATGGTTTTCGGCCAGTCTTTTGAAAATCTACTGGCCCAGTTGGACAGTGAAAGTACTGAGCTGACCAGTGAAAATTTAAAGTGGTAGCCCGAGTGACCAGTGAAGAAAAATAACTATTTCTAGCCCTGCATCAAAATAAAAAAAAAGGATAAAGAATTTTTATATATGTACCTTAGTTTGCTCAACTTGTGAAGAAAATTTTATTGACCAGTAGAGCTAAAAACTTAGATTTACTATTATATACATATATTTAGGAAATTCACGTAATTCAGTACCATATAAAGGAAGAACTGATGCATCATGGGAGTTAATCTTGGTGAAGAGTTTCTTCAGTCCTCCAGTGACATAAGCAGAAAAATGGATCTGTGGTGGATTTAGATGTACCAGCTTGTCAGAGTGTCTGAAATAGACAACCACATCCAGTGAGAGAAATATTTACAATAATGCTTTACTTGGGCATAGACTTATATATATATATATATCTCATACGTGTGTTGGATACTACCCATAAGATAAACCTATGCTTTATCCACAGGAATGCTTTATCAATAACATACATGCCAACTTTCCCGATTTAGGCGGGATCCTCCCGATTTTACCCTTTGATCCCGCTCTCCCGATCGGGAAAGCAAAATTGCCCTAAAATCCCGATTTGAAAAAATTCAACCTAAAATTTCCGATTTTCCCTACCGAAATATATTGTCAATCAGGATTTGACTATCAGACTTGTTTATTCAATGCACACAGATAAGTCTCTTTGTTTATTTAACTCATGCAGAGGTGATAATTAGCCACAGTAAATCACTTCTCACTTGAACCACACAGCTGTCCAGGTACAGGTAACATAGCCTGGGGCGGTTAGGGGATTAAACTTTTCAGTAAGAAGGGGTATGCATAGTGAAACACATAGATTTAGGGGTTAATTAAATATCATTTTAATAAAAACAAAAAAAAATCAATATAGTGATATGATAAACTAACAACAAAATCGGAATTAATCCATGTTGATTGTTTTTTAAAAAAGAAAATAGAAAACAACAAAGCATAGCTGCTGATTTTATCTGCTTGTAATAAAAATATTGTAAAGTTTACCGGTTAAAATAAGATGAAAATAATTTAGATGAAACAACAAAGTCTTATACCTCAAGTACACTGAATCCCCCCCCCCCCCATGTAATATCACAAGGGAATACCCACACAACACTGCCAAGGTTATGTTATTGAATAACACTTCCCATTTCGACACAATCCCTCTGCCTCGCTTCATGATGTTAATTTATAGAAACTTCTAATTGTGAAAGTTCTGTGTTATCAAATAAATGCTAATGAGCAAAAACGTTCGTTAAAAACAAGAAAAAACTCATTACACTTCAGTGAAATGTCAAAATTTATCAATGTACTGGCTTGAGCGATGAAAGTTGTAACCCCCCTCCCCCTCCACACACAGACACAATCGCAAAACGTTAAAAAATTAAAGATATAATCCAGAAAATTCAGAGTAGAATCGTGTGAAAACAAAACCAACTAATGAGTATTGTCAGTCCATGCTCAGTGATGCGTGCAGAGTTTAACAAATTGAACACACCTGGTGAAACGTAAACATTAACAATAACAGCTGATTTGTGCCCTGTTAACAAAACATTACGTTCCATTGGATGTGTTCAATTTGTTATACTCTGCACACATCAATGAGCAGGGACTGACAATACTGGTGAGTTGGGTTTGCTTTCTCACATTTCTGGATTATATTTTTAATTTTTTTTCATTAATACACAACACAGTTTCTACTTTCCTTAAGTATTAAGGATAAAGATTACTTTGTGAAAGTGCAAAGATGTGTCAATCAAATGCGTCCCGAAATTTATAGTTTCCAGATAAAATTAGTTTTTTTTATTTTATTTCCATGTGAAATGCTATAGCAACATATAAGTTATGATATAATACAGAAAATTTGAGAAAAGATTAACTTCAAATCTGTGTCTATGCCCCTTTAATGGGACCATTTTGTTTACAAATTTCAGTAAATGTTTTATCCTTACTCTGTCTAGATAATAATCATGGCTTTGAAAAGTTCCTATTGGGACACTGCATGTCAAAATCCTGACTACTATTTTTTGGTGGCGGAGATTCCGCTTAGCTAGATATTTTTTGGTGGCGGAGATTCCGCTTGGCTAGATATTGTTCTGAACTGAAAATCTCAGACAAGATTAGCCTAGCTCATTGTGGACAAGTTATATTTTAAAACTTTTTTATCACTTAAATTACAGGAAGCAGCATGAACAATTCTGGCAAGCTGAGCTCTATATATACCAACACATACAAGATTAGAAGAAATTCAACCTGATATCTGCACATTTGTCAAGCACAGTTTTGTATGAAACCTTCTCAGAATTCTGTTACAAAAATTCCATGCAATAATGGCAAATGTAGCAGTACCCCAGCGGTACATCGAATTACCGAAATGCCCTTGATTTACCGAAATGCCCGTAGAAATTACCGAAATGCCCCTGGAAACTACCGACAGAAATGTTATAATCTGGTTTGATTAAACAAAAAGGAAGCATGGAGGAAATTCGGATATTTGATAATTTTGTTCATCATCCGTGAGCAATAAATCTAAGAAAGCTAACCGTATATTTTTAGAATGGAATTTAGAACTCATTTCAACAGTTCCATTTTTCATTCCTATATCCTATCACAGAGATAATACTCGACATTTGTCATAAAATCTGCACAAATTGTGGATTTGACAGTGTTATTTGATGAACCCGCCATAACTGTGTAAATCCCGTACATTGCTCGTCTACTCTCGTCAAAGACGAGAGTGATGAAAATAAACAAACCCCGCCCCTTCCTGTCTATCACAAACTTCCTCTTCCCACCGAGATGGAAGAGAGCGATATTCTTATTGTATTGGCTCTGTTCAGAATGCTAGTGTGTATTGCGACACCTCTTTATTCCAAGTACTGGCGATGGGAAAATGGGCGGTCACTTCTACAGCTCCAAAGACAGGTTGAGGCTTGTTGTAGTCAAGTTGTATTTTCCGATTGGTTGTTTCCATATAAGGAATGTGATGCAATGTTTTCAAACAAATCAAGCAAGCGTATATCACGGTTCACGTGTGCAAATTACTATTACTACAGATTTTTTGCGGGAAACGTCCACAACCTTAATCCAGAGAGGTAGGTGTAATTGTTATTCGGCGAAGTTATTGACTTTTATTATGGACGTCAAATGGGGTTTCATTGATTATAACTAGTAAGAATTATTAAATTTATATTTCATTACGCCAAAAAAAAAAAAATCTAAACAGGCAGAATTCCAAAATGAGATAATGTTGAATTTTTTGTAAATTTAACCAATTCACTTGTTTTTAGTTTTGTAGCCTAGGCTTCCAAAGATAATAAGCTATTTTTTTACTTATTTGTAATGATTATGATCCTTTTACAATGAAACCAGTTATAATTTAATGTTGGCAAATTTCCAGCTTTGTGTTGAATTTATGCAGTAAAGATCAATTACAGAGACACTTCCTCCATATACATTCGTCAAGCATAAACAGAACGTTTTCTCGATTCTGATGGTAACAAAATAAAGTTTTTTTTCAGTAGAGTTTCGATGTAGTGCTCACAATGCAACAATCCTCAAAAGGAAACTCCGGAGAAGATGTAAAGGAGAGTCCCTCAGCATTTTCAGTGTGTTCAAAGGACGGAAAATTTAAAAGACCAAATTCTGGAAAACGCGACAGTGGATATCACACGGATAACTCACCTGCAGCTCATGGAGGTCAACTTATGTTTAATTTTGATGACATCCCCTCGAAATCGGGTGATCATCCTTTTCATGAAAGTTTTGAAAGTTCTGGTGTGTTTGATTTAGAAGAACAATTGTCTGGAGATACCAGCGATCAGGAAGTTGAGATGGTGTTGTCGAACCCAAATTCTCCGAGACCTGAGCCATCGATACCTTTGGCCTCTCGTCCTTCTGCACCCCTCCCTAGGGAAAGTGATAGAGAAATGCAATTGGATTTGATTCAAGGGATAGATAGTGAACCTCATCTTAGTATATCCTCTCCATCACAAAACAGAGGGGTTTCTTTCCAAAGAACCCGCTCGCGGAGACACGGATGTTACTTTCGACCTATTGAAAATCGGTCTGTTGGAACCCAGACTCCCACCCCAACTTGCCAAATCGTACATGATGTGATTGATCGTTTTCACCCTTATGGACATATACGAGGTAAGTTGTACCTAAGACATCGTCGCAAGCCAAGGGTTTTGTGTCCATTCTATTTCCACAAATAGAATGGACACAAAACCCGTGGCTTGCGACGATGTACCTAAGAGGGCTTAAGTAAAATTATTTATACAACTCTCAATCAATTCAGATTTGCTTCTGAAGAGGAAAATTATGAAGTAGAAGTTTTATATATAAATGGATCTATATATGTATACGAGTATATATTTTAAAAATAATTTTCATTATTATCAACACAAAAAGAAACAAAAATCATTTGAGGACAGAAGGTCACTGAACAGAGATTGAGTATTAGTTGAGAGTATAAACACTAGTTCTGACTTGAAGCCAAAATTGTGAATCATGTGATAGTCATTGCGGAAATGTGCTGCGGAAACTGCAAACATTTGTCAAGTGAACTCCCTTGTATCTCGTGTGTCACTGTAGACCAAGAACCGCAAAACCACTAGGGTGACGACGATACTAATAATAATTATTACAAAACTACTGATTTTATAGTTCTCTGAGGAGACGAATTCGTCACCAGGGCAACTATCGTCTGCCAAGGTAAACAGGTTAACTTGACAGGAGGTTGACATTTCACACTCATCAATCAGAAGACATCCTAATATTCTCATGTAATCTGGTCCTCCTAAGCAAACATTTAGGTTGGTTAAATTGTGCCCTTATCTTTGATTTTTAATTTAACTTAAATAAACATGTAGATTATACACCTGCTTTCGAGGTGGGTAACCCCTCTCGTGGAGTTACCTGCACATTCTAGCAGGTATAGTGATTACATCAGCTTTATTTATAGATTGAAAGCCTATCATCGATTACGTCCTGATATATGTGTTATTTTTGTATGTACAATACAGACTTTTGTCCATGATCTTAACGCCAAACAAAGCTAGACCATGATAATAATAGTTTAAATTAAAATCGGCATTATTTTAAATCGTTTTATTCATTTGGCAACATATGAATTAAATGTAATTAATAAAAAAAAATACTGTTCCCACACCTTGTACCCGACTTTTGCCCACTTAAACACACTGCCCATATTATCAAAAATAAGCTAAATATGAGGCAATAACAAGGTTTAAATTCGAAATATACTGTCATTGTTATCGATTAGATACACACTATTTTAAAAAACTTTTTATTTTCTTTACAGATTCCCTGGCGCGAAATCGACACAATTCGGCAGGGGAACAGAATCCGTCCACCTCTAGTCCGCTCCCAGACATCATTCCATCTTCACGTGACCGCTCGGTATCCCTCCCCGACGTCCCTTCTCTCCGCCAGCAACAGGAGCAGGCGGTCGGGAGGGAACTCCGGAGAATCAGTGACGAGTTTCATTACGCTTTTACAACACCCCCACGTGTAAGTATTATTAACATCACACTCAACGTGCAAGTTATATTTTATGCGTGTACATGATGTATGGGGAGAAGCTTTAAAACTATGTTTTAAAAGAAATGTTTAAAAATGGTTTCTACGTTCTACTGTACAAATACCTTGAAAGTAAAAATCACGAAATTCTGTGAAAAAAAAAAATCGTCGATAGTATGCAGCAGTTGATGTACTCGATGTCTGGGGGTTGGTGTGTGCACCAAGCATCATATGGCGCCTATTGTGCATGCGTGATTACAGAAAAATGGAACAGGAATTAATTGACTGTGTACGTAATATAAATATACCAAAATAAAAATAAAGTTCATGGAGTGCTTTTGCGTACGATTTGCAACAGTTTTGTTGAAATGCAGATTACATGGGGTTTTTTTAACAACTTAATTTTACCAATGTCAAAACAACTGCTGGTTGTTTGTCAGTTCCAATAAACATCCTGATATCTATATAAAAGTACATAAAATGTTTATCACGATAAGGCAGAGGCCCGCGTGTCAGACCTCGCAGTTTACGCTACAGAGATATGTGTGTTAGAATATCTGTAGTAACCTTGAGCTGAAAACCTCGTAACATATGCAGGCCTAAAAAAGTCAAATACCGACATTATCAAAATTCAGCATTCTAACTGTGTTAAGCGTGCTTTTAAAATTCCAATTAATTTTTTTTTATTAACGTAGCACTACAAATAATGCAAACACATTTTAGATTTTTCCTAAACTTTTTTTTTTCAGAGAGCCAGATTGTTTGGGGAACCGCAGTCGTTCCCGGGCTCCGTCAGGTTTAACATGGCTCACCTATGGGATAGTCTCAGGAGTCTCATTTCCAGCCCGGTGTCAATTCGCCATGACAATGATGAAAACGACCACTTCGAGGATGATGTTTTCCCCCCGAAATGTTGACGGAAATATTGTTTGAGTCAGAGTACTCCAACGACATTTATAACCTTATATTTTGGAACTTATTGCTTCCATTGGGTGCTTTATGTAAATTATGCAATGGATTAATTCTACTCTGAGTCCGATCGAGTTAATGTCAAACACCGTTAAACGACAAGAAATTATTGTAATTACGATGAAATAGCTTGTTGTGTTTGCTCAGTTTTGTGGCCTAGCCCAAATTTTTCTGGATCTCATTTTTTTTTTTTTTTACAAACTAGTTAGTGTATATTTTCGTTTGTATTCAAGTGTTTCCTCTTAGTTGTTAGTGCTTATACATACGTCGAATATACAGTATTTGGTGCATGTCTCTCATTTTGACATAATACTGAGATTTTTTAAATCAGAAGATTGGTGCAAACTCATCGAAAAAACAAGCAGTTTACAGAGCGAGTGCTTCAATATGTCGGCCTTTGAGTATTTTGTTTTCATGTTTCAAGGTGTTACAAATTTCGAAAGTTATGTTTCATGTAAGAAAATAATCAAAACTCAATATCTCCCTAAAAATGTGTTCAAGTAGCGTTTTTTTGTTTTTGTTTTTGTTTTTTGTTTTTTTTTTTTTTTTTTGAAACGTAGAACAGATAGCAAGACAGTGTCAAAAAATGTTCAGGTGTAGCTTAGCTAGCTCAGACGATACGGATAGATGACTAGTTATATAACATTGGCCACACCCAGTCTCATCGCTAGTTATAGTCACTGCCACATTCAGGTTAATGGTATATTGATTTTTCAGTGTTATAAAGGGAAGATGAAAACGTATATATCCAGAAATGATTAGATACTGCAGGAATTTATTGATTTGACACAGTCATAGTGAGAGAGTGAGTAGTGACCTTGTATTCAATACTGACAGTCTAACAACGCCTCGACTGATAAGATCACGCAACCATCGAGAATACACGAGACTGACTAGTGTTTGTGAAAGATTATAATATACAGTAGAATATACAGTAGAATAACTTTTGCTTAAATTGCTGATATCAAAATAATAATAACGCACAATGATTTTTATCTGTCCCTGTGTGTTGATTTTTTTAATAGATGCAACATCTGTCATCAGGAATGAGATGGTGTTTATAATATGCTATTTCAATCTGTTTACAAACCACATTGTCTTTAAATGTGAATTATTATTCATAGACTGCAGATTTGTTGTTGCACTTGTTTTGTATAATATTTGTACATACTATTTTCTGGCGTTGATTCCATGTCAACAGAGCGATAGAGGGGTTTTTTTCTCTGTTGGATTTAGATCACATTGATTAGATCTAAGCATTGTACATATGTTTGATGTAAATAGATGTTAGACTGAAAAGATTGCTAAGTTTTCCATTGATCTCAATATCCCCAGTTAAAAAGTCACCGGACTGTGTCCCCCTAATCAGTCACGTGCCTATACGGTGTGCCAACGATAATATATAGTTTATTCTTTAAATCAAATACATTTTACGTTCAATTTGTTAATAACCTCTTAATACTGGTGCAAATTATTTTTACTTTGCTACATTCAATCTCTCTTGTTCCCTTATCTTATACTCGACATACTTTCCTTCAAAATTTCATATTTTTAAACATTTTTCACACAAGAAAAAACATCATATTTGTTTACCACTTTTTATTGTGCAAAGGTCTCAGGAAAAAACATTTATACATTAAAATGTTTTGCATATTCATACATTTATTCAAACGTAAGTTTTTTTTCTGGCCATCCTTACAGTTATAATCGCACAATGTTTGTTGCCGTCTCAGTTTTGATAAAACTATTTCGGAAAAGCGAAATGTGATCCCGAGCGATTTTTTATTTGATGGGCATTGTGAGTTCATTGAAGATAGTGCTGATCCGGGTACAAAGAGTGATATTACGGGGTACATTGTTCTATGTTTATTTTTCTAGTTTAAGGGAAAAAAAAACGAATATTGTATGAATTTTCAGATGGAATAAAAAAATTTTGAAAGAAAAATAATAAAATAAAATGAACGAAACAATTGCAAATTAGTTTTGTTTTTATTGGCTTGGAGTGCAGTTTTCTGTGGTAGTGAGATAAAACACTATAACTTTGAATAAAACTTGAGATAACGTTCCGATGGGACAAATACTATTTCGTACAAATGAAATATAGTGACTTATAAATTTCTATTTTATGATCGTGTTTATGTTTGATTATTAAGAAAACATTTCGTTCTCTAAATTTTGTGCTTTTGACAGTTGTGTATTTTAATTTTCGTTTTTGATTTATTCCTCCATAGTTTTTTCCTTTACTTAGCCAAATGTTTTTAGTCTTCAGGTTGAAGAATGACATATTGAATTCGCATGCCACTCTTCAGCGCGCGTGCTGCAACCAAAAGTGTGCGTGATCTGACTTTTAAAGGGTCTGCTTGTTTTAAATAAATTTAAGAGCGCATTCAAAATATAAAAAGGTTATTCCTTCCTGAAATTTGGATGTTTGCCAACGAGGCACAACTGTGTTTTGGAGTATTATTTATAGTAACTTACGCATGTCTCTTAAAACGACTCGAAATATATATTACAAAAGGACCTCTTTCTTTAAGTGTCTAGACTTAAGGCGAAATACAACGTCTACCGAAAACCTGTGTAATGAAACATCCGATTGCCCTCCTGCTGGGGGTCAAAACCATTGTAAGCCTTACCACAACATCAGTCCCTCAAAAGTTTAATGCTTTTATAATTCTTTCTGGTGCACCTTAACCAGGTAACCATGAAAGGTGTCTCATTAAGTTCAATCACTTATGTTCACTTTGTAAATTGAAGGATCAAAATCCTCCAATGATTATAAGCCCCAAATCGTATTTGTATAATACTTCAGTTAACCACAACGTACGGAAGACAATTTAAGTGAATCATTTAGGTGTTAAATAATTAAAAATGATTAAAATGTTGACAACTTCACATTACGTAAATTTCACTATAAAAACCTTTTAAGATAATCATCATAAATGTTTGCGTTCATACACTAAAAATAAATTAATTTTTAACAAAACTAGATGCTGTCATAAGACAGTAATGTCCACACGAAGTTGTTTGTCTCTAAATGTACCCATCTTCGTATTTGGGCAGCAAGGGAAGACTCCATAATTTACAGAAAACTTCCCTTGGATCCCCCATTGCCCCAGGGTGAAAATTGAAATTCTGAAACCTAAATGCACATCTGCAGGACACTCCCAAACTTATTCCAAAATATAATTGAGCTACTGAAAAAAATGTAAGAGGAGTTCAGGGAATCAGGTTTTTGTTAAAAAAAAACATTGTTGCCATTATTTGGCACCCTCAGTGAAAATCAAAATTACGAAACCTTACTGAACATACAAGACACTAACAATCAGATTCCAAAAGATGAATTGAGGACTGAACATAAAACGTAAGAGGAGGTCAGGGAACAAGGTGTTTGTAGAAAATATCCCCCCTACCTAATCGCCTCCAATGTGACGATCGAAATTCCGAAATTTTATTGCACATCTACAGGACACTCTATCATGTTAAAAAAAAAATTGAATGAGCTATACTGCGAAAATGTAAGAGGAGTTCAGGGAACCAGGTTTTTGCAGAAAATTTTTTTTTTACTCACATTTGTCCCCATAGGGTGAATGTGAAAATTTCAATATCTTTTTGCACATGTTGAAGGCACCGCCAATCATATTCCAAAAGATTCTTTCGATGATAAAATCATATTTCAAAATAGACTAAGTTTAAATATCTACCTTTTTTTGAATGATATTGAAAGAACCACTTTCAAATGTTAGTTGGTTACTGCTTAAAATGTAAGTCTAGTTTGAGTAATAATAATGTGACAGACGGACGGACGGAGCAGGATAACAAGAAAGCGCAGGTTAATTTCAAGTTAATGAAAATCGGTTTATATATCCAGTACTATTATATAGCATGAAAACAAGTGTGTGAAAAAACGCATACTTTTTACGCAACCGTCAAATTCTTTTTCATTAAGGGAAAAAAAGCAGACCGCCCTGACACTTTATTAAGATGTTTCAGTACCAAAACATTGTGACAGATCTGTATTGCGTCATAGTGTTTAACTTTAGCGCAAAGGAGTCCAACCATTTATAAACGATGAAATCGATTCATTACAAGCAGTCGAGAATCATTTCTATATCAAGTAATACATTTGACTGATTTGTTTCAATGGAATACAATACATTATAAGTTTTGTAAATTTGTGAGATAGATGAGCCTAAAGAAATATCGGGGTAACATTTCCATGTCGTGTATCTCTCCAGTTATTTTTAACTGTACCATTAAACTGTCATATCTATTCTTGGCGAACAATAACAGACCTTGTTGTCTGCTCGACACCTGTGTACTAAAGAGATTTCTTTCCTCCCAACAAATGAGCTTTAAATGTCACACCTGGGCTGTTTACCTGTTATTTAAAATTAAAAAAAAAGGAGACTGATTTACCTAGCATGGCATCATTTTACAAAATCTTGTTAACAATTAAAATGAGATATAGATACTTTCAAACTGCTGAAAACTGTAAAAAACACAAACACACAACATATGGTTGCAGAAAGTTTTTTTTCTGATCAGGTGAAATATAAAAAAAAATAATGAAATATATAAGTATGTATTTCTTCCTGTAAAATAAATTTGACAAGAACAAGTCAGATATCTAGAAATCTGATCTGAATGGTTATACATCAAAGAAAACCTGAAATTTACACGATGAAAAATAGGGAGCTCAGTCACCTTGTAAAATACATCAGATATATGGGACTCCTGGTGTGTTTGGCGCCAAAACTAGGATAACAGAAAAAAATATTATGATTATCGGTTAAATATCACTTTGCCATTCTATTCTTTTTCTTTCAGTTTGAAATTGGATGAAATCTCGTAACGAAGGTTTGAGGAAGTTGAATCAATTGTCCGTAAAAGAAGCCAGAATCAATGCTTTCAATGTCAAACTCCCAACTTGCGTTTTCATCAATAATAGGCCTATCTTTTATTCATGAATCTATTAAGTGAAGTGGTTCCAGCATTTTATCTATTCTAAAAGAAATAGTACTGAGGGTATTTTTTTCACATGATTACAAAATGAGAAAAACTTCAAATATATTTAATTGCTACAATTGCTTTTTAAACCCCTCAAATGAGAAATACAGTATACTTTGACACTTTTATGTAATAACAATGAGATTTAGTATTAACAATGTAGACTAAAGTTTACGTTAAACTAGGGTGTTTCAATAAACATGCCTGTCGCCTGCACAGCAACACGAAGGACATGATGAAAGTATGATCAGCTTTTAATGAATCAAACTAAAGTATATTACAATTCATGCATTTGTCTTAAAAAGAAGAAAAAACCACGGAGAATAAGACTGTCAGAGTAGCATTTTTAGTAACATGTACATGTAACATGTGAAATAAAATTTAAAAAAAAATGATTCTATAACCCTAAAAGGTAAATAATTATTTAAAGTGAAGTTAATGTTCTTTGCCGCTGTGTACATATAAGGTTTGCGCTAGACGTTTAATCCTTTTTTTTTCCAGTTTACTCATAGAGCTGTCTTGTTTTTCCACCCAATTGGAATAGTTTGTTTATGCTTATTTTAAATTGAATTTTTGATAAGCTATTATTTTTTAACACTACTCGTATCAACCAAGTCATATTAAAATACAAAAACAAAGGATGGCACAGTTCATCTTGTTCGTAACGCGAGTAAACATGGATGTAATTACTCAAAATCAAAACAACTTGGAAGGTGCTAATCGAGTAATTAATTACTTCTAATGATTTCATTTTAATTAATTAGTTTTGTGGGTAAAGAATATTTCAATTTGATTGCACATTTTAAAAGAAAACTAAAGTAGCATCACAGTCTATCATCCATAGATTTTTTTTTCTCTTTTTTTCAGGCAAACACATGAGCTATTATAATACCTGTATGCATATAATGAAGAGATGAATATATTTCATATCTATCTTCCCCGCTTTCGCTAAAAAAGGAGGATACTAATTTAGGTCTGTCTGTCCGTCCTTCTGTCTGTGTATTAGACATAAGTTTCCGTGGATGACAACTCTAAAATCCTTTAATTTTGCAACAAAATTTTATACTATAACTCCCTATGACTTAAAGATTTTGAGTCCATAATGGAAAGTCAGTGTCACATATTCATGTATGGTATAGATGGCACATTTAGGTTTCCGGATGATTTCTTAAATGTCCTTTCATTTTATAAATGAAATTTTATATAATAACAATTAGTAACTAATAGATACTCTTTTTTAGATAAATTAAACACGATAATAAGTAAAGATTTTGATAAGTTTGATCCACTTCTTAGATCTCCTTGTTTTGAACATATTTTATCGAATAAATCAAAGGAAAAGGGGGGCGGGGGGGGGGAGTTCTCAAAATTTACTGGTTCCTCTCCTTAGATATTGCAATATGAAAAATGACTGATAAAACTGAATTCTACAAGGAATACAAGTGGAATTTTATAACATAGTAGGTTTCATCAATAAATTTATGGACAGCAGCAAAATTAGTGTTAATAGAAATGAATAATATAAGATTTTTGGGGACTAGGTATAATTGAGATACTTTTTGGAGAATTAATTTGTTTTTGTTTTAGATCGTAAGATATTTTATGAAAAGATCCACGTGTTTGCATTTGATTACTAGGTACACGTATTTAAATGCCTGCTATTGCCATGAAATTCTTATTCAATTCTACCTCACACCTTCTAGTGCAAAGAATCAAAATCTCTGGAGACATGCATCCTTAGATACATGATTTAATAATAATTATGGGTAAACATACCCATTTTATAACATTTATTTTGTCACAAAATGTAAAGAAATATTTTATAATGGATATAATTACAATACTTTCTGCATAGACATGCATGTTGACATTTCAAGATATACCGGTAACTCAATTTGTAACAAATTCTAAAGTTTGTGATGCTGCCCTATGACCCTGTCAGCTTAACCCCATATTAGCATGAA